GTATGAATGTCCAGCAGTAAAACTTCCTGATTGATTACGGATTGGCGTCCTGTGTCGTTATTGGGAGCGGCTGCTGTGAGCTTACACCTCTTAATGTTCCTCCAGCAACAGCAAAAGTATCCCTTCTGAGCAGCCAAACCAGGAAATCCCAACTGAGTGACACCCCTAACAAGGGTGTGCCTCCAGGGGCAAACCAAGAATGGGCAACTTGGAAGTCCCTGAACAGAGTCAGAAGTGGAGTGGGCAGATCAAAAGACAACCTGGCAAAATGGCAATAGAAGAATCCTGAACCTTGTGTGACTGTGGAGCAGAATAAACAACTCCACATTTGTATGCTTGTCCACAATGTCCTGCCTCATGTACAGAGAAAGAATTGTTTAAAGCTATAAATAATGTGATTGTTGTTTATCAAAAACTATTTAGCTGCATTTGCTCCTTATATTTTTATCAGTTTGATACTTATTTATGCAATGCTTTTGAAATGAAATCTATATAAATAAAAATGTAATGTTCTTTTGGGGGATTAACAGAACTTAAAAACTACTGGACGAATTGCCACCAAATTTGGCCACAAGACACCAACCAAAGCGATCTATGTCCTTCACTCAAAAAAACTCCCCCCAAAGAATGATAAGACCTTTAAATTTTAAAAAAGGAAAAAGAGAACACAGCACATGCGTGCAAACCCCTTCTCCCCCCCCCCACCCGCTCGAGAGGCACCAACGGCCATCCTCCCTCACCACTGGATCAGGGCAGGAGGCAAGGGAGGCTAGGAGCACTGAAGAGGCCACCTTACCTCACCTTCCCCTTTTGTTCAATTCTGTCAGTTGTGGTGTTCAACATGCTCATTGATTGTAGGTGAACTAAAAATCCCTAATCTCAAGCACCAGCCTAAGCAGTGGAGGCGGAGGCAGAGAGGTCTCTTCCTGCACCTCCTGCCTCGCTGAAGACCTGGCAGAACGGCCCTAATGCTGCCGTGAGCCAGGGAGCAGGAGGAGGCCTTTCCCTCTCCGCCACTGTGCTGCAGGTGCACGATGATGGCTTTCATACCTAATGTGCCTGGCTGAGGCCTGGCCTGCCTTGCCCAAGCACAGTTGCTGGCAGAGAAGCCGCCGCGCCCTCCTCCTCCCCCTCCTCCATGGATCAAGGCCTGGCAATGTCACAAAGAGGCCTTGCGGTTGCTCCGCCAGTTCTTGAGCCAGGGAGCTCCACCCCCTCCCCCCACCTTCCCCACAGGCTGCAGGCCACGCACAGTGCCAAAAATGGCGCAAAGAGGCAGCGCGTGAGGAGGTGAGGAGGGAGAACACAGCCCCCTCCCCAGCTGAGTTCAGACTGATGTTCAATTGCAGGTGAACTATAAATCCAAGTGTCAATGTCTTCCTCAGTCTCCACCAGTGTATTTGTGCCAAGTTTGGATCCATCTTTGTTTGGATTCACAGTGCTCTCTGGGTGTAGGTGAACTTCTATTCTTCTTCTTCATCATCAGAGGTTGAATGGCCATCTATCAGGAGTGTTTTGATTGTGTTTTTTTCTTTATAGGAGAAAGGGCTGGACTGGATGGTCCTTGGAAGTCTCTTCCTACCCTAGGATTCTATTATTATTATTATTATTATTATTATTATTATTATTATTATTATTAAGCAGAGGGTGAATGTCCATCTGTCAGGAGTGCTTTGATTGTGGGGCAGGAATGGATGGCCTTTGGAGGTCTTTTCCTACCCTAGGATTCTATTATTATTATTATTATTATTATTATTATTATTATTATTATTATTATTATTATTAAGCAGAGGGTGAATGTCCATCTGTCAGGAATGCTTTGATTGTGGGGCAGGATTGGATGGCCCTTGGAGGTCTCTTTTTACCCTATGATTCTATTATTACTAATACTATTGTTGTTGTTGTTGTTGTTGTTGTTAAGCAGACTTTTTCATTACTTAATTTTCAATACCACCAGACAGCGCCACAGCAACGCGTGGCTGGGTACAGCTAGTAAATCAATAAGAATCAAAACATAACTAAAGCAGTACGAAATGCAGGTTGTGATCTAAACACCCCTAAAAACTAGATATTATCTAGAACACAGATGCTACTAGCTGCACTTCAGAGGAAAGCAAAAGTAAATCATAACAGGGTATTCCTTGGCTAAGAAAATTATAAAAGTTTGCCATAAGTCAAAAGGAGACATACAATGGAAAATTTACTGAATTTATAAGTCAATATGAAACTAAATGTGTTCTTTATAACAAGCTCAAGCATTATCTGAAGACAGCTGTTGTGCATGGAAATTCAGAATAAAAGTTGGATTAAAATTTAAATCTGCTGATTAATGAAATTGGAAGTGTTGCTTTCTCTGCACCTACACCCTCTGAAAGCCACTTGGCAATGCAAACCATTAGAGCTTTTTTGCTCTGAAATATGTGATTCACAGCCATATTGTAGAAGTCATTATAAGCAAAAATGTTTAAATAGCATACATAACTATTAAAATTATAAATACAACAAATATGTACTATGCATATATACCTATAATTTAAATGTCTCTGGCTACACCGCCATGCTGAATATATGCTCACTGACTAATCTGAGTTTGTCTTTATGGAAAGGTACTGAATGTCTGGCCCTACAAAAGTTTTAGGCGTATGAAATCCATCAGCCACCTTCCATTCCTGCTCTAGGTAAACTCTGAAACTACCCAAAGAAGATTTACTGGAGGTTTATAATAAATTAAGCGTAATGTTGAAAATGTAAACTGGAGAAAGTGGAAATATTTTTTAAATGATGAAACTACATTTGGAACAAATTAAAGCATATAAAATCACAAGTTATTATTATTTTTGTGATGACTACTACCTACTAACTCTGAACGCTAAGAGCATAATTTCCATATTAAGAAATCATGAACGCCTGTCTACCAGATGCTAGAGATTAAACTAACTAGGATGAGTACTGGCACTGTGCCTTGCTTGTGAAATTAATCCTTTATATTTCTCTGGATACCCGTTGTTTCTGGAAAGAATACTAAGCTAGATAGATACAGATCTGATCATTTTATACTCTTCCATGTGTATCTTGTAAATATATTTATCATGCTCAGACAGAAAAGATGACATACCTTTCTTCTTTGATTTGCTGAAAAAGAATCCGAACATTTTTTTGAAAACGCCTTTTTTCTCCTGAAATAGAAATCACCATTAATTAGGGTTTCCACAAGTATGTGTATTGCTATAAAAGTGCAACATTTTTCAAACAATATGGACTTGGTGGCAGAATGAGGCTTTCCCCTCTTCCCCTGGCTCCTGAAGCCCTTACTACAATTGAGCATCTTTTTCCTCTGATTTGGGTTTCAAGCCTTTCCTTCAAGAAAAATATGGGGTATGATTGAAGGGCTGCAGCAAAAATTGGATTGGCAAAAATACAGGATGCATCTACGCTGAAGAGTTAATACATAATGCTGTGGAATCCTAGAAGTTGCAATTTTGGGGAGGCACCAGAGAAAGAGAAAGCGGCCATGTAAAACTACATAGCCCAGGATTCCATAGCATTGAGCCATGGCAGTTAAAGTAGTGTCAAACTACTTTAATTCTACAGTGTAGATGCACCCTCAGTTTGAGCCTTTTGGGTCAAAAGGGTAATCTCTGGCCCCATATCTTGTATCCTATTGGACAGCTACAAAACATACTACTAAATTATCAAGAAAAAATGCAAATAGTCTAAAATCATGGATGATATTTGCCTACATTCCAACTGAAGCCAGAGAAGCATAATCCAACCTAAATTCTTAATTACTTACTTAAGTATTCATTGGTTGCAAGAGATCCACCTTCCATACTATATGTTACACAACAGTGCATAAATAAATCTGAGATGATCCATGTACTACCATTATCTGAGGGCATTTTGGTGAGGAGGCTGAGGGCAGTCCCATACAGCGGTGAAATCCACTTCAATTTTAGTCCGCATACCGCCAAAGAAGCCCATGCTTTCCGTGGATGCTGGCTACATTTTCTCTCGCTACCTACCGGGAGAACAAGGAGACAGCTCCCATCCCTCTCCAACCCTTCCGCCCAAAAATCCCTTTTAAAAATAGAAGAACTTACCCAGCCTCCATTAGGTTCCAGAGCTCTCCTGGAACATAGGAATGATGTGCCAGAAGAAAGGGGGGAGCAAAATTAGTTCTGCCCCCCTTCTCTTGGCATGTCATTCCTACACACCAGGAGAGCTCTGGTACCACGCTAATGGAGGCTGGGTAAGTTCTTCTATTTTAAAAGGGGGGGCTGGGTGATGAGATTTATAAAAAGACACCATGATGTAATGGGTTGACTTGAAAGACATGTGTTGGCAGCTGATTGGCTGAGTATGCCAGGAGCCAGAATTCTGATTGGCTACTGTCTCTAGCCTGCTGCTGAGACAAACGGTTTTAACTACCACTTTCATCTTGGAGAGTGAAGAGAGCACTGACTGGAAATAGCCAGAAAAAATGGCTGCCAACTCTCTGAAGCCTGATCATTTCTAAGGCATGAAGCATATTCTGAAGAGTGTTTAAAAGGACTGTTTATTCCCTCTGTTCTCTGTGTGAATTCAGAGAGACTGCTGTATATATTGTTGCCCTGTTTGATCTTTTGAACAGAAGTAAATATACTGCTACTTGTTACACAAGCCTGAGTGACCCGTTATTATACTGCAGGGTATATTTTGGTTCAGAAACTGTGGTAAAGCTTCTATTTATTTATATCTACAATCTATAACATTGAGGTGGTTTGGGGAGGAGGTTAGAGCCCTCTCATGATTCCCAGGTGAGATGGCTGTGCAGATGGCCCTTTCTGGAAGTCCAGAACTTCCAAGGGAGCTGTCCAGACAGTGGAAATAGTGGGTTTGTCCCACGCCTTTCAAGAAGGCGCGGAACAAATGCACTAACAAATTAATCATTGCAAAACAGAGTTCTCCTGCTCTGTGGCAAATGCAATCACTTTTCTGTAGGACGTCATCTGGACACTCCATATGAAAATGTGGGAGCTCTTGCTTTTAAAAGGCTGTCTGGATACATCCCGAGAACATAGCATGAGCTCTGTCTTAACTTTGTTGAAAATCTCCCATACTTCAACCAATACCACTCATGAAATAGTGGAAGAAACTGTTAAAATATGGACAACCTGTGCAGCATGAGAATAAACCAAATGGCTGGTCTCTCTCTTCCTTTCTCTGTCAAGGTGCATAGCAGCTCTAAGCTAGAAAGCATGTGCCTTATTTTGACAGAAGGGACATTGGGGTGGAGGGTGGGAACAATGTATAGATATAGTATGTGGATGGGAGAAACATTGGGTCCAAGAATGAGATCAAAATGTATTTTTAAAAATTGTGTGAAATAGCAGTCATCCGTAAGATATAGATTTTATGTCTAACTTTTTAAATAGGATAAAAAGTGACAGACGGTAACACAGGCTAGAAAAATCTCGCAATCTAAATCCCCATGAAATTTCAGTATATTTCACAGATGTCAGCAGAGTAATTGCTGTAATAAATCTGCTTTCATAATGTGTTAAACAAAGTGCACCTGCAGTTAAAAGTTATAAGATTTATAACAGTGTTGGGTTTACTGAAGCATTCTCTCTCAGAAGACGACAAACTGCTAATGTATGTTTATTCTGTAATAGCTAGTCTCTGTTCTTCAGAGCCCAGCAGACTAATGCAAAGTGAAGTACTCCGAATAGGGGACACCAAAGATTGATAGTACTGTGATTGATTGAGAACAGCATTGCCATTTAAAGGAATAATTATTTAAAAGACTGTTTGATGCCTCCTTCACTCCAAGGGGTTAAGGTAAGCTATAAACTTTGTTTTAATGATTACTTTTTTGAGCCAAGAGAACAAACACAATGGACATACTACCCAACATTCTCTGAAGTAAGCCTATACATACTCCTACTCTTAAATGTATATGACGTGTTATATCCAGATACACTCCATCTAAGTATAATTTTTCCATTATGTAAAACTGTTGTGTAAACATAACAGGAATCTCTGGATTGCTGCGTGTTTTCCAGGCTGTATGGCCATATTCCAGAAGCATTCTCTCCAGATGTTTTGCCCACATCTATGGCAGGCATCCTCAGAGGTTATTATTATTATTATTATTATTATTATTATTATTATTATTATCTTTATTTGTACCCGCTAGCATCTTCCAAAGGACTCGATGCGGCTTACAAAGGCCAAGGCCTCAAAACACAACATAACAATACAACACCTAAAGCAAATTAAAAACAATTAAAGCAATATTAAGCAACAAGCAATAAACAATACATCAAGACACTATAAAACTGGGCCGGGCCAGAGTAATGGGTACAGGATTAAAAGTGCTGATGTGACAGGTGATATGTAAGGATTATAGGGTAAGTGCAATGTGCGGTGTGCAGCAATCTTAGTTCTAATAAAGTGCTTCTGGGACTTGTTATTGGAGATTCCTATTCTGGAACGGCACATCGGAACAGCCAGGTCTTCAAGTTCTTTCTAAAGACTGCCAATGTAGGGGCCTGTCTAAGATCTTTTGGGAGGATGTTCCAGAGTCGGGGGGGGGGCACCACAGAAAAGGCTCTATCTTGCGTCCCCACCAAACGCGCCTGCGACGCTGGCGGAATCACGAGCAGGGCCTCTCCAGATGAACGAAGTGAGCGCATGGGTTCATAAACGGCTATTCTGTCACGCAGGTAGGATGGTCCCAAACCGTTTAGGGCTTTGTAGGTAAGTTGTGAGGTATATTAAGCAAGGGAGGCTTATATATCTGTGGAAGGTCCAGGGTGGGACAAAGAACTGTTTTCTGTTGGAGACAACTGTGAATGTTGCAATTAATCACCTTGATTAGCATTACAAAGCTTTGCAGCTTCAAGGCCTGGCTGATTCCTGCTTGGGGGAAATCAACCAGGACAGTAAATAAAGAACAACACTCTGAAAACTGGGGAATTCCAGACGTGAAACAATCAGATCCAGCCAACACCTCCCAACAAAGAATTTCCAAAGGCAGGAATCAGCCAGGTCTTGAAGCTGCAAGGCTTTGCAATGATAATCAAGGTGATTAATTGCAACACTCATACTTGCCTCCAGCAGACAAGAATTTTTTCTCCTACCATGGACATTCCACAGAAATATAAACCCTACTTGCCAAGTTTCCAACAGACCTCACAACCTCTGAGGATGTTTCTGGAACATGGCCATACAGACCAGAAAACTCACAGCAACCCAGTGATTCCGGCCATGAAAGCTTTCAACAACACATATAACAGGAATCATATCCCTTAACTGTTGACTAGACTATTGTGATACAAGTCCAGTGTAGTTGTTGGACATAAAGCTGGCTTTAAACTCATTGTTTTCTGAATATAACAAGACAGTTTAAGGTTGTGATAGTCTCGCTTCTGTTTCTGAATACACCTCACTGAATGAGGCTGCCTTCTGAGAACAGATTCATAGGACTATAAATCCCACCATATGTACAGTTGAAGTCAAATATCATAAAGGTTATCACAGCAGATTCTCACAACACATTCCTCTCTGACAGTAGTGGGTGCTTAATAGCTCCACCTTGATCAATATCAATCCCATCTTCAAGGGAAGTTCTAAAATACTTAACTGTAGCTATTGAACACTATGAGGAAAGCAAGTAGATATGTTAGTTTAAAGATATTTTGTAAGCAAAGCAGAATACAACCAATCAGAAAATCAATACAGACTGGATTTTTTTCTAAGTTACAAAATTTCACTGAGAAAGAAACTACTTCATCAAGACATATGCATTTTATTGACATTTTTGGCATTATTAATTAAAGAAACTCCTTTGTGAGTAATAGATTGCTAAAGTAAAGAATGGTAATAAATTATTCCTATAGATCTTGGCAAACATTTTCATCTCACAGCTAATGCTTTGTAATGTTTTCAGAGTCAATATCTAGCATACTCGGCAAATATTATTTACCAAACATAAATGTACTCTTCTTCATCATTGTCCTCCAATATTTCTTTTTACCAGGGCATCATGTTAAGGTTTTGTTTTGTTTTTTTACTTTTCCCAAAATTCAATGGGGTCTTCTACATTTACCATGGCTTTTTTCTTCTCGCCTGATGCACAGGCATGGCATACAGATAAATCAGCAAACGAAAACTGGCCCCATCTGTGTGATTTCAATATTCATACAGATATCTTTTTTTCGGGTCAGGAGCAACTTGAGAAACTGCCAGTCGCTTCTGATGTGAGAGAATTCTGATGTCTGCAAGGACGTTGCCCAGGGGACGCCCGGATGTTTTACCATCCTGTGGGAGGCTTCTCTCATGTCACTTCATGAGAAGCTGGAGTTGACAAAGGGAGCTCACCCCACGCCCTGGATTTGAACCACAGGCCTTTCGGTCAGCAGACTTGCCGGCAGAAGGGTTTAACCCATTGCGCCACCGGGAGCTCCCATACAAATATCATAACCACATGCTACCTGAAAGTAATGGTAACTTAAATTTGATTGAATATCAGGGAAATACCGGTTCCTAGTGCAGGAGTGGGAATCATGCAGCCTTCTAGACATTCCTGGACTACAGTTCCCAGCATTCACAGATAGATAGTACAATTAGAAGAGACCACAAGGATCATCCAGTCTAAACCCAGCCATGCAGGAACATACAATCAAAACACTCCTGAAAAAATGACTATCCAGTCTGTGTTTTAAAAGCCTCCAAAAAGGAGCTTCCACTACACTATTGAGGCAGTGAGTTCCATTGCCGAAGAGCTCTTACTGTCAGGAAGTTCTTCCTAAATGCTGAAAAATGCTTGAAAACTGATTTTTTCAAGTATTAAAAACCCCTTGAAAATAATGCTAAATGGATGCAAATCTTTGCAGCTTGGGATTTATCTTGAGTATTATTGTGTCCACAAAGCAGTTTTTCCTGTAAAAGGCATAATGCAATAAAGAAACGGTATTTCTGCACAGAGATATTAATCTGCATAGAAAATGCTGTTTCCTGTGCAGCAAATTCTGTTTTCTGAGCAAAACCACATGCAAATATCTCACAGCATAAGTCGCAGTGTGAAGTCTTCAAAACTTCAGTTTTCAGAGACGTTTCTCACAGTGAGAAAGAAATTATTAATTGCTTATTTTAAAAAATCATCAGATAATTATATCCCTACCAAGAAACACATAATTATCAATGTTGCAAAAAAAAAAAAAAAAAAGCTCTGAAGACACACAAAAAATCTCTGAAGGTGAAGAATGGCCTTCTCCCTTAAGAATACTTTTTGAAAAATAACCAGATCTCTCCCCCCCCCCCTTTAATTCTACCATGGCATTTCTTTCAATCTGATGTTAGAGATGGATAGGAAGGAACTTTGCAGTAGCAGCAAATACTTATACTCGTATGACACTAAATTAAATGCTTCCTATAATCAAATATAGGTTAAAAATGCAATAGGTCAAATAAGATTGAAAGCAGCCTTCTCTCTAGGCATCTTCCTTCCCACTATGAAGTTAACCCCAGTGTAATATATAAGCCTGTGAATCGAAAGGAGAGATAGGTGATCAAGACCACTTCAAAACTTCTGGGCAATAGGAGGCTAGTGAAAATAATTCTTTTCCATCTTTTGAACTAATGAATCAATATCTATGCATAAATTCTTGTTATAAAATAATTGTGTGGCACCAATTTCTTCTACACATTATTTCAGCTTTTGTTGTGGCATAGTTTTCATATGTTGAAATGTCTGGGTATTACACTGACCTTTTTCTGCACAGGTTTTTCTTCTTCCTCCTCCTCTTCCTCTTCTGCCTCCACTTCTTGTCTTTCTTCTTTCTCATAGATACTTTTTTTGTCCCCTTCTGAAGGCTACGTTAAAAAGAAAGATGAATTCTTTATTTTTTATCATTTAAAATAACAAACAAAACATATAACATTTCCTAATGTTAAATGGTCCTGGTTACATGAACCAGATGCACCTAGTTACAAGGATCTCTGTTACAACAGCTCCATTGACTGCTGGTCCATTTGCAGCATCATGTGCAAGAATGCTGCTGCCTTTAAACAAATACACATATATTAGCAATAAATATAATAATGGAATGGTGTTGGCCACAACTATATTGATTACACTACAGCAATTAAGTTGGTGCCTGCATGGATCCAGATTCTAAATACCCTTAGAATGGCTGGAGCCAACCACAGGGGCAGCCGTCCATCATATATGGTCCTCTATTGCCAGAACACATTTGGGGCTGGCTTCAGCTTCACCTGCATGAGACCTAAACCATTCCCAGGCCCCCCAAGCCCTGCAGGGGGCTCCTCTCTGACAATGTTTCTCAAATTTTGCTCCTCCGGGTGTTTTTGACTTGAGCTCCCAGAAATCCCAGTCAGTTTACCAGTTGTTAGGAAATGTGGGAGCCAAAACCCAAAACATCTGGAGGAACACAATTTGAGAAACTCTGCTCTCTGCTAGACCTGACCATCCCAGAGCCATTACACATGCCAAACTGCCCCAACGATTGTGACAGCCCGAACATGGCTTAAGTCTAGACTAGTGGTTCTCAACCTGTGGGTCCCCAGGTGTTTTGGCCTACAACTTCCAGAAATCTAAGCCAGTTTACCAGCTGTTAGGACTTTTTGGAGTTGAAGGCCAAAACAAGTTGAGAACCACTGGTCTAGACTGTCTGAAGACTGTATCTCCCCTTGTGAGCCTGCTCAGACACTGAGATACACAGGTGACTCACCATCTTCCAGTCTTGTCACCTTTTCAGGTATGTTTGGTGGGAATATGACATTGGGCTTTTCTGTAACTACTTCCCTAGGGAGGCTTAAATGGCCATTCTGCTGTCAACCAGAAAAGTTTTTTTTTCCTTCCCAAAGGCTTTTAGAACTGTAAAACTTTATAGAACGGCTGTAAAGTGGTTATTATTTCTTTACATTGTAGTTCTTAACTATTATATTTCAAAACTAATATTGTTAATAATGTAATTTTATTTAATGTGTAAGCCATCTTGAATCCCAATCTTTGAGAAATAGGGATATAAATATAAGAATGCATGCTTTGATGTTATTATTACTAGCTCTCATTTATGAATAAGTCACTCCTTATCTATATTTTGAGGCAGGCAGAAAGAGTACTAATTAAAAGCAAATATCTGAAGAAACACTGGGTAATTGTTATGGATATGCTTTTTAAAAATCATAAGACTTTTTTATTTTTTTTATTTATACCCCACTTTTCTCTCCAAAAAAGAGACTCAAATGGTAAAACCTAAAAAACATGCAAACATTAAAATAGAATTAAATATTAACACTGTTCAAAAACAGTTAGAATACACAAAATCAATGAAAAACCTATTCATACCTAAGACCATAACATCCCCTGACTTGATCTTCAAAAACCTTCTTTTTAAAAAGCCTGCGTGAAAACAAAGTGTTTAGCCTGACAGCAGGGAGAGGGCCATTCTGGCTTCCCTGGGAAGAAGGGAGTTCCAGAGTCAATTGGCAGCCACTGAGAGGGAAGGTCCGCTCTCTCGTTTCCACCAAATCGAGGTTGAAATGGAGGCAGGGCCAAGAGTAGGGCCTCTTCTGAAGATCTCAGGGCCTGGGCAGGTTCATACAGGAGGTGCAATCAGTCAAATAGCATAGGGAACATCCATTGCATGGGCCAGATACAACTCATAGTGGTTTAAAGGGCTGTGTGAACGATGAAAAAAATGTTTCAAACTCATTACAAAATTAGGGAACACAGAATTCTTTCCCAGCGAACTCTACTTTCTCTCTTCTGCTTCCCTCTCCTAATGGCGAGAGGCCATTGATTTAAAGAGGAATGGCACCCTTTTTGGCTTTGCTTTGTTTGCTTGAGCAGAAAAATGAAACTGACTTTGGGAAGCTTCTGAGGTTTACAAAATTCAAACAAAAAAGTATTGGGTAAGTTAAGTTTTTGGCACGGGCCATGCCCATGTGTTGGATATCATGCCGTAAGTATGAATTTAACAAATTAGATCCGATTTACGAGGACTAACGATAATTTTGCCTAGCCCTAGCGGTTTCTCATCAATGAAGGCCAGCCTTTTTCACTGTTGAACAAAGAACCTTCTTCAGCTGAACTGTGTAAGGAAGCTAAAGATGGAAGAACTGGAAGGTTATCTGTATCTGAATGAATGGAAAGAAAATATGAATAAAGGTAAGTATAAATAGGAAGGTAGGAAGGGAGGGAGGGGACAGAAGAGGAAGGGAAAAGAAAGAAGAGGAAGGAAGAGGATGGGAAAGGGAGGAAGGGAAAGGGAGGAAGGGAAAGGGAGGGAGGGAGGTGTGGGCATAGGTTCACACATGAATAAATGGATGGTGTGTGCATATCAGTATGAATGGCTTCCGGAAGGGTGGATTATCATACTTGCTTTCAATCCTGCCTCAACTGTATGTGGCTCCAAGACAATATCCCACATGACAACCTGTTCATTCTTCCTTTGATTCATACATTCCTTTATTCATACATACATTCTTTCCATTCATTCAGATACAAACAGACACCCTTATTTCATGATGTCTAAAAAGTACCTCCATTCCTCAAATAAAAAGAACCACCTCTGAATCCCACGTGCTAGGAATAGTAAAAAGCAGTTTTTTTCAGAAAGGCATTTTACTGGCCACTCCTGGCCATTCAAGTTACGTTCTTCTTATGTCATATCCAATTTAACTGTAGATGTCAGGTTACAATAAACAGAGAACTTTTTCTTTCTAAACCTACTATTTACACTCTAATCTTTTGAACTGACGTGCCAGCAATGTAATCCTTAAAGTGGGGTACAAGGACTGATGCTCTTGCAAACCATCAGACTCCCATTATTTTTGTACATCTTTCTGACGTGACTCAGGTCACTATCCTGAGATTATGGGTGACCTTCTGGAATCCAAGTGCCGGGTACAATCATGCAGTAATGCAAGACCGCACATGACTTTTGTGAGTTGGAGAAAGAAGCAGGTGAGAAGGGCAGGACAAAAAGCAATCACATGCCACTCCAATGGTATTTCAGCTCCTACTGATTCACCTTCACATTCACAAATTTATCTGAGATTGCAATTTCTTAGAATAAACTGGCCAAAAGAGTGAGATACCTGAAGACACTCTCTATCCTATGAGTATTTAGGATTGTATCACTTTCAAGTTATTGTTGATGTCACATAAGGAATAATTCCTCTATTTCATCTGCTGTACAGCTATACTGTAGAAAATAGATCTATTATTAACCATTTCTTTAAATGTTGACTAAAACTACATTTTAAATCAGGAGAGAAAGCTCACAAACTTTCCTGTTTACCACAGCCTGAGTATCAAAATCTAGTAAGCGTATCAACCTCAGTCCTTCTGAAAATATACTATTACTTCATTTGGGAAAAAAAGCACTGAGAAGCTTGGTATAAAATCTTTAAGATGCTAAAGTCTGAATGGCTTTGGTTATTAGGATTCTTTTTTTTAACTAATTGACCTAGGGATCAGGATTCCATTTTAATTTTCAAATATTGCTCCCCAAGACTGTAAACACAAAACTGACCTGCTCATCTACATCCCCAACATTTGAATAAATGTCTTCTTCTTGAACAACCTCAGCTGGAACCTGGGGTAAAATAAATTCCATTTAAAATTTTCCAAACAGAAATAAAACAGAAGCTTTCTTACATAATTTTCATCAACAATCAGGAAAAACAGCGCTCCTTGCAGTCATGCCGGCCACATGCCCTTGGAGGTGTCTACAGACAATGCTGTCTTTTTGGCTTAGAAATGGAGATGAGCACCAAGCCCCAGAGTCAGACACAACTGGACTTAATGTCAGGGGGAAACCTTTACCTTTAGCTTACAGTGACCTCTATAAACAACAGGTAGATGAAGGAAACTGGGTAGGAAACTGTCCAATAAATACTCATTTCCAGGCATAACAGAACGCTTTGAAGCCTCCAGTCTTGTTAATGACTTAATTTTAAGTTGATTAAAGGAGAAGAGGGCATGAGGGAGGGGAGGATGGCACTGTTTGAGCCCACAGAGGCTTGATGTTGATCTCAGGAACAGCGTCCACACCTCTACACCTGCTAAGTTTCAGACCTTATTGAAAGGTCCTGATCTTGGCAAGGTTTTTTTTAACCCAGAGTAAACCTGGAAGTCCAAACATTTGGAAAATGCAGACTCATTTTGACTCACTTTTTTTTTCAAAATAAGAGAAGGAAAAGCAAAGAACATGACATTTGCTGTCCTGAACATTTGGGGAAATCATGCCGGAGAATTTGAAAGTAAATTTTCTAGAAGCAAAGTTTATGATAGCATTAATAATTAATGAAACATTCTTAGAGGTATAGAACATTTATGATAATGATTGTTTTGACTTGATGTTTTGTATAATGTGTTTTTAATTACCTTCTTGATGTTATTGTGTTAACCTTTACTATGTAAACCGCCTTGAGTCGCCATTTCGGCTGAGAAAGGCGGTATAGAAGTAAAGCAAATAAATAAATAATAAATAAATAAATTAGAAGTTCTTGGTGTTCTAACAAAACATTTTAATAAAATTATTGGGAAAATAACCAAGAGCTTTGTAGAATCTGTATTTATCTCTTTCTCAGCTTAACTTGCTAGAAGCTTTTTCTTTCTTTTTTTCTACAGGAAGTTAAATCCTGTTTGCTCATTGAAAGGTTGATTAAAAACCTTCTAAGTAAGAAATTAATTATTTTATTTCACATACGGTCATCACTACTAAAACTAAATTAATGCAGTTCAGAAATGAAATAATGTTTAAAACATCATGGTAATGAATCTAAAATACTTTCATATTTAGTATTGGTCTTCAACAAATCACATGTGACCTGATCTAATGTGGTTACATAGGCCTCTTCTACATTGCTATATAATCCAGGTTATCAAAGCAGATGGTCCACTTTATCTGCTTTGAACTGTATTATATGAGCATACACAGCCATATAATCCAGTTTAAAGCAGATAATCTGGATTTTATATGTTAGTGTAGAATGGGGGCATGGTCTTCTCTGCTACCCCCATTTCCTTTGTTGACCTTTCATTCCACCCCAAAAATCAAATTGAGGGACCTTCAGGAGAACATATCCTGAAGACTATAGCCAGGAGTGAAAATTCCCATCACTGGAACTATTTCCTTTGAGGTCAGCTCGGATTCTAGTTTATGGAATGTAAATGCATGTAGAATTCTGATATTCTAAATGCACTCACAAATGGGTGAGTGACAGCCTATCATTTCTGCCTTCTTTTTGTTTCCAAACACAATCAGGTGGTAAAGGATTCTAAATCAGGAAAAATACATTTACATTAAATCTACCTGGTCAACAGGCATTTCCACTTGGATATCTTTGTCTTCTTGTATCTCTTGAGCCCCTTTAATTTCTTCAGGGGGGTGCTGAGCTTTATAGACACTAGGCTCTGAAAATTAATTATATTAAAAAGCCACATCAACCACGATCTACTGCATGCTGTTGAAAATCATTAGAATAAATACTTTCTATTAACCCTTAAGGCTGAAAAGCAATTATTTCTGATGAACATTATTTGTATAAAGACAAGCTCTTGCTCTATTTTCAAGAAAATCCAAGAAATAATTGTCATAATGCTGAAACATTTCATTTACATATTAAGGAACACCAGTAGTAACAGAAAACATAGAATAAAATATTCAAAGCTTTAAGACTGAATTGAAATATAAATTAATAATGGCTAAAAGTGAAAGTGACAGTTGAGATGCAAATGCAACTTTTATAAACATCAAACTCTTGTGAAAAACACAAGAAGGGAGTAGCACAGTTTTCTGGTGTGTTGGTACTCTGTTCAGCAAGAGGCAGCACAAAATCAAATGGACTGAGGAAAAATCACATTGGAAAGATTTTGTGAATATAAACAACACAGTACTTCAAAACACTCAGCACAGCAAAAATGTCCCTTATATCTACTGAAGTTATAATTTTTCTATGTTGTACTATGATGCCACATCTCACCCTAAGAAGTAGCCAAAACAACAGAAAATGATACAATTCTACACTACTTGGAGCCTTCCAGACAGGCCCAAAATGCGGGACTTGTCTCACTTTTACCTGAGGCATCCAAATGATGTCTCAAGTAAAAGTGAATTAATATGGAGAAAACTGTGTTTTTCCAGTTTGGTTTGAATTAATTTGACACCTGGAAAGATTTGGACCTTCTTAATTTTGAACCAGTAATAATCAACACCTTATTGCAGCATGAGGCCCAGGACCCCTGTTAATGCAGCCCAATCCAAAACCCTAACCATACTAAATGTTTTAAGATGGGGAATGGGGGGAGGTTAAGGAATGGAATAATCAGAGTATTTATGTTTCAAATATTGGAGCATTGTCCATAATTTGCATTATATTGCAAACAGCTCAGTCAGAAGACCTGGTTGAATGTTTTAAAAGACCCTCTGAATGGGGTGGAATATTTTATGCAATTATTATGTGAGGAGGGTTTTTTTTATCTAAGGTGGAGGATACCACAAAAATTATGCATGGACTTTTTTTTGCTCATCAATTATCATTAGTGTGTCCCAATATGTTTACATAATGTCTGGGGTCACATTGCCAGAGAAGATTGCTCATTCAGTTCATAGTACGTACAATGACCTCAGCAGCCCTTGCCACAAACACATTAGATTGCAAAATAGGTTTCTACTTCCACTTTTATGTGCTATTACTGATCGTATGCCTTTCAATCATTGGACGATTCTTCAGCAAATGTGTACTGTCTATATTATATTGCCTGCATAGGTAAAACAGTTTATTTCATCCACAATTAAGTGGTATATCCTATGATAGGATGTTTCCTCATCTACCACAGAAAAAGGTCTTCCCTATGAAAGGTTTCTCTTCTGTACTAGAAGCAAAAACATCCTCCTCACCCTGATCTGAGGGAAGAACAGAAAGAAATTCTAAGAACAGAAGTGGATAATATTAAGTTTGAATGTTCTCTCTCAGTTGGTTGCTCTGTCTTTATGATATATTTATCTTCTTAACTTTTGGTTATTTTGCTGTAACATAAATTGAGGGTTTGTGGATCTCCCCAAATCTACTTCCTACCTATTGAAGTGATGACGAGAAATAACTCATGATAAGATCTTATGACACATTGTTTTCACCTCCACTTCTGGAAAGAAACATCTCACAAGTAAGGCGAATGTTTCTTTTCCCACTTTAGTTCAAGTTCTTACCTCAATAATAAGACTTTAGCTTTCCTGCTTCATCTCTTTTACCCTTATTCCACAATTTCATTAACTATACATTGTGCTTGGACTTTGTTTTTGAACCACCAGAAGGAAAAGAAACTTCACTAAATAGGTATTAAATCAAAACAAGATAATAAAACATCCAAGAAGCAACTGTGTGTTATTTTTGTATTCTGTGCAGTAAACAAGCAGGTGCAAAACAAATCTTAATATGTCATAATAATACCAAAGACAGCATATTACATATCCTTTGTGAATAAACACCTGTTAATTAAATGTAACACAATCTGTAGTACTGGATACCCAGTCACTATTATGGAAAATCTAACATCTGATTAAATGTACAGTCTACAAAGATACAATGATTTAAAAATAATAATAATTCGAAATTAGGACCAGAGTGCAAACAGTGTGCTTAGGCTCATGGATCTACTCTCCTGATCCAATAAAATTTGTGATTTCCCACATTCAGAATTCGTCCCACAGCTTGCTAGATCTTGATCATTAATAAAATAAAGAAAGAAAGAAACTTCTTTAAAAATAAATCTCAAATTAATTTGCAAGTACCTCCTAATAAAAAAATAAAATAACTTTGTTTGCTCTGGTGCACACGTAACACAGAGTACAAACATTGTTAATCAGCCATTGTGTACATTTTGGAATCAAGGAAAGATCATTTCTGTGATAAAACAATCCCCAAATCCATGGCTAAATCCAAATTAGATTAATCCCATTGAATCTATGGAAAAATGGTACATCTATACTCATCTATACATTTATTTCATGGATTCATGGGGTTTATTATAGTAAAGACTTCATTTCCACCAATAAATCAATACCAAATCTGATTATATAACTACAAAGTCTTAGGCACCAGATACAATATTTCTTCTTTGTGTGTGTTACCATGATCAGGTGTCAGCGATCTAGGAGTCGTTTCACGACTTGCCTTCTCTGGTTTTGCATGATATACGGAAGGCCTATCTCCTTCTCCTTTTAAAGGATGAATGGGAGGCAGTGGTCTGTCTTCTTGCTTAGATGGCTCTATCAAAAGCTGAAAGAAAAAGCAATACAATAATCTAAATGATTGATCTATTGCTTTAGTATTAGAACATACTTACAGATAGTGTTAAAGTTAAACATTCAGAAAATTCACTTTTACACTGCAAAAACAACTTAGGAAAAGTAACTAGCATTAGATGTTGATTATTTGTTTTTGCAGTAGGATCTGGACAGGTTACTATGTGACACTGTTGCCTGCTCAACTAGGTGTGTATCTATGCTGTTTGACACTACTTTTTATACTGGTTCCAGCCCAGCTTACCTGTCCGAACGTATCTCTCCCTATGAACCATCTAGGTATTTAAGATCATCTGGGGAGGCCCTGCTCTCAATCCCATCTCAGGCATGTTTGATGGGAATGAGAGACGGGGCCTTCTCAGTGGTAGCCCCTCAGCTGTGGAACTCCCTCCCTAGGGATATTAATTGGCCACCTCCCTCCTGACCTTCCCTAAAAAAGTAAAAACCTGGCTCTTTGAACAAGCCTTTGGAAATGCAGTGCAATAGACAAACACGGAATTATGTAAATTTGAAACATGGAACGGCTTAGACGATGCTACTGGAAAATGAGATTAACAGGAAGACATTGGTTATTATATGTTTTTAATGGTTTTTGTATTGTATTAATTTTATATTTATTTTATAATGCTGTTTTAAATGTTTTAATTGTATATTGTGGATTGTTATGGCATCAGATTGCTGCCAATTTGTAAGCTGCCTTGAGTCGCCCTTGGGCTTGAAAAAAGCGGGATAGAAATATCGTAAATAAATAAATAAACTATTAAGGCTATGGAATCCTGGGAGCTGGAGTTTAGTGAGGCCACAGAAATCCTTGACAAAGAAGGCCAAAACTCTGTAAAACTACAACTCCCATGGTTCCATAGTAATGAGCCATGTCAGTTAAAGTGGTGCCAAGCTGCATTATTTTATAGTACAGATGCGCCCTCCTTCTACATGTAACCTAGTCTGCTCTCTATGTGTGAGTAGGCTAGATAAGAAAAAAATGGGAGCAGAATTTTATGGAAAATAATGCTTCAGGAGGGAGTTTTTTCCATCATGTTCTTTTCAAAAGCTGGGACCAGCCTAGGCCCTTTTTCGGATGCTTCAACACAGGTCATGCTGATGCTGGTAACTACTCCATAGTTAACAGAGGAAAGATATCCTGCTTTCTGGATGGAGATATGTCCACTTATCAATCTGTAGCTGCTGTTACATATGGCTGATATTACATATATCCATGAGCTTATGTGAGAAAAGGGAGGCCATCCCTACTTACAAAGATAAGCTTTCAAAAAGATTTAAAGAAACTTGTCAGACTAAAATAAAGTCAAAATTAGATGAAACTATGTCAAATATTTTTTACAAAACCGTTTCCAGAATAGTGTTAAGGTAGAAGCCAATCCAGCCATGTTTACATCGTCAAAATTATGTCTACTGCTCAGATCGTTAAAACCAGAGACTTCCAGTAAGCGTAGACACAACTTCTAACTACTTGTGCTTTGCTTTTCAGGGGGCAATAAGTGGATGTAAAAGTAGTAAAAAATATGCTTTCCCTGATCCCCCTAGCTAAGGAAATGTCGAAAGCCTCATTTCCTAGTTTGATTTCTTAAAGGAATCAGACAGAAGCCTCTGCTGATAGAGTTGTTTTCTCAGAACTTATGTCCCAAGCTCACACCAAATTGTGTGAGCTTCTTTTTCCTGGAAGTCCAGAGAGATGATGTCAGAGGGAGGGAAATAAAAGTGCTTGTGAACTCGATGCTGAGAATTAATTGCTCAGCAAGTCTACTTAACAGAAACCACTGGATTGTTTGAAGTCAAAACTAAAGGTGCCTGCAAAAGCCATTTGGCTGTTTTTTCCAAGTGAGTCTCATTATTCAAGTGGGAGACTACATTCTTCATCACAGGACATACTTGTAATCTGCACATTTATTAAAATGGAAGACTAGTTAATGTTTGAACTTTTATGTAGCCTCTTCATGATCTTGACTGATGGCAGAGAATGTTTCACATTTATTGTGAGATACTGCCTTGTCCCTGGAATTACTAATCTAAAATGTCAGCTTTGAAGCATACATTCTTCTGTGAACTTTATGTATCTAGCTTAATGCATTAAACGGCTGGGTTTTATTAGTAAGCTTTTGTGATGAACTCCTCTAACGCACAGAAACAAAAGCCTTCTTTTAACCTGATATTTTCATCTCATAATGTTATATAACGTGAGTTCAATTTCTGTTCATCCTTTAATAATTACTCAGGCAAAAATAAAAAAATAAATCCAAGAATATACCACTATTTTCATTGAATCTTATGGTATCACATTAACAAAGAAACTTAACAATATATGTATGGCATGTAAGTATATCATTATCTATTGCTGTTTCTTTTTTACAGCTGTTTTATGACTCTTCTACTACAGTTTTATGACTTCAGTGCCTATTGCCAGAGTGAAAGAAGCTGGTAAACAAACAAGAATTCAGTATAGAAAATGTAATCTGCCTTTATGCTATCGTCCCTTCCCCACTCCAGTAGAGAAAGGGACATTCCACACGGTGACTTGCAGTGCACTCTGAACCAGCCTCCAAAAAATCAGATGCTCTGTAAAATTTATGAACATCCTGCGACTCCTCCACAATGACATGATAGCAACAGTCTTGGACAGCAATGGCTCGCAAAATGACCCATTTAAGGTGGAATCAGGTGACAAACAGGGATGTGTTATTGCCCCCAACTTTATTTTCCATTGTCATCACTATGATACTGCACCTTGTTGATGGGAATCTTCCAACTGGTGTGGAAATCATCTATTGGACAGATGGCAAGCTATTTAACCTCGGCAGACTGAAAGCCAAAACCAAGATCACAACAACATCTGTTGTAGAACTCCAATATGCTGATGATTATTCAGTCTGTGCTCATTCAGAAGAAGGCCTACAAGCCACTCTAAACACCTTTGCAGAAGCATACAAAAAGCTTGGCTTCTCATTTAACATCGAGAAAACCAGTGCTCTTTCAGCAGGCACCAGCTAATCCTTCTGCAATGCCAGAAGTACAGCTTAAATAGTGTAACGTTAGAAAATGTTGACCATTTCTGCTACATTGGCAACCACCTCTCCACAAAAGTCAACACTCACACTGAAAAAGTCTGCAGATTTCAACAGAGCATATTCCCAAACATAAGGATATACAATTCTACCCAAAGCAATATGCAGTCATTGTTTTCAGAATAGGTGAAAATACTTCCTTTATTCTCATGGAAGAAACTGGAAGGACAAGTGGAACAATGATTACATGGATGTGTGTATAACTATGGTAATCTCTTAGTTACAGTCTTTGTGACATCATCAAACTCAAGTACTCTATTCAGTCATGTCAAGGCATTTTCAGGGCAAAAAGATAGAGAGAAATTATGCATATATATAGATATGTATGTGGTTCTTTTGGAAAGTGAAAACATATTGCATAGCTATTTTGTCACAACATTTTGAATTGATGTGTAGTTTTATTAACAATTTATTACATAGGCCAACATGCACTTTGATGCCTCAAATGTTAGATCTACATCTGGGTATATTTGACCCGCTGATTCCAAAAGTAGCATCTGTTTCCCCACAAAAGGTCTAGTTTTTGAGATACAGAACACATGCCGTGTGTTCTTAATTTCACTCTACTTACCCATAAAATAAGGACATTTTAATGTAGTGGTTAAATTAATATCTTTTTAAGTATGAAGGAAACATATTAAACATTAAAAGAAAAATGTTTTACATGGAAATCTACTTATTTTATACCAAAATCACAGATTTATGATACACACTTTCCATTATAAATTTAACCATATCTAAGAAACTAGATAGAGCTGATGCTATCTCTCAAATGTAATTTTCTGAATCAGTGCCCCAAATAATTCCAGGAACAGACCTAAAAACCAAGAAACCAAGAATTGTTGTTGTTGTTGTTCTTGTTGGACTGTGTTACAGATATTTGATTTATTAATTAAAGATTTTTTCCCCCAGCCAATACCCTTCAGCAGAAAAGAAATTGGGGGAGTGGGGTGAAACTTTTTTTTTAGCAAACCATGAAGACTAGTTCCATAACACAAAATAATTTAAATTATATGGATCATAATATATTGTATATACATTTAATTAAATAACATTTCTATTTTAGTTGCAAAGTTTCAAGTCTTAAAATAACTGAAAATGACTGTTCGTTGGTAATTTATAGTTACAAAAGAGTACCACGACGTCTGTTGGAAACATTTGAAAACTGTGCCAATACACTTTGACAGAAATCTGGTTCCATTGATAAACTTTGGTGGACACTCAAGAATGCAAGTCAGAGTGTGAACACTGGAAAGAACACATTTCAGTTTCCAGTTAATTCCAGTAGTAGGCATGATAAGAAGTTTGAATCTCAAATGCATGAGACTAAATTCACCCAACACTTTTAGAATTCCGATGAAACTAAACATAGTTATTCAAGATCACTTTTCAGGTTGCAATGACATCTTATTCAATGACAAATATGGATAAATATGCAGGGAAGGTAATATGCTGAGCCTAACCCTCTGGATAACCTGGGAGATAAAATATGAGGGTTATTCTCATAGAATCATAGAGTTGGAAGAGACCTCATGGGCCATCCAGTCCAACCCCCTGTCAATAAGCGGGAAAATTGCATTCAAAGCACCCCTGAAAGATGACCATTCAGTCTCTGTTTAAAAGTCTACAAAGAAGGAGCCTCCATCACACTCCAGAGCAGAGAGTTCCACTGCTGAACAGCTCTCACAGTCAGGAAGTTCTTCCTAATGTTCAGATGGAATCTCCTTTCTTGTAGTTTGAAGCCATTGTTCCACTGCGTCCTAGTCTCAACTGCTCTCACAGTCAGGAAGTTCTTCCTAATGTTCAGATGGAATCTCTTTCTTGTAGTTTGAAGCCATTGTTCCGTCCTAGTCTCCAGGGCAGCAGAAAACAAGTTAGCTCCCTCCTCCCTATGACTTCCTCTCACATATTTATGCATGACTATCATGTCTCCTGGGGGGGGGGTAGGAGTTAGGGGTTCAAACCCCCCTCCCCCAAATTTTCAGGTAAAAAAACCCCTGGTTTGCTCATGAATTTTAACTGGTTAACCAAATCCCCATGCTAAGTCTATGAGACGCAAAAAATTAAGAGTCCCTCCAGAACTGCAAGCACTATCTCAAGCAAATATTGACAATTTATTCACACTATCATTACTTGCAGCTGTGCTCTTTGCTTCAGCGTGAGCTAGGAGGCAGGTTTCCTCTTTAAGGGTATTTTTATTGCCCTGATGAGGCCATGTGGTCAATTCTCCATTTTGGTCTCTCTCTCTCCTTTGTTCTCCTAGAGTGAGGATGCATCTTACCATTCTCCAAGCAAGATGTAGTAGATATGGCTATTTTGTTATTTTTTTCTTTTTCTTTTTCTTAGAAGATAGTTCAGTGAAGCTAGTTAGCTCCAAGTACCTTTCCTATCCAGAATGGATTTCTTTTGACTTTAATAAACATATTGGGGTTTTTTAGAACCCATGAAATTGTGGATCTGCAATCCTGTTCCATCCTGCTGAACGGAAACTAATCCTTGCTCTCTGCATGTAACCTTCTTCTGGTTATGAATTGTGCTTCTGGCACTCTGCTATATTTTTGTGGAATCACTCCCAAATGAGGGTTATTTTGAGCCTAACAATTCTTGATTCCTAACAATAAGATAAACCCCAAAATCAAAACAAGATATGATTGTGGTATATTCATTTCACATATTACATTTTGATATAATTTTTATAAAAGCAACCATCGTAATATGAGAAATAGACTGAAAATGATATATTATGAAATACACACTGAAAAAGGGGAGGCTGTTGTTCCAATGTTCTTTCAGGTGGTTAGACTTGGAAAAGGGATTATAGTGCAATTAATCCTTGAAACTATAAATCTAAATCCACTTAAAATTTGTTGGTACAGTAGTTGGGTGCTGTTGATGCAGTATGAGAAGCACAGTGTAAATCCAACCAGGTACCAAGAACAATGTTTGAAACCATCATAAGTTACATAATTTCAACACCGATTCTTACCTTTTGGGATGGAGGTTTTTCTGGAGGTCCAGCAAAAGCATGAAAACTTCTAAAATACAAGACACAATTTAACTAAAGTAAGTATCTTTAAGCATAAAAATCTTGATTTAGTCAAAGCCTAACTAGCTACAAGTAGACAGGTACAACTAAGATATTTCAGAAGTAACTTAATAGTTGGAAAGATGCACCTTACAGGTGTAACAACTAAGGTTTTTTGTTACATTTCAAACATACTTGGTAGGCATTTTGAGAAACATTTAGATAGGATTTTGAAAAAGGTCAAACAATGCAATGAATTACATGATGATTTTTTTTTTCAGTTTGGCAAGCAACAATAAAGTCAATATTACGATAAATAACCAGAACAAATTACTTGGAAAAATTAAATTAAGCTATAGATTTAGATTCTGTAAAACCAGGGTGAACAGTCATCTTTTGAGCACCACACTTACCCTATATCCCATATCCCTGGCCCCAAAGGTCACGCTCATTTCTGTCTGGGTGAGTTTTAACCTAAAGCAAGGTTCAGAACAATGTCTTGTTTTATGCCAGAATTGAACCCCCAAGGTGCCAAATTGGGAAGGAAAGTAGTTCTGTAATTGTTATAAATACCAACAGATGGATTTTTGGAAGCTGTGTGTGGTTTACCCACTATGATTCACATCCCTGCTCCAAAGAAATACGTATAAGTATAAACTCAGTAAGACATGGAGTACTATGTGAATAGTAATGAATTTCTTCTCTCTCAGTTGTCTTTATTTTTTTAAAAATCCAAACTTTGTGGTGGCAGTGAGCCACCATTAACTCTTCCATTTTAAGGGCTGTGTATGTTTGGTGCAAAGCCCTTTCACACTATACAATTACACTGTTAAAATCCCACTTTAACTGGCATACTTTCACCTTGTGGAATCCTGGGACTTGTAATTTAGCAAGAAGTCTTTACAATTCTAATCCAGAGAGTTTTTCTGGATATTTGATAGGATATTGCCATGTCTGCTGAAACGTAGTCACACTGCTTAAAAAATAAAATAGTAGCACCGCAGGTAGAATACTAGTGCTGTCGTGATTCAGCGTGGTAGTAACATAGATACTACTGTGAGAAGGGGTAAGAGGTCTACTCGGGAGGAAGAGGAGGAACAGCAGCGTAAGCGTATTAGGGATATCTTGATGGCTCCTTCTGACTTGGAGGACTTCGAGGGTTTCAATGAAAGCGAGATGGAGGTGGGAGAGGAAAGCAGGGGAAGAAATCGCGATTCAGATGAAGTGTTACAAAGAAAACGTATTAGAGACATACTCAATGCACCAACATCTGAAGATGAATTTATGAGGTTCAATGATGGTGATGGGTCTTCAAGTGGTGAGGAAGGGGATCAGGAGGTGGATTGGACCCGTGTTCAAGAAATAAGGGACATTTGCATGCAACCCACTTCTAGCGAGGACTTTGAAGGTTTTAATAGGGACTGGCAAGAAAGAAGCTCTTGGCAGGACCTGGGACTCGAGCAACGTTGGCAACGCTGGAGGGAGGATCAGCAGGCAGCTGTGGGGGATGAGGCAGCTGATAGCAGTAATGACGAAGGGAGTTGTTCCAGTAGTGATAATGAGTTATGATATTTAAGTTGGGATGTTTTGCCTTAGTCCTCCGTAGGAGGCAAAGTGTCTTTATTGGGCATAAATATTTGTTGCTGCCAACTCTCCAGTTTGGGTCCTGGGACTGTAGCATTCCTGTGTTCTTGTGTTTCATGCATTCCTGTGTTGCTGTGATTCCTGTGTTTACATTCTTCAACGGCTTGACTTCGGAACGGTTTGACCTACGTGCTTGTTTTTGGGACTGCATTACTATTACTCTGTGTTCTGACCTTGCATCGTTTTGGGACTTCGATTTCTGGATATCTCCTTTTACTACCGTGAACTGTGCCAATTTTCAAGCGGTTTGCTTAATCTTTTGTTTAACCCGCATTAAGAGCGTTATAATCTGGGTTATATTTTTGTTTGCTACATTGCTGTGTTTTTGTTGCCAATTTACTGCTGAAGTTTACTGCACTGAAGTTAAGTGCTTTAAGAGACTCTTTTTGTATAATAAACTTGTTTTTGCACCTTCCATCTTGTGTTTGGCTGTACTTTGGGCGTCTGGATCTTGACAAGTGCAATTCAATCCAAGTTTTAATATGCACACTTCCTAGAAAGTGTGCATATTAAAACTGGGGTCATAAAACCTAGGCTATTCTAAGACAAATCAGAGATGAAAAACCATGTTTTAAGCAAACAAAAAGAATGAGTAACTGCTATGGAAATGTATCTAAGCCAAGACCTATATCATGATAGTAAGTCTTAATTAATGCATAGGCAGAGTTCCAACTAATCAGTCACCTGATGCATCTCAATGAAAGGCATCTGATAGAGTAGAAACTTTCTAATAAAATGACCTCACTAACTTTCAGGAATGGACATCTTGAGCTAAATCAGAGCAAATGGAAATACATTAAAGCATGTACTGTGACAAGTGTTTCCTGAAAATGAGCTTCCCTCAACTCCAACCCTATAAAGTAGAAAGAGATTAAGGAATTTGCTAAAGCAGAAACCATGTGATATCCAGGGGACAAAAAGCCATAGGTTTAGAAAATTAGGTTGAACATTTGATTATATTCTGTGCACAACTAACAAGAGCATCAGTTTGATTTAGAAAACAAAACTTGATTTACAGATCAGGAAAACAAATCTTTACTGAGACATATGATGCAAGGATAGCTCATCTGCCCTGTATAACCTTGACTTTATTCCTCAGGCAAAAAAGATAGTTGTGATGAAACAATTAATGTATATAGTTTAATAAACAAAATATTGGGTTAGGAAACTGACCGTCAAAACTGTTTAGATATGAACAAACTGAGGTTCTTCAAGTGGTCATCTATACACTTACACAGACTTGATGATACTTCATTCAGAAAGTTCCAGAGTTGAGTAGTTTTTGCAGGAAACACCACTAGCCCCTTTGGGAAAATAGGGCAGTAAATAAAGTATTATTATTTTTTTATCTAGTCCGCCAAGGTATTTTCCCCTCAGCTTCCCACAAAAGTCAGGAACAGAAAAAAACTGGAAATGGAATAAAGAGAGGAAGCAGGGTGGGTAGTGTGCGGGCACAGATAACCACTCAAGGAACCACAGTCACTAATAAGCAATACTTCTTCATCATAGGCAAAGATTACCATCAGAGGTGGGACCAGAAATAAAGATTGCAGCACCCTACAATCAAAACCTTGCACAATCCCTAGCTCTAGAGTCCAGGTCTTAAGAGAATTCAGGGCTGAGACTCTGTGACAGCTTTGCAAAGCTCAGGCAAGGAAGTGCCACTAAGAAAGGCTGCAGGTGGAATGAGCCTTGATTGAAGTCAGAAGTGACATCTTAGTGAGAACCCTAGATAGAAGAATAGTTTGTGCCATCCACTCTGAGATCATCTAGGAGGAAGGATAGTGACCTATTTTTGGATCACCATCATAGAAGTACAACTGTGTGGATTGGCAAGAAGGAGCAATTTGATTGAGGTCACAACAAGCATCTAACATATGGAATGATATTTCTAGATTTGTAAAAGGTTCAACAGAACTACTGGTAATACTTATTAATATGGAATTCATAAACTACTTTCAGGAAGAAGGTGATATCAAGCTGGAGAACTATCTTGTTCCAGGTAAAGCATAAGGACAACTTTTATCAGGTTAGAAAGCAACAGGCCCAGAAGCCCTACAGTCTGAAGTGAAAGCCACAAGGTGGACCACCTCCATAGTAAGAAGTAGGCCTGGGTAACAACGGAAAAATTTGTTTCTAAAATCAATTCGTTTTTTGGGGGTTTTTGTGTTTCAATTTTTAAAAGAATTCCGAAATTTTTCTGTAAAAAAAGTTCGATATTCACGAAATTTCGTAATTCGTAAAATAATTACGAAACAATTACGAATCGATTCGTTAATGACGGGCGCGACCGCGCAATACACTAAAAAACCTCCAAATGGGACAGGGGGAACTTCTGAAGCTTCCCTCTCCCTCTGTTGTTGACTGTTGGTGTGATATTTATAATTTTTTTTCACTGATTAAACAAACAACAACTATACAACTTGCCCCAGACATGCGGAAATAGTAACGAAACGATTTCAAAACAATAACGAAACAAATACAAAATGAATCCGAAGCAATTACGAAACGAATTTAAAAATTCGTTTCGTTTTTTAGATTCTCCTGAATGGTTCGTTATCACTTCGTTATAAAAAAAATAACGAATTTTTAACGAATTAAGAAATTACGAAACGAAACCGCCCAGCCCTAGTAAGAAGACATCCACCCACAGAGGAAAGACTCTCAAAGGGAAAGTTTACTAGTAGAGAAAGGACAAGGGTCATGGAGTAGTCCAACTGGAAATTTTAAATAATTTTGAATACTGTTAGGTACTATAGCTAAGATATAAACTTTCCGAGACATACCAGTTTCGACAGGCCTTTGATCTTTGATATTGTTGTTTTTAAATTGTTTTAAATTGTTTTTAAATTTGTTTTTAAATTGTGTTAGATTTTAGCCTGTTCTTGTAAGCCGCTCCGAGCCCCAGGGGAGTGGCGGCATCTAAGTTTGAATAATAAATAAATAAATAAATAAATAAAAGGAAAGGCCTTGTTCCTGAAGGTGTAGCATAAATGAAGGACTGTGGACACATCCTCAGGAGTCACAGAGGTGGGTATGTTATTTGATTACTTACATTGGGGGGTCTGGTTTATTTAAAATAATTATGTACTTAACTATGCTGTTGGTTACATTTAAAGAGGAGATTGGATAAATGCTTTAAGTTAAAAATATATAGAGAATAGATTAAATAAGATGGATAGCTAAATATTACTGGTTCTACGTATACTGTATATTTGGAGGATATGTAGGTTGGAGATGTGGCATGTAGACAGGATGCTGTTTATGATATATTGGGGAAATATGGAAGGGTTTTCTTACAAAAATATAATAAGCTTCCATCTGACATATAATAAATTCCCAATCTAATATATTTTTATTAATAATATTGTTTTCTTTTCTTAAAATATTGGATTAGGAACCCTTGAATGTCTCTATGTAGAGATAAATTGATAATTTATCTCTATGTAGAGAGGCTTTGATAATTTATAGATTTGGTGAATATGTTTATGAAACCTGCTAGAAACATGGAACCCAACATATAGAGAGATATTAAGCCATTATCCAAATTCCAACCTTTGATGATAGATAGGAATGTCCTAATTAAATGTAACTCAGGAGTCCTTTGCTCTTATCTCTCTCTGAAACCTCTTTCGTCAATGGCTTCTTCAATGAAAGGGAATCCTAAAAGGTTGAGGTTTGTCCCCAAGTACTTTGGAATTTCACATTTCTGCTGTCAGAATCATGTCTGATTACTTTTCTCTCTCTCCTTTTTGACACAGAAATTGGCCTGTTGCCTTATGTCAAATGAAGAAGGACACTGATGACACTATCATACTGGATGATGAATACATAATGACAATAAATCCTGATATTGTGGGCGACACAATTAGGTTCTGTAATAGCACAGCCAGAGTAGATATGAAGATACTCAGGATGTGGATTTGTTGCAGGGTTTCATTCCTGTGTTTATATCCTTTTTGTGTGACCTGCTGTTGCTAGCGAGCTGCAGTTAAAATTGGGATTGTCTGCTACTAACCTACCATCCAAGCCCCATGAGAGTGGTATCATTATCAGAAGAAGACTGTAATGCTGTTGAATGGTCCAGTAGAGATTTGTAGGAGACAAATAGTTTTAGGTCTGCCCTGTTATAAACTACTGTTCAGCACAAATCTGGCCTTGTAAATATGCTTTTTCACTTTGTGGGTGGGAATTGTATTTTGAGAAAAACTTGATGTGAATTCTTCAGATAGGAAACTCAGTCAAACAAGTCTCAACAAGCATGACTATTATACAGCTTGGCTGCAGAAAATAGGTAGCAAACAATAGTTTTTCAAAGGAAAAACCTATGTGTGTGTGCGCGTGTCTTGAGGTCATCTGTAGTTCTGAAAGCTCTTTCTTCTGAAAAATAGCTTGTATAATCTGATATATATTGGCAGTCTTCCATCCAAGAACTGGCTAATATTGATCCCTCTTGACTTCTAAGAACGAATGCAATCTAGTGCCCTTTAGGATGTTTAAGTAAAGGTAAAGATTTCCCCTTGACATTAAATCTAGTCGTGCCCAACTCTGGGGGGTGGTGTTCATCTCCATTTCTAAGCTAAAGAGCCAGTGTTGTCCGTAGACGCCTCCAAGGTCATGTGGCTGACATGACTGCATGGAGTGCCATTACCTTCCCATCTGAGCGATACCTATTGATCCACTGCTAGGTCAGCAGAAGCTAAGAAATCCTAAAATAGGGAATGGAAGAAGTGAACATAGATGTAGCTTGTGTACAACGTATCACTGCTATGTAACAGAATCCTTATTATAGAAGCAAACACTTGATTAATGGGCTTGCACTTTTTACTCTAGACTGAGCCTAAATGAAATGAGTATGAGAAAGAGGAAGTTGATTGTGCTCGTGAAGCTCTCCATTAACTAGGATTTAAATGCTTTACATGTGCATTTATATGTTAAACAGATTTCAATAGAATTTCCAAAGTTAAGATGTGTATTTTTCATCTCAGAAGAACTATTTCAATCCAAATAATTAAACCCCTAGATTTGTTGTAGTTTATGCGTAATGTAGTCTAGTTTAACAAAGACACAGTAAAGAGAAAAGCATAAATTTACTCTTTTCTAGCAGAGTAAAAAAACATAAACTTGAAGCATTGCATCAAAAATAAATCCTACAGAGTAACAAACTTACATAGTCTTCTATGCATCACAAAATGCAGAGAGTATGGCTTTTCCGGCTTTCAAAGGAGAGCCAACATGTATCATAAAACACACCCAGTTATACTTCACTGAGTGTGGTCCAAACTTACTGACTTTAATTAGCACTTGCATATAATGATCACCAGCATGAGTTTTTTTTCCTTAACACATATATCTATTCCAGCCTTGGTGCTGATTCTTTCAAAACTCACCCCGTTTTCCGTATACCCTAACAAGATTCACCACCATAAAATATGTTTTTGGCTGAAATAAAAAGGTTGTTTTCTGTGCCCAAGAAGCATAATAAATTCCAGATTAGATAAAGCAACATCAAAATGGGGCTTACCGCCGAATATAATACGGAACTCTGGGATGCTGCCAGTATGGCAAATGCTTAAATGTTTCATTCCCACATCCAACATAAAATTGACAATCTTCTAATTCATCAGGCCCATGTAAACTGTGGCCATTTAAAGTACACAATCTGTAAGCAAGGCAAATTGAAAACAGTTAATACTTATAATACTAATATATCCTAAACAGAACTAAATCCTTCTAATATGGGTAATGATATTACCAGCTTCACTATATTAATCTTATATTCTATATTTTGATCTTCTGTGGAGTGACTTCACTTATATATCATATAGCTGCAATGTACACAAGTGAGAGGTACGGGTAGACATGGAGGACTCGGAAGCATGAAGAAAAGCAACAAGTTTTTAAAAGAGAGGAAAAAAACCCTGAAAGGGAGAAGTCTTTCTCATACAACACAATGAAAAATGCTGATGTTCTGTGGCCATTGAATAAATGTTTGCTTTTGGGAGAAAAAAGTACAAAAAATGAGAGGACAGAGAGATTCTATAGCATTAATTCATGACATTTAAAGTGGTGTCCAACTGCATTCATTTAATAGGGCAGATGCAACACAGTCTTCTTCTGATTTCTTGGATGCAGCCGTCATGCAATTGTCCTGCTTCTTGGCAGGGGCTTGGACTGGATGGCCCACTAGATCTCTTCCAACTCTATGATTCTACGATTCATTATGATTAATAACTGAACCAAAATATGAGAAACCTTGAACTATTTCAATGTCTTCATCATCAATTTTAAAATCATCATTTGTGGTCATTATTTTTCGTTTTCTTGCTGTTCCGCTATAAATCTGTCTTTACACTTTCTTCCTTGACTTTCCTCACGAATAATTTCCAGCCTTTTGCTATTTTATGATAGTAGTATTTTTGGTGTAAATTAAGAATTAAAATTCAGCTTGTCTGCTATAATTAACCTGATTGACTCCATTTTGACAGCAGGTGACATTTTACAAGTGGCCTGTATTGTCTTGCTGAACTCTGCCATTTGTACCATGCTAGAAATGCTGTAACTGCAATATCCTGTGCCCAGGGGCATCCCATTTGATGTTAGGGCTACAATGCCAGACCCTGAGAACATCCTTGCAAACAATAAATAATCTATGTCTACATTCTGTTCAGGTCACATTGACAAGAATTACCATGTACGCATTAGATATTGCACATATGCACTTCGTCTTTTTCATTAAAACCTCCTTCAAATCGAATGCTACTTCACATGATATGTTTAGTGTAAGAGCTAAATAGATACGGTGATAAAATACAGCTCTGCCCTACACACTTACCAATTAGAAACCATTCTTTTTCTCTATTCTGTCCAGATGATGGCCTCTTGTTTTGTGTACAGGATATACATCAGGAGAATTGCATGTTGTGATACATCAATTTTAAGAGCTGTCTAGAATTTTCCATGTTCTACATAATCAAAGGCTTTACTCTAATCCATTGGTTCTCAATCCATGGGACTCCAGATGTTTTTGCCTTCAACTCCCAGAAATCTTAACAGCTGGTAAACTGGCTTGGATTTCTGGGAGTTGTAGGCCAAAACACCTGGGGACCCACAGGTTGAGAACCACTGCTCTAATCCATTAAACACCTGTCATTTTTCTTTGGTAAAATCCATTATCCACAATATGCTCGCAATATGATCTCTAGTCCCTATATTTTCCTGAACCCAGCTTGGATATCTGATATTTTTCATGCCATAAACATCTCTGCAGTAGAATTTTGAAATTAATCCAAAGACCTCAAGTGTTCTAAGGCAGTGGAATATATATTGAACATTCCCACTATGTGAGTCATTGTTTTATTTTCCATATTGTTGACAGACTTCAGTCAGAATTAGAAACAATTCTCTCTCTGGAGCTCTCTTTGGTATGTCATTTGTTCCTGGTAATTTATTTCTCCCAAGTGCTTTGAGCACAGCTTCTATTTCACTTTCCAAAATGGTTAATTCTAGTTAAAGTAACCTACACAATTACAAACTTACCAATAAAAACAAAACAAAAAAAGTGGCCATTTTTTTTGCTCAAGTGCACTAATGTTTCATTACATACATATGCATACAATTAAAATATTAAGACCAATTTAATCAGCACTGCTTTTCAAGAAAGGGTAAAAAAAGAAAAACAGCAATACACTCTGTTTTAGTAGCTGTATTCCATTATAAGCTGCACTGCTTACCTTTGAATACCTCCAGAGCGAGGCAATACTTTTTCATTTATTAGGCCAAGGACACTATTCCAACTTCTCAATGTAAACTTGGGTATGAGAATTTTCATAGGTGGTATCAGCATCTCTCCGTTTGTGAAAACACTGCATTAAGAAGATACACACAAAAAGTGTGTACAAAAAGTTATTTAAAATGTACATTTTAAAGGAATATCACAAATTAGACTTTATCAGTAGATTTTAAAATTTAACTATGTTTCAATGTGCATTTTATTGTTTAAAGGCATCAAATAGCTGCCATATGTAAACCAACCTTGAGTCCCCTTCGGGGTAGAGAAAGGCAGGACATAATTACAATAAATAAATAAATAAATAAATAAATAAATAAATAAATAAATAAATAAATAATAAAATATTTAAATTCATCAGCTAATATAGTATATTTGACCATGTTTCTACCATAAATAGTAGGGGAGGCAGAAGTGAAATATGTCCAGTTGGAGAACCCAACAAAGATATAGCCTCTGAAAATTCAATTACTTTCTCTCTGTACCAATCAACAATGTCCTCAACAATTCCCAGAGGAAATAAAATACAATCCTTTTAAACAGATAATAGAATCAATTGATTTCTCCACAGAAGCCCATATTAGAAAACGGTTGTTCCTCAGCCTGCAAGGATACATGGAAGCACTTTGAAACTAAATCTGGAGGCCCAAGTATACTGCCCAGGAAGTTAAGTCAAAATGAAATCACTTACTTCTGAGTGAATATAATTAGGACTGGGCTGAGAAAAATCACTTTTTCAGAGAAACGAAAGTCGGAACAGAACAGAAACTAATATTACATCTGTTTAAATGTGTGTGCGTGTATTTCAGAATGGTTATCCTGAATTTCTGCACACACACCCCAAATACATTTTCCCCTTCAAGTATTTTTTTATTGCGGGGTGGGAGGAGAGAGAACATATGTACGATTCCCCCAATAGAAACACTGCACTCAAAAGAACAGGCAGCATAAGAAATTAAGCAATACAGCTTTATGTATTCTCAAAAGGAGAAATTAAGCTTCCTCAGACAAAAATCTGAACAATACTGGTGTTCTTCTGTAAGGTGGAAGAGAATATCAGTACAGTAATGTATGCAATTTTAGAAGTTCAATCTATGTAAACTTGACAGTGGCACGACTCTTATTTTCAAGTCTAAGAACACACCTACTTTGGAAGGTTAATTCTGGACATATGTGTTTTGGAGCTTACCCAGATCCAGTAGGTACCTGCTGAATCTGGGATCATGTGTCCAAATAGTCCAGCCTGTCTCTTGCTGGCTACGAAGCATCTGGCCTGTAATATTTACTGAAGTAAAAATGGGGCAACCAGGAAGGAAGAGATTGAGGGAGCCTCTCCTTCTTTCTGATTATGCGGGTGTCACTTTCTGTCCTCAGCAGACAGCAGGTAGCTCATGGACAGCAAGGAGTGGCAGTGATGACACACAGAAAAAGGATGATGGTGGCAGTGTGTGTATGGGTAACAGATCAGGGAGAAATTGATCTGATCTACAAAGCTTGCAGAGAGTTTCCTGAAAACTCCAGTGTATCACCTGGCTTTGCTTACCATGAAGCAAAGTCAGGTTAAGTAGGGGGAAAAAACCTATAAGAAGTCACCGTGCATAATGAAGACTGCCAGCACTGGATTTGGGTTGAGTATGGTTTGTTTATTTATTTGGTCATGTAGACAAGCTTCTAGTCTATCTCTACAGCAGTATCTCAATAAAACTATTTGCAGCAACAAGGGATTGTTACTTTAGGTATTACACTATAAGTGTAACATTAGCTAGTAAAAATATTCAAATAGCATCCTTCATGCAGTGACACAATGAAGTGTACAGCATACACACCAGTTACCAAAATATACTGTACAATCTGCTTTCAAGGATTCACATCTGACTGCTTCATTAAGTATAATTTTTGAGAAACACAGATTGTTTGCAAAGGATATTTGGGGCCATCTAGTGGAATTCTCAGTACATGGAGACAAAATGTGGATTATGTATTGAAATAAATGTAATTTTCAAATATACAGTGCCAATAATTACTTTGAAGAGTGCAAGAATGGTTCCTATCATCTTTTCAAGCAAAGGATACGGCAAACTAGTTTCAAGTAGCTTCAACAGGAGGCAATGCTATCAGCCATTGTCTCCATATAAAAGCATGCACACACATTTCAGAAAATCTCTGTAACATGTTTCAATAAAATAAAATCAAGGCTGTAATCCTATACACAAGTAGTTCAGTGCTGCAAATACAAAAAGTCATGTAAACTTTGAGTCGAAGTTTCCTTATTATTATTCAGAAGAAAGCACCACTTGCCCATACTATTTGTTAAGCAGAATCACTATTATTTCTGTGGGTGCTTCCAGACAGCACATTCAATCCATAATGAAGCGGGTTTTTAAAACCCACTTTGGCACAGATTTAAGTCCCCACCCACCCCCAAAATCTAGGCTTTCTTGGGGGGGACGGGTCCCCACGGCATCCTAGTAACTACTGGGATGGCGTGGGACCACCCAAAAAGAAGCCCTTAAAATGTAAAACAACTTACCCAGCTGCCATTAAGGTACTGCTGGAATCCAGCAGTACCTTAATGGTGGCCAGGAAAGTTGTTTTATAAATTTAAGGGCTTATTTTTGAGGGAAGGAAGGGGTGCCATCTCACACCTTTGGGCTCTAGGAGCCCAAAAGGTGTGATATAACAATGGAGACTCACTCCCCCCCCCCCCCCCCCGGTTGTTTCAGGACTACCCATGGGTGAATCCCCACAGATCCAATACTCCACTACACCTGGGACTTTCAGGAAGGCCAGGATCTAATGGGGTATCTAATTAATTCGGGACTAAGCAGGGTTTACCCCTGCATCGTTTGGACTCCTCCAGTAAAAGAGAATCAGGCCCCGAATTTTTGTGCCTGTCTGTAAGTGCCATGATATTGCTTTACAAAAGCATTAAAGACTTCTTCTGATGTACTTTCCATAAATGTGGCAAACTAAATTCTGTACTTGTTCATTTTTCTCTATGTTTTGGGATAATAAATAGTCATCTCTATTCCTCCACACAAGGATTTTGAGATGGATTATACTGAGACAACGATCCAAAGCTATCCAGTTACTTACATGGTTAACTAACATTTAAATTCAGGTCTCTCCTGGTCTAACAGAGTTTTTATTAAATTATTCTTATAGTTTTCTTTTTCATTTGGATGTAAATCACAACTGAAAAAATATTAATAATTTACATGGATGCTAAATAAATTAAAACACACACTTACTTAATACTTCGTGGCTTATTATAGATTGATTGCCATTTGGAAGGTACTTGTATATTACTGTGGACTACTGGTCGAATCTGCAAAAAAAGTAAGAGTAACACAAAGAGTACATAATGCAAATGTTTTACAGGATTTCATCCTAAAAGTTGACAGTTTATAAAGATATACATCCACTTTAATATAAAGACACACAGTCAGCACATACATATTGGATTCAGGGCTGCTCCAGGGCAAATATAAGCCAGAATAAACTGCTGTGGTCATAGACAGCAGGCAACATACTTTACAACTGACTGTAGTGTATAGTAGCTATATGCCCTCTCTTTACTTATGCACACTCATCTGAACCAATGTAAAATATGTCTTATTCATCAAAGTCTTCTTTTAGATTACACACCCAAATATATATATAAAAATAAATATAAATAGCTTTACAGTGATTTGATTTTACCTTTTTCATTTATACAGTATTCCTTTAAAGCCCTAGACAGTTCAGGCCCAGGCTATTTGGCTGAACACATCCCCTTGTACGAACCTGCCCAGGCCCTGAGATCGTCAGGAGAGGCCCTTCTCTCAGTCCCACCGCCATCTCAAGGCCGATTGGTGGGAATGAGAGAGCGGGTCTTTTCTCTCGGTGGCTGCCCCTCAATTCTGGAACTCTGGAAAGCCAGAATGCCCCCCCCCCCTCTCTGTTATCCTTCCAGTGGTAGACTAAAACCTTTTTACTCAGAAAGGCTTTTAAAAATGATGGTTGTTAACGAAATAGCTGATTATAATGTATGTTTTAAATGTGTTTATTGATGTTGGGATATGATAGGTGCAAGCCAGCTGATGTGTCGCCTGAGCTGAGGCGTTGCCATAGCGACGGAACCGGCTGTTAGAATATATCCAAGTTAGAGAAGCCAAAAGGACAGGAGCAGGCATTTTTTTAAAAGTCAGTTTTTTTTGGTCAGTGGACAAAAGCGGAAGTTGGGTTCTGGTGCGTGGAGAAACTGAACCCATGGGTTTAAGTCTTCAGCCTGTGTGTTTAGAGAGTCAATTGGACCTGTTTAAATTAGTAATTAGCTCGTGAGCTAAGGGGGAAAGAAACTCCAGTAGAAATCCGTAACTTCAGTGGGGATAGCTGAAGGGAGAAAAAGGCAAGTCAGTGCCTTGAATTGTCAGCTAAGAAAAGAAAGGTACTTCACAGTGAAATAAGTTTAAAACCAGTCTGGTGGAAGTAAAAGCCATACTGAGAGTTATATTGGAAACTGTTTAACTAAAGTCAACTGTAACAACATTTAAAGGAATACAGAATAACCATCAAATGTTGTACACCTGTCAATCCTTAAATAAATATTTCCTCGATCAGTTCTTTATAATTAAGACCCATTTATTGAGAAGATTTACCTCAGAAGAAGGTGGCTGAAGATATTGGAAAAAAGGATTCTGACTGGGGTAATGAGCTACTTCTTTTTAAAAAGTGCCTCAAGTAAAAACGTTTTAAAAGTCAAGCCTCAGCTACACACCACCACCACTACTTTAGTCTCCTCATTGCCCTGGTTTATTAATATTTATATATATATGTCATTTGTTCATCATGTTTTACAATGGTGTTTAAGATCTAGTCAGGGGATACTTTAGTTTTATATGCTTTCATGATTTTAAGCATAAGAGTCCCCAGGTGGTGCAGTGGGTTAAACTGCTGAGCTGCTGAACCTGCTGACTGAAAGGTTAGTGGTTCGAATCCAGGGAAGTAGGCAGAGCTCCTGCTGTTAGTCCCAGCTTCTGCCAACTTAGCAGTTCAAAAACATGCAAATGTGAATAGATCAATAGGACTGCTCCAGCAGAAAGGAAATTGGTGCTCCATGCAGTCATGCCGGCCACATGACCTTGGAAGTGTCTTCGGCTTAGAAAGGGAGATGAGCACCACCACCTCCAGAGTTGGACACGACTAGATTTAATGTCAGGGGAAACCTTTACCTTTACAATGATTTTAACCTAAATTGTTTTTAATATTAATGAGGTTTTATATATGAGGTAATATTAGCATATTTTAAGTTGTAATGCTTTTTATTATGAGCTGCTTTGAGTCTCCATAAGGAGAGAAAAAGCAGGATATAAATAAACATCATAATTTTAAAAGTAGGATACAAATGATCTAATATATAACAGCTGAAAATCAATCAAACATTCAGTATGTGTAAACACAGCTAAAACAGAAAATAATGGCATTTCAACCTTATCTTGCACTTGTAGTTTTAAATTATGTAGCTTGATACATGTTGGTAAACCTAAGCTTCCTTCTGTCCATTACCTTATATACTCATATATAAGCCTAAAAAATTTAGACATATAATCAATCCCAAAAAAACTGGATTGACTTACAGGCAGGTCTGTGGCAATATTGTGTCTTAATTATTATTATTTTTAAAAAGCAACTCTCTTACTGAGTAGAATGTTGGAAGGCAAAAGCTTACTCCATCCTAAAGACCAACTCCCTTTACTTTCTCCCATGGCACCAGTTCTACCCATTTTAAATGTGAAGGGGACGAAATGGCGGTAGTAGCCAGGAGCAGCTGAGCCCCTGAGATGGCACTAGTGCTTTTCTCTCTTTGTGAAATGACCCTCAACTTAGGAGTCATATCAACATCCATAATTTTGGCTCCAAAACCTGTCCTCAACTTATTCATGAGGTCAGCTTATAGATACATACTACTAAAAATGGCAAAAGTGAAATACTCACCACTTCATCCATTTTCTTTCTTTGAGGTTTCTTTGCTCCTATACTAAAGTAACTGGGGGGGAAAAAGAAATATGACTAGATTTTTAAAAAAGGATTCAAAAGTTTACACATTCAATTCAATTGTTTTCATTTAATACAGCACCTCCAGTGGTTTCCTATTTTACAGGGGCATTTACAGATTCAACTACTCCAGGGGTGGAAATCAGAAAGCCCTACAGTTATTTTCGGACTGCAACTCCCAGCATTCCTCACAAATGTCCTGATCCTCAAACACTCTCTAGCCAAGAAGGCTAAAGACCTTGTGAAACTATACCTCCCATACTTCCATAGCATTGAGCAATGACAGTGAAAGTGTGCTTCCTGCATTGCAGGGGGTTGGACTGGATGATCCTTGTGGTCTCTTCCAACTCTTAAAATTCTATTATATCCAAGGATCTGATCTCAGGTTTCTGCTTTAAATTGGATTATATGAGTCTGCACTGTCAGATTATCTGGGTTAAACAGAAAGCCTAGGATCAGATCCTGGGATATTGGGTCTGTCTGGAAAGGCCCTGAGGCCCATTCGACATTGCCATATAAAATCCAGATTATCTGTTTGAACAGGATTATATGAAAGTGTAGACTCATATAATCTGGTTCAAAGAAGATGATGTGGATTATCTGCTTTGATAATTTGGATTATATGGCAGTGTAGAGGGCCTATGTTGTGTCAAACTGCATTAGTCTAGCCGTGCAAACTGACCCTCAGGTACATACCTAGTTTAAACACATGTTACAGTTTCCACTTTCATTACTGATTACTTATATAACACTCCAACCTGTACAGAAATGCATTCATCATAATTTTCCCAATCACAGGTATTATTCTAGTTTTTCAGAAAAGGAAGCGAAGCTAAAAGATGCTACTTGCCTAGAAGTCAATTTTACAGCTCATTTGTTTTTACTGGTTTGAATTCAAGGTCAGTGAACCAAAGCAAGTTTACAAAAAGGAATCTTTCCCATTTCCTTGTCTTTTGGGAATGGAGGGGGGCACAGGCAAAAGTGTTGCTACACCTCAACTCATGAGATCTTTGAATTACTTTCCAGTCTAATTGCCACATGCGGGAGGGTGGAGCAATTTTCAAGGAGTGCTTGCAACTAGGAAATGTTAGAACTTTTTAAACAGAGGGCCAGGTCACAGTCCCTCAAACTGTTGGAGGGCCGGATTATAATCTGGAAAAAAATGAATGAATTGCTATGCACACTGCAAAAAAAAAAACAATACAATAATTAAAATGAACAATTTTAACAAATATAAACTTATTGGTATTTCAATGGGAAGTGTGAGCCTGCTTTTGGCTGATAAGATAGGGTTGTTGTTGTTGTGTTTTCAAATAATTTCAGACTTAGGTTGACCCCGAGTGAGGGCCGGGTAAATGACTTTGGAGGGCTGTATCTGGCCCCTGGGCCTTAGTTTGAGGACCCCTGTATTAGAACATGCCTCATTCATTCCTTTCAGCCACCCCTCTTCTTCCTCATATTTTTTCTTGCCCTCTTTCTGCTCCCTTTCTTCCCCATTCACAAAAACCTCACTATCTACTCTTCCGGACAGTTTTTTGAAGATTGCACCCTCAATTAGAATTATATACCAATTTATTTCATATTGAATTTGATATATGGAAGTAATGATGATAGTAGATCATCATGAAGGAAAACTGATTACATTTATAGCATGATTTGGGTGGGAATTTAATTGGGGATGAGTTCCTGATTTATCTCTGAGTTGTTTTTAGATTAGTATTCTGTCAACTTCATTCTTGCTACAGGTGGTTGACTATAATTGTTGCACTATATTACAGTCTGCTGGCATGGCTTCTGTGGATTTGATTATTCAATAATTTAATTAAAACATTCTCTTTCTGAATATTTAGATTGTCCAGTGCGACTGTATGGTCAACTTCCTCTGTTGGAAGACTTAGAGATTCCAAGAGTGAACATGTCTAGGAATCTCTGGGCCTCTCAGTGCAAAGGTGATCATAGGTACCACATCCCATCTGATATTAGACATTAAGCAGAATCAGCTCTAGTTACTACTACAATGGGAGAACACCAACAAATTCCAGGTGCCATAGACTACTTCAGAGGACTGTATTGTCTAGGAAAAGCCTATGGTAATAATGACTTTTAAAATTCACAAGTGTTATATTGGCTGCCAGTCCCTGGCAGCTTTCTAGGAAAGAAAGATCTGTAACCAGTGGGCGAATATATGGCACAACTTCTTGATGCACTAGAACGAAGTAATGGCCAGCCCTTTACAAATGATGGTTGCAAAGTGCTGTCCTGGGCTATATTATCTATTTGTGGCATTTCTACATGGATAGGATGTTCTCAAGCATCTCCAACCTTAATTTGTTCCAGGCGGACCAGAAAAACAATGCAGATGACCACAAAATAGAATGGTAAAAAGAATCCACAATTGTTGCTGTTATGTACCTTCAAGTCATTTCCAACTCTAGTACAGAGTTTTCTTGATAAGATTTATTCTAGAAGGCCTTTGCTTTCCTTTCAAGCTGAAAGAATGTGACTTCACTAGAATCACCTAGCAAATTCCCATGGCCAAATGATAATCCAAACCCTGGTTGCCAGGGTTGTAGTCAAATGCTCAAACCAGAACACCATGTGGGATATCCATTGCAAAATTAAGGGCTTAATGTTATACAGTAAATCCTCCCCATTCACTTTTTGCACACAGTCTCTATAAAAGTGGGGAAAATATAACAAAATATTATATTTTTTAGATAGGACTTCTCTAGGAATGCCTAGGTTTTCCAGCATTTCCATATAATCAACTTCCAATGGATATTGACTGTAGAACCACACTGGAGAAGCTGAAAATTTCTAGAGATCTTTTCTCTAGGAATCCCTAGGTTCTCCGACATGGTGGTATGAAGAATATCCAGTGGGAGTTATCAATAGAGTCGCACTGGAGGATGTAAAAATTTGTAGAGAAAACACTTGTACCAAATCTGTGGCTAACCAAATCCACAAAAGTTAAATCTACAAATGTGAAGGGCACTGTAGTACGATTTCCAAGCTGTGCTCTTGGGTACCAGATGTGACACAAAAATTGCTTCTCAAGCACCGAATTGTTTAAGAATACAGGTGCAAGAGTAACCATGCATACATTTACTTTGGAGCAGGAATATTTTGGAAACTTCCATTGCAACATTAGCACTTTTCTTTTTAGCGGACTGCTGTGAATTTTCCGGGCTGTATGGCAATGTTCCAGAAGCAATCTCTCCTGATGTTTAACCCATATCTATGGCAAGCATCCTCAGAGGTTGTGAGGTCAGTTGAAAACTAGGCAAGTGGGGTTTATATATCTGTGGGATGTTCAGGGTGGGAGAAAGAACTTGCCTCAAAACAGACAAAGGTTAATTCTCCCACCCTGAACACTCCACAGATATATAAACCTCACTTGCCTAGTTCCAAACAGACCTCACAACATATTGATGAAGACTTTCATGGCTGGAATCACTGGGTTGTTGTAGGTTTTTCGGGCTATATGGCCATGTTCTATGTTTTGTCCTGATGTTTTGCCTACATCTATAGCAGACATCCTCAAAGGTTGTGAGGACTGTGAGGCCCTCACAACCTCTGGGGATGCCTGCCATAGATGTAGGCGAAACGTCAGGAGAGAATGCTTCTAGAACATGGCCATACAACCCGAAAGACTTACAACAACCCAGGCCTCAAAACCTCTGAGGATGCCTGCCATAGATGTGGGCGAAACGTCAGGAGAGATTGCTTCTGGAACATAGCCATACAACCTGGAAAACTCACAGCAACCCAGTGATTTTGGCTATGAAAGCCTACGACAATGTATTTTTTAATTGTTTTGAACATTTTGAGGCTGGTGTCCCCCAAAGCTCTGCCTGGGCCTTATTCGCTTGATGCCTTTATACTCACTTCAGTTTCTTAAACCTTTCCCGGCCTGCCACCACGTATCTGCCTCCTTGTTGAAACTCTGGTAGATCTGACACGCTGTGCCCGTATCGAGGGGTGTAAATGTTCCTCACCCCAAAGGGCATGGGCAGCCCTTCGTTGAGCTGTATCATGAAGGCTTCGAAGTTGGGCACGTATCGATGGTTGATGACAAACTTGCGCCCCAAATAGAAGGGATCTCCATTCCGGTAGACCCAAATGGTCCTGGCAGGGGTGGCATCGGTCAGGCTGTACACCAGGCGGGGCCGCGGGGCTCCCACCATCTTCAGTGGAATAGGTGGGGACGGGAGAGGTGACACCACTGAGCCTTCAAGGCTCTGAAGGACCGGCCCAAAGGGACAGCCTTCCTCTCCACTCCCCAAGCAAGGCACCTGGGAGGGGATGGAGGCCAGACCTTGGCTGGGACCTCTTCCTCCAAGGCTCCTACTTCATCCTGTCCCTAAAGGAGGTTCAGCACCATCACTCCCACCCCTGACCTGGCAGCTTGGCCTCCCCCTCTGGAGGGCCCACTCAGCCCCACACACGTGGGCCAGGATTATGACTCAGCGCCTCAAACAAACCAACCAACCCAAAAGGGGGTGGGCATGGGAGACAAGCCGGTCTCCTTGGAAACTCATTGGGCAAAGGCGCCTGGAAAGGAGCCCTCCCTTCCCTCCCCTTCGCTTCCTTCACAACGCCTTTTCTATGAAGCCGCCAGACTCTTGCACTTCTCAGAAACTTTTGCCAACATCTCCTTCGGGCGAATTCTGGGAGCCGGCATCCCCAAAGTGCCAATCAGTTCTTGTCAGCAGCAGAGTGAAAAGCACTAAAGTGGCACTCTCCTCTCCCACCAGCCAAGTCTCCCCCCCCCCCCCAAAAAAAAAAAACCAACTCTGTAGTTTGTTGACTACACGCCCTAGAATCCTCCAAAGGAGTTCTGGTGTTCGTCCTGCCTCTTTCGAGCCCTTAATTTCTTACCAGCGCAACCGTGGAAGGAGCCACTCGCCCATGGCTAACTTTTCCCTTCACCCATTCTTTGAAGTGTGTGAGCGACAGTCCACAGAATTCTCCTCAGGTGAGGGCTGCACCTGCCCTCCCCAAGGCGCCTTTTCCGAGCCGCTCAGGTATTGCCAGGCAGTCTAGGAAGGGCTCGACAAGCCCGCCCCTCCCCCCGTGACCCTCAAGTTTGTGGACTACAGTCCCCAGAATCCCTCTCAGGCGAGCGCTGGGATTTGTCCTCCCCAAAATGCTGGTTGAGACTCGTTCCGACTTCTCCCCACTTTACAGATTCCTCAGTTCCTTGCGAGGCTTGTGGAAGCTACTTTTTCTCCAGTCCAAGGAAGTTTCATTCCAAAAAGTGACTACTCGTTCATGGGAGGTTTTTCCATCGAGGAAAAATCACTCCCACTTTTCTTCTCCTGACTTTTCAAAACTCCTTCCCTCCCTCTGTGTATATATGTGTGTGTGTATGTGTGTATCTTCCCTCCCTCTCTTCCTCTTTCCTCTTTCTTTCTTTCTTTCCTTCTTTCTTCCTCTCCTTTCTCTTTCTCTCTCTGTCTTCCCTCCCTCTTTTCCTCTACTTTCCTTCCTTCTGTCCTACTTTCTTCCTTCACTTCCTCTTTCTTTCTCTCTTTCTGTCTTCCCTCCATTCCTCCCTCTCTCTGTCTTCCCTCTCTCCCTTTTTCTTTCTTTGTCTTTCTCTTCCCTCTCTCCCTTCCCCTCTCTCTGTCTTCCCTCCCTTCCTCTCTCTGTCTTCCCTCCCTTTTTCCTTCCTTCCTTCTTTCCTACTTTCTTCCTTCGCTTCCTCTTTGTGTGTGTGTGTCTTCCTCCTTCCATTCCTTCCTTCCCTCTCTCTCTTTCTCTTCCTTTCCTTTCTCCCTCCCTTCCTCTCTCTCTCTCTCTGTCTTCCCTTCCTCCTTTCCTCTTCCTTTCTCTGTCTTCCCTCTCTCCCTTCCTTCCTCTCCCTCTGTTTTCCCTCCCTCCCCTCCCTTCCTTCCTTCCTTCCTTCCTTCTTCCTTCCTTCTCTTCCTCTTTCCTTCTTCTTCTCTCCCCTTCCTTCCTTCCTTTTTCCTTTTTCCTTTCCCCCTTCCTCTCTTTCCTTCTTCCTTTCCCTCCCCACTTCCTCTTCCTTTCCCTGTCTACTCTCCCTTCCTCTCTATGTCTTCCTTCCTCTCTTTCTTTCTCTTTCCTCTCGTTATCTCTCTCTCTCTTCCTTCCCTCCCTTCCTCCCTCTCTCTCTTTTCTTTCCCTCCCTCCCTTCTTTCCTTTTCCAACTTTCTTTGCCATACTTAAAAGTTTGCAGGACTCAGGCTAATTACTTTTTGCAAACTCCTTACAAAGGAGTTCTGGGACATATTCTCTTAAAAGTAACTTTTCCCGAGCATTATATTTAATGGGTAGTTTTCCTCTTCCCACAATCCTCCCCAGGGGTCCTGTCCTCTCAAAGGGGACTTTTGTGTGCATGGGAAGTTTCACTGTTGAGTAAAAAAGCAGTCTTGGGACTCTTTAAAACTATTAGTTTGTCCAGCATTAATACCATTCTTCTTAGCTGCCTGGCCCTCTTCATTTTCGTACCATCCCCTTTCCCAATCTTGTTCCCCATTTTAACTTCACAGCAGAGGACTCCTCTTTCCCCATCATTGAGTTCATTTCTGTCCTGACATTACAAGAACTAGTATCTCCTCCATGCTTCTCGTTGCACTCACAGTCCCCAAGGGCATCTCCACTGTAGAGTTAATGCAGTTTGATGCCACTTTAGCTACCGTGGCCCAATGTTATGAGATCCTGGGGTTTGTGCTTTGATGAGGCACCAGCACTTTGAGGCAAGATTCCATAGCATTGCGCCCTGGCAGTTAAAGTGGTAGGAGCCCCCAGTGGCGCAGTGGGTTAAACCTTTGTGCCGACAGGACTGAAGACTGACAGGTTGCAGGTTCGAATCAGGGAAGAGCATGGATGAGCTCCCTCTGTCAGCTCCAGCTCCCCATGTGAGGACATGAGAGAAGCCTCCCACAAGGATGGTAAAACATCAGGGTGTCCCCTGGGCAACGTCTTTGCAGACAGCTAATCTTCTCACACCAGAAGCGACTTGCAAGTTCTCGTCACTCCTGACCAAAAAAAAGAAAGTTAAAGTGGTGTCAAAGTGCATTTATAGTGAAAACACACCCACTCTCTCTGGCTGAGAGATCTGTTGTTTAACAACCAAGGTTTTATTTCATAATAATATGGGGTTGAAACCTAAAATGTGAAATATTCAATCTACACACAAAAGAAAGTGTAAATATATCTTTATTATAATCTCTAAAGGAAAAGGTTATACACAAAGCCATAGCAAAGCACGTCCCTAAATGTGGGCAAAAAATAAAACACTGATCATAGTACACAAACTCCAAGTATATTCTATTGTCCAACTAGCCAGATGAAACCATTTTTTATATTACTTCAATTAGAATCTGTAAAGCTTCTTAACATAAGTATGCTTCTTCCCACTTTCCTTAGGAATGACTTTCAGCAAAGCATTAACAGAAATAGGCTATAAATCCTTCCACACATGACATCATATATGATCATTTTGTTGTTGTTCATTCGTTCAGTGACCTCATGGAACAGCCCATGCCAGATCTCCCTGTCGGCCGTCACCACCCCCAGCTCCTTCAAGTTCAATCCAGTCTACACTATAAAGTTAATGCAGTTTGACGCCACTTTTAACTGCTGTGGCTCAATGCTATGGAATCTTAGGAGTTATAGACACATGAGATCTATATAGCAGTTTCTGCCAAAATTGCTGGTATTTCACCAAATGCCAGAATTCCATCGCACTGAGTCATGGCAGCTAAAGTGGTGTCAAACTGCATTAATTTTACAGTGTAGATGCACCCCTAGACAACAACACTCCGCTCATATTACTTATATATGTTTTATGTGTGCATGAGGTTATCTTATCACTACTTAACATATAATAAAATTTCCCTTATTAGATAGCCTATAAGCAAATGTGCATTTTTTTCATTCAACTAAAGTGATTATGTTGTTATTTGCTAACAACTCTGTTTGAACTAATAATGGGAAGAAACAATTAAGTGAAGATACACATAAAGAGGAACACATTCAGTTTTGTATAGCATTTTTCTCTGAAGATTTCTACTTCTTCTCATTGGACAGAGCTCGTGGAAAGCCCCATAGGCGCATCCTACTTATACCTCCATCTGGAACAAGAGTAAGTCTCACATGAGTAAATACTTCCAGAGCCTTTATCATGGTAGCATCAAAAAAGTGTCTCTTGTGGGGTTTAAGCTGTAGGAGAGAAAGCCATGCCAAATTAAAAACAATTCAATAATTTCTTCTACTAGCTGTCATTGCATCATCAACTTTATTTTCTTGGTACTGATATTTGGGTTTGTCAGATTTTCAAAATTAGTAAGGGAGAACCAAAATTCATGACCTATAAGGGTTACAACCAGAAAGCAGCTATTGATATGTTTTGTTCTACGTAAATTAACGTCATCCCTATTCATAAATTACAAGATGCACAATTTTTTTTTTGGTTTCATAATGGACGCATAACCCCAAATATGGATTTTATTTGGAGGGATTCTCAAACTGTCTGTATGAAAACAAAAACTTTGCTGCTCCCAAACAGGGGACATTTTTTCTAATAAGGGACACCAGTCATTTCTACATGGCACACAATTTTGGACCATAAATAAGGGACGTCTCTTATAATAAGGGACACCTGACAACTTATGGAAGTTGCATGATTGCAGCTTGTCTAGGAATATATTTTCAGAAATCTACACCCCTCCCACTGCCGGGTGTTGTTACTCTTAGTTTCCATCAATCTCAGCCAATAGGTCTAGAAGAACGAAGCCTCACCATTACTACACCGCTGCCTTGAAACCACAAGAGCAACTTGTCTTGTGAAACCCTCTTATAGTGCCAAGGCAATGGGAATGTCTGGAGGGGAGGGGATGACTACCCATGAAAGATTACTACTACCACATCAGCTCTAGATTATTAAATATGGTTTTCTGTGGGCGAGCAGATGGTGACTACTGGATGGCATATGTTCTGTATCAGAAACTAGAGCTGATGTGGTCTATCCAATGCAATTTTCTGAATTAGTACCCCAAATAACCAAACCAAATCTAAAATTGACCAAAAACTGATTCATAACCCTTTTCATACTAATGTTGGAGAGTAGTCCCTGGTCAAGTGGTCCCTGATCAAAATGGTCCCTTGTTAAGTGGTCCCTGGTCAAAAATAGGCTAACAGTGGGAACTAGAGGCCAGCTAGATTTATCACTCCTGTATTTTAAAAATAGCTGTATCATCTTAAATTGATCAAGTTTACCTTGATTGCAGGCAGCAAAATCTTCCATTTAGGACTGTGTTTCCATTTTTGTTCCAAATAGTTTTTTTCTTCTTGTATGCTCAAAATGCAGGCTTCAAGTTTAAAGGTATCTGGAAAGTTTCCTAATAGATTTTTTTAAAAAAGCATGCAAAATGTGATAGATTATTTCCATATAAATTAGTGTTGCAAGTCTATACATTAATTTGGGCAATGACCACTGTAAGGCAACATTTTTGTACGCTCATTCGAATTTTGGGCTAAAGAAGGATCAGACCTTTCCAATCTAGAGAAAGTGGAAGCACTTTGCTACAAACCGGAAGTGACTATGAGTGCATCTACAGTATAGAATTAATACAGGCTCCTAGACTGCCATATAATCCAGATTATCAAATCAGATAATCCACATTATCTGCCATGAAGTGGATTATACAAATCTACACTGCCATATAATCCAGTTCAAAGCAAGTAATCTAGATTTTATATGGCAGAGTAGAAGGAGCTCCAGTTTGACTGCACTGTAAAAACTTCTACGGCCACTGATTTATCAGGAAAGTCCCAATGAATCATGTGAAATCATGTGCAAGAAAACACATGCTGGAGTTTGCTGCATAGATTACCTTTTCAAATACAAAATTAAGGTAATGAGTGCTGTGGACTTTCAGTAGCAGGACACCATCTGATAAAATATTCTTGCCCCTAAATTTTAGAGGACAGCAGCAATAAATTAGATTGCAGCAATAAATTCTTTACAGAGCTCTAAAAACAGTTAAATTACCTTTGAAATAAGTAGTGTCTATTTCTACATGGGTTATTAGACCCGAATGGCCCAGTCGAAAGACTGCCCATTCACTACCTGGAAGAAGGAGAACCCCTTTGTCATCAACCTAAGAGGAAGCAGAAAGAAATAGGAAGTCAAACACATGGCATCCACATGCTAGAGAGCAAATCATACTAATGTGTTGTCAAAGGCTTTCATGGCTAGAATCACTGGGTTGCTGTGAATTTTCCAGGCTGTATGGCATGTTCCAGAAGCATTCTCTCCTGACGTTTCACCCACATCTATGGCAGGCATGCTCAGTGCTTGTGAGGTCTGTTGGAAACTCGGCAAGTGAGGTTTATATATCGGTGGAATGTCCAAGGTGGGAGAAAGTGCTCTTTTGTCATTTTGAGGCAAGTGTGAATGTTGCAGTTAGCAACCTTGATTAGCATTGAATGACTTTGCAGCTTCAAAGCCTGACTTGTTACTGCCTGGGGAAAACAAAGGATTCCCCCAGGTAGGAAGCAACCAGGCTTTGAAGCTGCAAGGTCATTCAATGCTAATCAAGGTGGCTACTTGCAACATTCACACTTGCTCCAAACAGGCAAGAGTTCTTTCTGCCACCCTGGACATTCCACCAATATATAAACCTCACTTGCCGAATTTCCAACAGACCTCACAAGCACTGAGCATGCCTGCCACAGATGTGGGTGAAACGTCAGGAGAGAATGCTTCTGAAACATGGCCATACAGCCCAGAAAACTCACAGCAACCCAACAAATCATATTACAGGAAGGATCATGGTCCTGGAATCGTTCCCTCACATAATATGTGCCGTTAACTGTATTTAGAAGTTTGATTTTAATTGTTCGAACTTAGATTTTCTTACTTTCAAAACTGGGGGTCTTTCCAAATTTCTTCTTGTTTCCCATCCATCTTTCATGGACTTTGGTCTTCCTATTCCTACAAAAAAGCAGGTGATATCTAATAAAGTGGACTCCAATATTTTTAGCTATATATCACCTGCAATTGTTTCTACCAGTTTTGAACAGGCTGATTTACTTCTGAAAATAGAAGTGCTACCAGTTCATGAAACTCATACATCAAACAGATTTAGTAGTTTATTAATAATTGATTTAACAAACACTGCTTTGTTAAACACTGCTTCTGATTCCTTTAGGTTTACACAGCTCTAAGAACCACTGCTGTGAATGGAGATAGCATTTCATGGAGTGTGTTTATGAATAACAGAAACGTGTTTTAAGGAGACTGTTGTCATCAGACACATACCACTGATACAATCTTATGCTTTCATATTAAATAATTTGACGGATAGTTCTATGACTATGGCTAGAATTATGTTTGTGAATTGATGATGATGTTGAATTTATTCATTCTTTGCCTCTCCCCATAGATCAAGGTAGAAAACAGCAATGTATTTCTAAACCCAGCTTATACATCTGGCAACTCTCTCTCCATGTATTGCTGGAGTCTTCCTTGCAGGATCTTGAGCATTACCTTACTGGCATGAGAAATAAGGGCCACTGTATGAAAGTTTTGAGCAGTCTGTAGCATTTGCCTTTTTTGGTATGGGGATATAAATTGATTTTTTCCAATCTGATGGCCATTCTTTTGTATTCCATATTTGCTGGCATATGACATGCATCACCTTGACAGCATCATCTGTCAAGGTGATAGTATTGAACATGATAGTGATGTTTAAATATTTGAAAGGATGTCACATTGAGGAGGGGCAAGTTTGTTTTCTGCTGCTTTGGGAACTAGGACACTGAGCAATGGATTAAATTTCATGTAAAGTAGACCACAGCAGGAAGAACTTCCTGTCAGTCAGAGATGTTTGGCAGAGGAATATGGTGCCTCACAGCATGGTGCAGTGTTCTTCTCTGAAGGTTTTTAAGCAGAGGGTGTGCTTCAATTGTATGTTCTTACATGGCAGGGGTTTGGCTGATGGCCCTTGTGGTCTCCTCCATCTCTTTGACTCTATGATCCATCAGAGGTCTAGAGCAGTGGTTCTCAACCTGTGGGTCCCCAGATGTTTTGGCCTTCAACTCCCAGAAATCCTAACAGCTGGTAAACTGGCTGGGATTTCTGGGAGTTGTAGGCCAAAACACCTGGGGACCCATAGATTGAGAACCACTGGTCTAGAGGGATGTCATCCCATTGCAGAAATACAGCTGGATGTTGCCTGGATATTCACATGGGCACCAGCAATAGGATGTTGGATGGAGTGAAGGACACAATAGAAGTTGACCTGACACAGCTTTACATTCTGCCAACTATTCCAAGATATTGGCCAGTATAATATTTTATATGTTACATTACATAAAATCAAAACCATGGCTGTAATGAAAGCACAATCTTTTCTTACCTAGGATATTTTGAGGGTTACCCAACTGAGCATCACTGTATCCAACACAGATGCCTCCATTCACCATTGCAACCAAATCACTAAGATGATTCAAGTCAGAAAGTGACCTGTCTCTCAGCATTGTGCCATAGACTTTTAAACGCGCAATACCGCCATCTAGAGAAAGAAATAATTCTTAATTTATGATAGGGAAGGAAAGAAACTATAGCTGTAATGTAATTGGACAAATTAATAACTATGTACACTGCTATATCATTTAATAGTTACATTATAAAACAGAATTTATGAATAATGCAAATATTATAACTACTGAGGGAAGGAACAATAATAGAATAGCCAATCAACACAGCTACCCTAGCTACACATCTTTTGAATGAGAAGAGACTGGATTAAGCTTCATCAGGGAAAACCTAACCTTGGAAGACCATGTTGACTAAGTGTTGGGACTGATCTATACCAGGCAGGTTAGCCTGGTGTAAATCTGGTACAGGGCCATTGTCCTTATAGCCTAGAACTGCATCGGCCACACTGGGGTGTTACCTCCTCCATGTCACTACCACTCCTACTGGCCACAGAGCTCAAGTGGCTGAACACCATGATTGCACTCCTGATATCAGAGTGAGCAACCACGTGATCAGTGAACCTTTCACATTAAGGCATCACAAACATTACAGGCAATGGCCAGGCACTTGGTCAGATCTCAATGGCTAACTAGGAGGAGTGGTGGCAAGCTAGGAGTGGTGAGCAATTATTCTTAGTTATGACTGGGAATAAAACCTTGCAGAAATTGTTGGTCTGGGAAAGAAACTTGAAAAAAGAAAGAGAAGTGTGTAAAAAGTGGACAACGGATAATAACAATTGGGGGTCCTTCCAGACAGCCATATAATCCAGAATATCAAGGCAGAAAATCCCACAATATCTGCTTTGAATTGGGTTAACTGAGTCCACACTGCCATATCTTCCAGTTCGAAGCAGATATTGTGGAATTTTCTGCCTCGATATTCTGGATTATATGGCTATCTGGAAGGGCCCTAAATTAGGAAATGGCATTATATTTGTCAATTTCTATGTTACATTTTACACATCAAAATAATTGGGGGCTGATTTGTTTATTCCATGAAGAATCTGGAATTCAGCAATGCATTCAGTAATAATTTTACGTTTTGCCATTATTTTACGAAAGCTGTTATTTTAAAACAAACAATATTATTTTCTCTGTATTTAGTTTTCACAGCAATAAATACAATTTGTTTATAAAGTCTACTGCACAAGACAAAAAAGGAATATTCTGAAAGTGTACATGCACCATAATAATGCATATTAAACATGCATTTGTTTAATGTATATCCCACCTTTCTCCTGGCATGAAACATATTGTTGCATTGAATTCTGCGCCTGCAGCACAACAGAGTGAAACACAAAAGCTGATGATGCAGCCCAACAATTCAGGAGGTGTGCAAGGTAGGGCCTTCCACTTTTCAGCCTTGCCCACGTCAACAAGGACCCATGTGCAATACTGCAGCTACAGAATATCGACATTAATTCTGTAGTCAAAGGAAATAACCCCAATGGATGCCAACTTAAAATAGAATATTGATTTACTAGTGCTCATTCTTGCAAAGCTTTACAGGAAACTGCAGGGTTAGTCTAAGAAAGAAAATACTGGAAGAGCATTAATGCTAACACTGGATTGCTGATTTATTCCTGGAACGGTCCGTGTGCAAGCTGTGCCCACAGGCATTCAAGTTCCGTTCATAATGATTGAGTAAAGCCCACTTTGTCTCCTCTTTTATTACAAGTTCGTCAGATTCACTCTTGGTTATGTTGTTGTTGTTAATGGTGGTGATGTCTGTCTTCATGTTGATTCTAAGGTGAACCTATGACATGATTTTCTAAAGCTGGGATTGTGTTACTACCCAGGATCATGAAGTGGGATTTCATGGCAAAGGAGGTAATTGAACCATAGTCAGATGCTCAAACCATCACAACACGCTGGCTCTGCTTCATTCCAATAGTTCATACTAGGTGTTAGATATATACAAGTCCTCATACACATACACATGCAGGGGTCTGTATAATAGTAAGAAACACAAATCTTAGATTTACATTTAGATTGCCATTATCTGATGATAGATAAGACTGAATGAGACAGGACTAAACTTTCAAACAAGTCTCAAATCACAAACTAAAGATCTTCTTGTTATTGTCATTGTGTCTTCAAGCAGTTTCTGACTTGTGGTTATCCTAAGGCAAACCTATTACAGGCTTTTCTAGGACTGAGAGTGCATGGCTCACCAAATGTCAGCCAGCGGGTTTCCATAAATGAGCAAGGAATTGAACTCTGGTCTCCAAACTTAAACCATTGCGTCACTCCAGTTTTCATATAAATCTTACCTGGATATATATTTAGTCTTAGATGAGTCCACCGTTCCTTTGAAGTCACAGAAAAATAATTATGACATAGATCAAGATTTCCAGATTTTATTTCTGACATGGGAACCAAGAAAGTCCACTCATCTGATCGGATCTGAAAATAAATATTAGTTGCTTGTTTTTACAACAGTGATAACTCTATTTAGAATTATTTTACTACATCAGAAATAATATGTATTTAAGCTTTTATGGGGCCGTGGTGACGCAGCAGGTTAAATCGCTAAGCTGCAGAACTTGCTAACTGGAAATTCACCGATTTGAATCTGTGGAACGGGGTGAGCTTCCGCTGTTAGTCCCAGCATCTGCCAACCTAGCAGTTTGAAAACATGCAAATGTGAGTAGATCAATAGGTACTGCTTTGGCGGGAAAGTAACAGCATTCCATGCAGTCATGCCGGCCTTAATGTCAAGGGGAAACCTTTAGGTAAAGGTAAAGGTTTTCCCCTGACATTAAGTCCAGTCGTGTCTGACTCTGGAGGTTGGTGCTCATCTCCATTTCCAAGCCGAAGAGCCGATGTTGTCTGTAGACACCTCCAAGGTCATGTGGTTGGCATGACTGCATGGAGCGCCATTACCTTCCTACCAGAGCAGTACCTATTGATCTACTCACATTTGCCTATTTTTGAACTRCTAGGTTGRCAGAAGCTGGAGCTAACAGCGAGAGCTCATGCCGCTCCCYGGATTCGAACCGGCGACCTTGCGGTCAACAAGTTCAGCAGCTCAGTGCTTTAACCCACTGCGCCACCGGGGGCTCCTAACCTTTACCTTTACCTAGTTAAGCTTTTTGTCTTGCTACTATGGTGGTAGGAATGCACTTTTCCCAGCAAGTATGCAAAATTCACTAAATATGTCTTCTTCTGAATGATTCTGTGTTTTGTCGGGGGGGGGGTCTTTTTTTGTACAAATCTGACTACAAGCTACAGCAGGAAGTGGTTTTTAGTGACTATTGCAGTCCTGATCGTTGTTGTTATCATCATCATCATCATCATCATCATCATCATTATTTTGCCATTGTGTGTCATTTCTGGTTTATGTTGATTCTAAGGAAAACCGATTATGGGGTTTTCTAGGCAAGATTTGTTCTTGGTAAGGCAAGAGGGTTTGCCTTTGCAATCTCTAGGTTCTCTGACACAACTCTCTCAGAAATTCAACATAGAATCACAGTGGAGGAAAAGAGATTCTTTGAGTGGTGTTCTTTTTAGGAATCTTTAGCTATTCCAGCATGACTCTATGATCAGCTTTAAGCAGAAGTTGACCCTGAAGTGCATTGGAAAACCTAGAGATCACTAGAGAGAATTTTTTTAAATCAAATAAATAATCAAATCTCCAAAAGTCAAAACTGCAAATGTGAGGGGCAAATACATGCAGTCCCCAAGTTACAAGATAGGTTCAATAGGTTTGTTTTTAAGTTTAATTTGTGTAAGTCAAAACAGGCACATTTTTAAGTGTAACTCTAGTGGAATATGTTAGCTTTGGATAGGGAAGGATTAACCTTCCTATGACATTTGCTTTGCTGTCTGTGTACCTGTTCAGAACTGTGTCCCTGTGACAATTGGATTTTATTTATTTATTTATTTATTTACAGTATTTCTATCCTGCCTTTCTCAGCCCAAAGGCAACTCAAGGCAACTTACAAATTGGCAGCAATTTGATGCCACAACAGTATTAAATACCAGTAAAAAATTAACATGACATAATAAAAATCCATATAAAACCATTAAAAATATAATCACCATATATGTAAACATATAATCACCATATAATTTGAAAAAAATTGGCTTATTGTGAAAAAAAGGATTGGTGATAAAGCTTCCGTTGAGTCCCCTTTTCCCAATTATAACTCTTTCAGGGGTGAATTTCCCTTCCGAGAGGCATATTTCTCCCATTTCCTGTTGTCTCACTACCGTTCTTAACTATGAGTCATAGGCAAGCCAGATATTTGTAACTTGGGGTCTGTCTGCATAGTCTTTTCGCTTCTCAGGGTCACAGTACCTCCTTGGCAACCTTCAACTCTTCATTTGAAGCTGCAGTCCCTATTCTGCTCCCTCTTGGTTGCAGTGCTGGTAACTCCTCTGCAAAGACAATATGTCCAATGGAAGCATACCACAGAACAGTCAGAATGCAACCTTTTAATACCATATGCCTTCTTCGCAAAAACTAATGTTTTGCAACAGAGATAAGGAATGTTTGTCCCCCTGGATGTCTCAGATTTCCAGAAGCCCTAGCCATCCGTATAAATGACATGGGCTTGTGTAAGTTAATAGTCCAAAATAAGCAGGAGGCCACAGTTTTCCAGTCGTAGTTTGGAATGGCTGTTATAGCATATCCAATCAAACAAGAAATGGCATATCGAACAAACTGCTGAAGTTTACTTTAGAGAAGTAAATACATCTCTAACATCTTCCACTGCTCAGGGACGTTGACAGAGTTACCCACTTACTTTCCAGGTTTTCAAAATAGCAGTAAAGGACAGTCAAAATACATGACATCCACGACCCATAATCGGCTGTTATTAACAAGTTTGTGTTCTATCTAAATACCAAAGTATTGATTTCAATTAACATACCACACATTTTCCTCCACATTTATATGTTACATTGTGCACACATTTCTTTCTTTTTGAAAGGCTCACTGCACATAGGAAGCCAGCATTGTATTTATTGGACAACAGGCTCAAAATACACAATATTCTAGTTACAACATGTCCCAATGCATAATGTGTCCTGCATACCATGTCCCATTGCACAATGGGAGCCCTCACTGCACAACAGAACATCTTGCATACTGCCCTGTTGTGCACCACTGCAATTTATTGGTATGGTTGTATATCTTGTCAGTGATGGAGGTCCATCATCATCAATGATGAAAGATCTTATTTTGCCTCGAACCACCCTCGTTCATAGGAACGAGGCCTTCATTTTTAAAGTAAAGCATCAAGGGACTTCTGTTGTCTGTGGAAATTCTTAAGATCTTAGTTACCTGGCTTCAAGCATGCAGCTTGGACAGATATCAGAGGAGCACAGTTTCCAGCCAGATAAGATGTGTCCACTTCAATCCCGTAAATAATACCTGGCATTCCTAGCTGAATGATGCACCAATCATGATCTAAGAAAACAAAGGCATCTTTGAAAGCACAGCACATAAACTAGTGATCACTTAGGTTGGGATAAGTTTGGAAAATGGGAAATGGTTAATGCAATATACAGTGAGCCTTTGGTTTTCACGGAAGTTTGGTTCCAATAAAGTAATAACTCCTAGAACAGCGATGAGGAAGTTATTAACCTCCAGATGTTATACAACTGGTACTAGGAGCCCCCGGTGGCACAATGGGTTAAACCCTTGTGCCGGCAGGACTGCTGACCAAAAGGTCAGCAAAAGGTTGGCAGTTTGAATCTGGGGAGTGAGGTGCGCTCCCATCTGTCAGCTCCAGCTTCTCATGCAGGGGCATGAGAGAAGCCTCCCACAGGATGGTAAAACATCTGGGCATCACCTGGGTAACATCCTTGCAGATGGCCAATTCTCTCACACCAGAAGCAACTTGCAGTTTCTCAAGTTGCTCCTGACACACACACAAAAAACCATGGTACTGAGGGCTGTTAAAATCCAACATCTAGAACAAGACAAATGACATGTTTAACACAGCTAGCTATGCGACAGTTATCAGAGACATCTCAATTGCTCTTCATATGCAATTCCATCTAGTTCAACAGCACTATTTCACCTACTCTGTACTAATTTATTACAAATTGTCTTTCTTTCTTTTTTTTTTTTTTTTTTTTTTTTGGCATTCCTACAACAACCCAGTGATTCTGGCCATGAAAGCCTTCGACAGTTCTATTCAGTCTTTGAAGAGCTAGATTCACCTTGGCTTTTTATTTGTGGCTCACCTACTAAAACAGTGCTTGTCATCTTCCAGAATCTTTGACCTATGTTGTTGAGGGCTTCTGGAAGTGCAACACATTTAAAAGACCAAAGGGTTGTTTTTTTAAAAAAAAAAATAATGTAGATTGTTGATTGTCAGCTCTTTATCCTAATATAAAAACTACTGATTGAGTTTCCTTCTCCCCTCAATTTTTCTACTGATTTGACTACTTGTAAGAAAGGAGATTAGTTACAAATTATACATGGGAATCAGCTATAGTCACAATATTAAAAATGAATTTTCAGGTAAAAAATATCTATAATTAAGGAAGGTCCTTCAAACTTTGGTGGCCAGTAGTCAATGGCTATGATAACCATATGATAACGAAAGCCTCAATAAATTCTATTCAGTGGGTTGTTGTAGGTTTTCCGGGCTATATGGCCATGTTTTAGAGGCATTTTCTCCTGACGTTTCGCCTGCATCAGGAGAAAATGCCTCTAGAACATGGCCATATAGCCCAGAAAACCTACAACAACCCAGTGATTCTGGCCATGAAAGCCTTCGACAATTCTATTCAGTCTTTGAAGAGCTAGATTCACCTTGGCTTTTTATTTGTGATTCACCTACTAAAACAGTGCTTTACCTGGAATCCGCCTCCTCCTGGTTTCCCATCCATCCCTCCACTTCCCATAATCAGTGAATAGGTCTGCATGGAATACTGGTCTTGGTTTCTAAACAAACATATAACAGTCCAAATGGCTAAAAGTCAATTCCCTCAAGACATTTGTTATAAACAAGTAATTTAACAATTTTTCACAGTTTTGGAATATGCTTTCCCACATAAAGATATTGGGATTATCTGTACTCATTTGACATCCATGGGTACTGAAGGAATGAAAAAGATATTGGAGTCCTCAGGGACAACAAATTAAGCATGAGCCAACAATGTCATCCAGCAGCTTAAAAAGCCAATGGGATTATGGCCTGCATAAATAGGAGTATGGTGTCTAGATCCAGGGAAGCCATGGTACCCCTCTATTTTTCCTTGGTTAGACCACATCTGGAATACTGTGTCCAATTCTGGGCACCACAATTGAAGGGAAATGTTGACAAGCAGGAATGTGTCCAGAGGAGGGTGACTAAAATGATCAAGGGTCTGGAGAACAAGCCCTATGAGGAGCGGCTTCAAGAGCTGGGCATGTTTAGCCTGCAGAAGGGAAGGCTGAGAGGAGACATGATGAGGGCCATGTATAAATATGTGAGGGGAAGTCATAGGGAGGAGGGAGCAAGCTTGTTTTCTGCTGCCCTGGAGACTATGACGCAGAACAATGGCTTCAAACTACAGGAAAGAAGATTCCACCTGAACATTAGGAAGAACTTCCTGACTGTGAGAGCTGTTCAGCAGTCGAACTCTCTGCTCTGGAGTGTGGTGGGGGCTCCTTCTTTGGAGGCTTTTAACCAGATACTGGATGGCCATCTGTTAGGGGTGCTTTGAATGTGATTTTCCTGATTCCTGGTGGGGAGTTGGACTAGATGGCCCAGAAGGTCTCTTCCAACTCTGGGATTCAATGATTCTATGAATTGGGCTACTCTAATAAATTCTCAAATGCATTCTCTTACTCAAATGTTGGAGCTACTTTCTTCCGCTTGACTACCCACTGCTTGAAAAAGTACAGACCCTCCAATATTTCAGTGAAAACCTTGGGCATGTGTAACCAAGTAATATTGATTGTAGTCAAGATGGCAAAAATTATTAATGAAGATGTACAAGATCACAAAGGATGTATCAGTTTGCTTTTGCCCTGAAAAACATAGCAAAGGGAAAGATTTCAGACCCTCCTCTCCTCTCTCCATTGCTGAGTTGAGAACAAACTAATATTGATTTTTAAACTCATTTTGCTGCAATGAATTCAGATGAGGACAAAGGGGTGAAAAAAGAGGAGGAATCTGGGACGTTTTAAAGAAGTTGAAAAATGGGACAACAGAGGATTAATCAGAACAGTCCCTATCAAATTGAGACAATTGGGCAGCATACACATAATAGTCTTCATGGTGCCCATAATTGGCCTTTGTGAATGGCATGCATTATAATTTGGTTAAAATCCAAAGGAGGTCCATATGTACTTTACCTACCTTTAAGAGGTTTTCTGCTGGAGCAAAAAAGTCATCTGTTGCAAATAAAATCTGTATAAAATAATTCAGAATTAGGAATTGAGAACAGAAACTTATACTTTATGAACAACATCTAACTTACGAGCCGCTAGCCATTTAATTTCACATTTGCAGTGCTTTGCATGCAGAATTTCCCTACTTTTCTGCAATATAGAAAGCAGTGCTCAGTGGGACAATGATCAATGACCAGGAGATCCACACATTCATGAACACATTTCATTTTAGCTAGATTTATTAGTGTGTATTTGCTTTCGGTATCCTGTTTCCACGATGAATATGTACATTTTCATGCTTTTACTCTTTGTACAACTTGATCCAGGCCCGTAGCCAGGATTTCGTTTCGGGGGGGGGGGGGGGGGGAATTTTTTTCAGGGGGTTTGGGGGGCTGAGTTTCGGGGGGGGGCTGAGTCTGAGTGAAAGAGGGTCTAGCCTAGCAAACCTTTTGTATCATTACCCCAATACCCCCATGCATATGGGATATATTGAGTATAGTGATCAGATCATGATATGAATAAACATAACAGTTTAAATAATGCACCAGTAAGGCCTTTTCGCGAACCACCATGAGAATTTCGGGGGGGAGGGGCTGAAGCCCCTCAAGCCCCCCCCCCCCCCCCCCCCCCCCCCGGCTACATGCCTGACTTGATCATATCCAAATCTTCATTTGTTACCTTCTCTTTCCTTGGTAGTGTGTGGGTGTTACTATGCAATAGAAACCCTGTATCTATGGGACCAGTACCATGGTTTCGCCTACCTGCAGCCAACAAATTATATAATTCTAGACTGTTATTAGTTGCTCCAAATCATTCTGTGATGTGCTTCTGTTGGAAGTTACCGAAGAGCTGTGTTGGAGCACCCGACTCTACCTCTCAGCCCTACCACTCCTCTCATGTGAAGCAAGAAATGGTATCTTGAAACCAGAGACCTCAATCAATTGCTGAGACCAGATGAGGAACTCCCTCCTGGACACACAGAAGACTGGGTGACTTGGAAGGCACTGAACAGGCTGCGCTCTGGCACCACAAGATGCAGAGCCAACCTTCAGAAATGGGGCTACAAAGTGGAGTCCACAACATGTGAGTATGGAGAAGAGCAAACCACAGACCACTTACTACAATGCAATCTGAGCCCTGCCACATGCACAGTGGCGGACCTTCTTACAGCGTCACCAGAGGCACTCAAAGTGATAAATAAATGATAAATAAATAAATAGTTGCAATAATTGATCACTTGGAAATGTTAAATAGTTTTAAAGAAATGTGCATTCTTTAAAAAAATTTAACTTGTTGCAAGTTCTTAAGCTGATATTGTTTTAAAAAGTTCTTATTGACTGTACTATACTTTGATTTCTGTTGATAAACAGCATACTAGAAACAATTCATTAAACAACTGCTCCTTTCCATTATTCTGTAAAATCACCAAAAATACCTATTATCTGTATTGTTCAAACAAATTCCATAGAATGTACCTTTCCTCCTACAGTTTCACAGCCCAAATTATTCAGATGCAGAAAGTCAGGGATGACACAAGGCTTTCCTTCTTTGTAGTAAGCTGTCATTTCTATCCAAAGTTGCAGTTCCAAATATAGTTTTGGGGTTGTTTTTTAAAGTGATCCTCTGAAAGAAAATCAAAATAAAAATAAAAACTCAGCCCCTACCCCCCGAATCAAAATCCTGGCTACAGGCCTGGCTGAAAGAGAAAATTTTGCTCTACAAGACTGATAAGTTTTTGTTTTGCAATGTGACCATTTACTTAGGTCAAAGTATCACATTGAAACCAGCCTCCCCATCACCACGTCCAATAGCTATGCGGTAACTAGCAGGATCATGAGGATGCATAAAGCATAATGCACAAAATGTAACATTGGCCTGAGTAAATGGATACTTTACGGTCACATCGCAAAACAAAAAAAAATCAGTCTTGTTAACCATTCTTAACAATTCTGCCTATCTTTGGCATACCATCTCAAGAAAACATTTCATTTCACGATACTTCCAAAAAAGTAGATTAAAACTGATTAACTTACTCTTTGCCAGTTTTGCCTCTCACAAACTCTGAGGAATCTGCAGTATGAACAGATTAATGTTTTAAAGGGGTTGGTTTTCAATCCACAATCTAAAACAAGCACATTGCAAAACCTGTAGGCAATCATTAGGTTTTATTGATTCTGTAAAAGATCCTTCCTCTCTCCATCGCACTCATCTTGCGCAAGCAAATATGTAAAAAGAAGAAGCATTTCCCACTAATGAAATGTTCTTATGATAGCTTGATAATTCACTAGTGCACACCAGTGTAGTGCTGTGTTTTGAGCATTATACTATGACTCTGGAGAGCGGGAATCAATGCCACATTCAGACATGGAAGCCTACTGGGTGACCTTGAGCAAGTCACACACTCTTAGCCTCAGAGGAAGGGAAAGGTAGGGTGTATCGTGATGCTGCTATGATACTGATGGACTGTGATGCTGCTACTCAACCAAGAGACTTGAGAAACATCACTATGCAAATTTGACGAGTGACAGAAATGCAGTCTAACATCCTATCACGACACAATTAGAAATGAAGTAGCTGAATTGTGATTAAGGGATTTGTGCAATGCATTATTTGTGTATGGGGTTATTGTGTTTTAACATGTTTAATGGTTTTTAATTGTATTTATATGTTTATTGTTTCTAGTAATTTTATGTTATTTTTATTTGGTTTATATAATGAGGCATTGTATTTTTGCCTAGATGTATGTTGTACGCTGCTCTGAGTCCTCTGAGGGATGAGAAGACCAGGATAGAAATGAAATAAGTAACGGTAAAGATTTCTGCTGACATTAAATCTATTCATGTCCAACTCTGGGGTGGTGGTGTTCATCTCCATTTCTAAGCTGAGGAGCCAGTGTTGTTCAAAGACACCTCCAAGATCATGTGGCCAGCATGACTGCATGAAGCACTGTTACCTTCCCGCATAAATGTCACCTACTGATCTACTCACATTTGCATGTTTTTGAACTTCTACATTGGCAGAAGCTGGGCCTAACAGTGTGTGTGCGCGTGCACGCGTGTGTGCGTTTCCTGAACCTACCCCCATCTGCTGAAATAGGACACAAGACCCCACTATTTTTTTACTCTTGTTTTCTATTACTGGAGATTGCCAAGCTTGGCTCCAAAGGCCAGGAATTTTCCAAGGTCCCCAAAAATAGCATAGCAAACCTCAAACTATGCTGGCATTCTTTCCTTGGAAAGAGCAGTGAAAGAGTAGTGAAAAAGACCAGTATCATTGAAATAAGACTTACCAGTTTTTAAATAAAGAAAGAAGATAGGATTGACCAATCAATGGCACAAGACAAGGGTTAAAAGCTGTCTTTTAAAGGAATGTCCAGCAAAACAAAAATACTCAGGAATGCAAGAATCATCTAGATAATAAGATAGATAGATAGATAGATAGATAGATAGATAGTAGGGCTGGGCCGTTTCGTTTCGTTAATTCGTAATTCGTTAATAATTCGTTAATTTTTTCAATTACAAAACGATAACAAACCATTCTGGAGCAATTATTAAAAAAACGAATTTTCAAAAACGTTTTGTAAATGCTTCGTATTTCGATATTGTATTCGTTTCGTTATTGTTTTGAGGTCGTTTCGTTATTATTTCCACATGTCTGGGCCAGTTTTATGGTTTAATTAGTGAAAAAAAATTATAATATCACACCAACAGTCAACAACAGAGGGAGAGGGAAGCTTCAGAAGGTTTTGGAGGTTTTTTAGCGTATTTCGCGGTCGCGTCCGCCATTAACGAATCGATTCGTTATTGTTTCGGAAATCGATTCGTTAATTTTTTACCATTTACGAAATTTCGTAAATATCGAACTTTTTAAAAGGAAAAATTTGTAATTATTTTAAATATCGAAACAAAAAAAACCCCCAAATACAAATCGATTTTAGAAACAAATTTTTCCGTTGTTACCCAGGCCTAATAGATAGATAGATAGATAGATAGATAGATAGATAGATAGATAGATAGACAGAGAGAGAGAGATCCATAAAGAACAATAACTACATAATTGCAAATCAAAATGTCACCAACTGGAGCAACTTGACATGAATAAATGTTTTACTGCAGACCAGTTATCTGTGGTTTGCTTGACTTTTATTAACGAAAAAGACACACAAATTTATCAATAGTGTAAAACAGCTTTGCGCAGACAGCTACAAATAAAAGTAATTTGTTTCAGCTGAATGTATTTTGATTCAATCTGCAGGAGTTGACAGATTAGAGAAAAAACATTCCTCTGTGGGTGGAAGAATCAATTCTCTGTGACAGGTTTGTCCTATCAGGAGCAAAAGATCTAAATGTGGATTTAAAGCCATATGTATAGTTATGGGGGGGGGGGGATCTTCTCTTCAAAGATATGGCCCATGAGTCAGAGACAATGATAGATGACATGTTAAAAAACAAGTTGAATAAAAGGATTTTATGAAGGAGAAGGGAGCTATTATTGACTCAACAACATATTTTTTCCAAGGGAATCAAAAGTATTCAATAATTTCAAAGGGTTCCAAATCTTTCCCATTCTCTTTGTTTTCCCCATAACCCAGTACTGCATTAGGGCAATGTAACCAGGTTTTTGTATGTCTAATATAATTTGCACCTTATACCTTTATTTGGGTTAAACAGTGGGTTAAACCCCTGTGCCAGCAGGACTGAAGGCCGACAGGTCAGAGGTTTGAATCTGGGGAGAGCATGGATGAACTCCCGCTGTCAGCTCCAGCTCCTCATGCGGGGACATGAGAAAAGCCTCCCACACAGATAGTAAAACATCAAAACATCCGGGCATCCCCTGGGTAACGTCCTTGCCGATGGCCAATTCTCTCACACCAGAAGTGATTTGCAGCTTCTCAAGTCGCTCCTGACACAAGAAAAAACCTTTCTTATCTCCTTGATGAAACTTTTTCAACATTTCATCATTTGACAAACCTGTTTGAAATCAAGGATGTGTTCTCCTAATAGAACCTGTTTGTTTGCTGTTCTATGTTGACAAACATAGACCTTCCTCCTTTCTTCCTTTTCTTTTTTTGCTGCAAGAGACGAATACATCTACTTTGTTTTAAAAATAGTTTCAAGCATTTCTAATAGTCTTGTCTATACAGACTAAATTTCAAGTTCACTCTATGCTATATAAAACTTTCATAACAATATAGGTGAACATATCAGCAATACAACTGTTGTCCCAAAGATTGAAAAATAATAATTCTGCAAAAGCTGGGACACACACTGTCTTTACCACTGTGGTATATTGACCATGACAGTGTGGATATGACCCCTCTCCTTACCAAATGATCTACTTCAGAATTGGAAACATGTCACTTGCTTTATTATTGAAAACATTTTTGCCAAACAACAAATAAAAGAGATGGTTCTAAATCAGTGGTTCCCAATCTTTGGTCCTCCAGGTGTTTTGGACTTCAACTCCTAGGAATCCCAGCCAGCTTACCAGCTGTTAGGATTTGTGGGAGCTGAAGTCCAAAACACCTGGATAACCAAAGGTTGGGAACCACTGTTCTAAATTGTTTGCTTATTGCACAGACACATGCTTTTGACAAAACCAGTAGTTTCAGACTTTGTCTTTGCAGAGACCTTTTCCTCATCCACTTTGCAGAGACCTTTTCCTCATCCACAATTGTACTTATAATATACTACTATTATAAACAAAATAAAATAAAGTATTTCAAAGCAGCCACCCATTGCAGTTGTATCCTAAAGTGTGCCACTAGGGGGAGCATGGCATCATGGAGATATTAGGCTACACATGGAGCTAGTTAAAAGGTTTTATCCAACCTGGAGTCTTCAAATTCTGTAGGATTACAATTCCCAGAATTCCCCAGCTGGCATGGGGGGAGGGGGGGGGGGTCTGTGGGCTGCACTGTGACAAAGATGGGACTAGGTTGAGAAAGGCTGGGTCAGGCTGTATCTTTTGTCAGGGTTGGTTCACAATTTAAGCAAGATCTGTTGTTGTTCGTTCGTTCAGTCGTTTCTGACTCTTCGTGACCTCATGCACCAGCCCACGTCAGAGCTCCCTGTCAGTCGTCACCACCCCCAGCTCCTTCAAGGTCAAGCCAGTCACTTCAAGGATGCCATCTATCCATCTTGCCCTTGGTCGACTCCTCTTCCTTTTTCCTTCCTTTCCCCCTAGCATCATTGTCTTCTCTAAGCTTTCCTGTCTTTTGATGATGTGGCTAAAGTACTTCATCTTTGCCTCTATTATCCTTCTCTCCAATAAGCAGTCGGGCTTTATTTCCTGGAGGATGGACTGGCTGGATCTTCTGGCAGTCCAAGTCACTCTCAGAACTTTCCTCCAACATCACAGTTCAAAAGCATCTATCTTCCTTCACTCAGCCTTCCCTGTGGTCCAGCTCTCACATCCATAGGTGACTATGTGGAATACCATTGCTTTAACTATGCAGATCTTCGTTGCCAATGTGATGTCTCTACTCTTCACTATTTTATTGAGATTGGACATTGGTCTCCTCCCAAAAAGTAAGCGTCTCCTGATTTCCTGGCTGCAGTCTGCGTCTGCAGTAATCTTTGCACCTAGAAATACAAAGTCTGTCATGGCCTCTACGTTTTCTCCCTCTATTTCCCAGTTGTCAATCATTCTTGTTGCCATAATCACTTTGATTAGAAGGCTCCTCAGCTCCTCCTCGCTTTCAGCCATCAAGATATGTCTTCTGCATATCTAAGGTTGCTAATGTTTCAAGCAAGATCTATATTGCCCTATATCCCAGGCTCTGATCCCAGGTTATCTGTTTATCCCAGATTAACTGGCAGTGCAGACTCATATAATCCAGTTCAAAGCAGATAATCTGGGATGAGATCCTGGGTAATAGGGCAGTGTAGATCCAGCCATAGACATGTCTGAAGTGTGTTTCATGGGTGTGTTAGAATAACAACTTTAATGGTTTGAAGCCTGATGGGAACAGTCCCATATTAATTCACCAGGGCACATAATGCAGGTGTACTGAGATATTGCAGAGACCCAGTCAGCATCTGACACTATGTATTTGTATCTCCTTTTCAGGTATGATTCTATTTGCTGTATGGACATGCCTGAGAACTATCTTCTACAACATCTAAGAAAGGGAACTTTGCTAAGCAAAATGTCCATCCTGTAAATATCAGTACATATCAGTACTCTGGTAAGACACAGGTTAATACAGCATTGACACCTCTCTCTTTAATGCGGTCGGTTCTTCTTTGGTTATTCAGAATACACCTAAGTTAAATCAGTACCCTGAGCAACTTTCCTATATTAGAATAGAGTTCCCACAGTACAGCAATCCGTTGGTGTGTTTGCTCCTTAAATCAAGATCTTGAACTCTAACATCAAGTTCTTTTTAGGTTGATTTTTACCTGTACATTCATGATTTTGCATCTAAACTCTTCCTTGAAATATTCTGGATTTCCTTCACACACATCCCCCCTTTACTCTTACACTGATCAGATGTTTAAATGCAGCCAGTGTTTCAGAAATTCCCTTTAACCAATTTGCAATAAAAGCTTTTAAATTATCGTTCTGGAGTTATCATAAAAATGTTAAAAGATGTTTAGAAATATTACACTGGGATAGCATTTAGATCATTGTTTTCATTGCTAGCATTCCTCCTTCCCTTGTGTGATTTCTATCAAGCTTACTGTCTGGGGAGCAGTTGCTGTTTATTAGCAATCATCCCCCCAGCTAGCTCTGGGATAACAGAAAGACACAGACATGGAAAAGTGCATTTCATTTCAAGAAATACCCATTTAATTTAAATGGATCTAGAGATTTGGAATAAAAAGTGCTAGGAATTCCCTGGAATATTTTAGAATAAGGAAAACTAATGATGTAGATCATTAGTTTTTATAATTTTTTATATAGCCATATTTCTAAGTATTTTAATTTCATTAATCCTAATCTCAGTCCTGAGATTTTCCTAATCTCCAATTGTTTCCTTGGTGTGGTATTAAGACACAGTATGTAGATCATCATGTAGATCTCAACAACAAAATCAGAAAAGACAGGAACAAAAGCAGGTGCTTTTTTTCTACCCCCCCCCCCCCCCCAATCCATTTGGGGCAGTTCCAGACAGAACCAAATTGTGCGCTTTAGTTAGGGACAAAAAAAGCCTGGGACCAGAAGAGTCCACATACAGACCTGTTGGTTCCGGGATTTCTGCCTCCATCATCCACACTTGCTGATTTGTCACAGGATTTTGCAGCCACCAAGATGGCCACTGTGGGACTTCCGCAAGAAATTTCAGGGTTTTTTAAAAAACCCTCAAGATGTGAATATGCAAAGATTTGAATCATTGTATAAATTCTGTTCCTGGGTTATATAATCTGCAGAGCCATCTGTGCAGACAGGGTTTTGTTCCTGATTGCTCTTACTGTGAAAAGCTGTGCAACATTGACTAGGGGGCCACAACTTTGTTCTGTCCAGAGAAAATGTGCCCTCCACATATTTCATGAAGTTTCTGACAGACAAACAAAGTTTTTGCATTCTACTCAACTGTCACTTCCTTTTAGGAACTGACCAATCAGAAACAAACATTTAAAACCCGGGAACAAACCCAGATAAGAAAAATCCCATGTTTTCTGATTACAGGGACATACAGGTATTCAAAGATCTGCGTATTCGGTTCAAAACGATACTTTCCTGCACCTGAAAATCTTGTATTTTTTGTCATTTGTAGTGATTGGTTTCATGTTCACAGTGCTAGATGAGCTTTTATCTGATACAATCTAGCATTTCTTATGAAGGATGGGGCCATGAACCCTTGTATGTTTAGATAGTACAAGTTCAATTTATCTTTCCCCTGTTTTAAGGAACCAGCATGCATATGTCGATGCCTACAATCCAAGCCACGGCTTCCTTCTTTGGTTAAGGTATCACTGAAGCTTTCCAGCAGTTGCTTTTCGAATGCATTTTCCTATGTATGATGTGAGCCTTGTGTTTATATCAATTATAGTTGTGTCATAACCTTAAGGGTAGGTAAAGGTTTCCCCTTGACATTAAGTCCAGTCGTGCCCAACTCTGGGTGGTGGTGCTCATCTCCATTTCTAAGCCGCAGAGCCGGCGTTGTCAGTAGACGCCTCCAAGGTCATGCATGACTGCATGGAGGACCGTTACCTTCCCACCAGAGCGGTACCTATTGATCTACTCACATTTGCATGTTTTCAAACTGCTAGGTTGGCAGAAGCTGGGGCTGACAGCAGGAGCTCACGCTGCTCCCCAGATTCGAACAGGCGATCTTAAGGCTCAGGCTTTGATGTGAGTAGTACCTGTATCCAAGTTTGGGGGAAGGGGTCCCTTGGGGATGAGCTGCAACTTTTTAAAACCAAGATAGAATGTGGGGTTTTAAAATTTTGATATTAATTTGGTTCATTGTGCTATGTATTGTTTGATTTTTGTATATTTGTGGCATTGAATTTGGAAGCTACTCTGAGTCCCCTGGGGGGGGGGGGGTAGAGATAAAGTAAATAAATAAATAAAATTCCCCTCTTCTGGGATTTTCCAATACAGCCAGAAGTAATGTCCAGTATTCATTATCTCCATTTCACCTGAAATTCCTGGGCAATTCCACTGATGACATGTTGAAAAGGGGTACATGAACTTCCTTTTGGCATTTTGTCACCACACTACTCTTCAAGCAAGGAAGAAATAAAAGGTAAAGGTTTCCCCTTGATATTAAGTCTACTCATGTTTGAGTCTCATGGGTGGTGCTCATCTCCATTTCTAAGTCAAAGAGCTGGCGTTGTTCGTAGATGCCTCCAAAGTCATGTGGCCAGCATGACTGCATGGAGCACCATTACCTTCCCACCGGAGCGGTACCTACTGATCTACTCACATTTTCATGTTTTCGAACTGCTAGGTTGGCAGAAGCTGGGAGCTAACAGCGGGAGCTCACTCTGTCGGCAAGTTCACCACCAAGGGCTCCAGGTAAGAAATAAAGGACACAAAATCTGTATGAATGCAACGTGGGCTGCAACTCGGGAGCAGAATGGCAAAACAGACTGTTAGTTGTCTGGAGGAACCTTCAGATCCAAAGCTATCTTAAAATGGACGCAATGCACACTTACTATCCTGTTACCACTTACAAAGAAGCTTCTTGAGAAGGCCAGGAAATAGTCATAAACAAATTAGGATGAGATTTGGGCCCCTTCTACACTGTCATATAAAATCCAGATTATCGGATTTAAACTGGTTTATATGTCAGTGTACAGTCATATAATCAAGTTCAAAGGAAATAATGTGGATTATCTGCTTTGATAATGTGGATTAGATGTCAGTGTAGAAGAGGCCGTGGAAAACTACTGGTCAAGTATTGTATCCAAAACTGGGAAGAAGTCTGGAAAACTTTTCAAAGTGATTTCAGCAGGGAAGAACTGTACAAGACCCTTTCCTTCCATGAATTTATAAAAAGAAATTTGTCAAAGTCACTGTACATCTCAGGGGAGAAAGATATATAAAGGCTAAAAATTTATATGCTGGAGAGCTAAATTCCCAGGATATGTTCCCAGGACACATAGTAATGTTAAAGTATGGGAATTTGTGGCAAGATGTACTTACGCCAAGAAAAAAAAGCTCACAATAAAAGTGTTGAAATAAAATTGTTTATTTTCTTAAACATAAACTGATGCAATGATTTCAGATCACAGAATACTTTATTTCTGAGAGGAAAAACATTGATATAAACAAGAGCCATTATTAACTGCAATGCTGTCAATTAGTTTGTCATTAGCATTCAATTGCTATCTGGAAGCTTATTGGAAGTACATGTATTAAGTTGTACTTTCATGATCCAAAAGAGAACCCTGTGTAATCTTATAGTAGAGAAGCAAATATTAGATAAACCATACAGTGTCATCAGCGTTTATGTGTAGGATATGAAATCAAATGGACATTTTTAAACATACACCTTTTTGTCACACTTCTGAGCCCCCTTTGGTCCCTTCTACACTGCCTTATAAACTAAATTATATAGCAGTGATTAAGTAAATCTACTGCCACTTAATAGCATTAGAGAGTTTCTTCCCTTTTATTCAGCTCTAGCAGCCTGCGGTGGTGCAATGGGTTAAATCCTTGTGCCAGCATAACTGCTGACCTAAGGGTCGGCATTTCGAATTTGGGGAGCAGGGTGAGCTCCCATCTGTCAGCTCCAGCTTCCCATGTGGGGACATGAGAGAAGCCTCCTGCAGGATGGTAAAACATTCGAGTGTCTCCTGGGCAACATCCTTGCAGACAGCCAATTCTCTCTCATCAGAAGTGACTTGCAGTTTCTCAAGTCGCTCCTGACATGGGAAAAAAAGCTCTATGAGTGCATCAACAGTGTACTGTAGAATTAATACAGTTTGGCACTACTTTAATTATCATGGATCAGTGCTATGGAATCATGGGAGTTTTATAAGGAATTTGCCTCATCAAACTACAAATCCCAGAATTCCACAGCATTGAACTATGACACTTAGAGTGGTGTCAAACTGCCCTTATTTTGCAGTATAGAAGCACCCTATATCTATACTGAAAAGCTAAAGGACACATTTCAAAACTTTTTTTCAGACAGCAGATAACAAATTCTTTTTCAATGTCATAATAATGTAGTGAGACTGCTTTGATTTCTATTTAACTGCAACAACTTGCAAACATGCAATTAAAATCAGGTAGCCATTTCTCATCTACTTAATTCCAGTGGATAAAATGGAATCAAGGTAGAATTGGACTACTGAGACTACATAAAACCTGAATAGGAGAGCATTGGTAAATCATTCTGGTCATCAAGCATCTATAACTAAGAATACACAAGAAAACCAGATAATTGCTTTATGTTCTCTGTAAATAATCTTGGATTTGATTTTTCAATTCTGTTCCAACATTATGCTCAATCAAATCCATTTCATTAGACAATGGATCCTAATTTGGTTAATACAGCATACCCACATTTGCAAATAGTTGTTCTTCAGTATAATGAAAGACCTGAGAAAATAGTGTTGGTGTACAGAAAATAATAAATGCTCTTTTAAAGACACTTTAAATGTATGAAACAGCATAAAATATATTTCAGTGCAGAAATTTAATATTAACATCTATTATTTTGAAAAAGAGAAACCAGAGGTGCATCTTCAAAAATAAAATCCTAATATCTAATGCTTTTTCACTGTAGTTGTACATCTCCATTAATCTCAATGAAAGAGCCAATGCACATCACCTGTTCAAAGACCAACAAATAATAACCTAATATAAAGCTAAAAAAATTAAAGTTTGTGCATTAGATTATGGCTGCATTTCTTTACAGTAATGCAGATCATGAATCTTCCCTTCTGAAGGGTAAATTTGATATTTAAAATACCCAGATTATATTTACACCTGTACAATACAAATATCATATATTTCTAAAAATATCACTATAATGTTTTATCAATGAAGTGTATTTAAGATAGGATGTGGAGTAGACTGAAGGACCTGCACCCCCTTGTTGACAATTTTGAAAGATTATTCATTCCTCACTGTTGTTGCTTTTAATGTATTTCATGCTTACGTGTGCCAATTCCTATAAGGATTTTGGCCTGTTCATTTGGTATATAATCCATCAAGACCCTCCTGAAATAAAATGGGTCTTGTCAAAGAGAACTTCCCAAGAGATGTGCTGAGCCAATCTCCTGCAGATGATAGGTGGTTTCAAGGATGCTCCTCTCTGATTGGTGGAGAAGTAGATATGCTTCCTTCATTTTATTAGTTGTTAAATGCACAAGGTATTTGTACCTTTTCTTTTTTTGTCCAAGCAGCTTAAGATGGGACACGGCACTTATTTTCCTCTACTTTTCTCTCCACAATAAACGTAAAAGTGGTCAAGGCTGAGTTGGCCAAAGTTGTCCAGTGAGTTTCATGGCTCGGTAGGGACCATAACCTGGATCTCTCAAGTCTCAACACAGTACTGAGTATGCTATCCCAATGGCTCTCCACTGGTTTTCCACCCAACTGCTACATGTATGCATCTATGAAATGGGTCTGTCCTTCATACTAACACTCCAGTCTATATAACACACTCCCCCCCCACCTTTATTAAAGGGAGAAATGTGGTACTACGTGCATTGAACACACAAATAACTAGGTGTCAACATGCCATTCCTTCTTCATACAATAAACCACCCAAATAACACGCTTCACCATGCAAATAGAAGTGCTGTTGAATAACGCAAGGACCGGTCCTTTAAAACACAACACATGAGTGCCAAATGCAAATAAAGAAAATCCATGGTATATCCATACCATACCCCAAAATGGTGTTGAGAAGCTTGAGGGGCCTTCCACACAGCCCAATATCCCAGAATATCAAGGCAGAAAATCCTACATTATCTGAGTGTGGACTCAGATAACCCAGTTCAAAGCAGATATTGTGGGATTTTCTGCCTTGGTAATCTGGGATAGAGGGCTGTGTGGAAAGGCCCTGAGACATGCTATTCTTTGATATTGTTAAGCTTCTGAATAGTTCTTTGGCTCTATCTTGTTTTGTAATTCAACTCCCACAATTCCTAACAGCTGGTAAACGGGCTAGGATTTTTGGGAGTTGAAGTCCAAAATTACTGGAGGACCAAAGGTTGGGAACCAGCGATTTACACTGACCATGAAATGAAGTTCCAATCTGCATTATATGGCAATGTAATCGACCCTTTTCTCTCCTTCACACATACACATGATACAGGCAGTATTTTTGTATGATGGGTGTGCACATAAATAACACTACATACATAATGATAAATACTGCTCCTCTTGGTGGTTGATGATCTTTGGAGTGCAATCAAAATCAAGGATATATTGGCATATTTGTCCAGACCACCTTAAGGAAGATTGCTGGAATGCTAGCATCACTGGAACATGGTACTAAATTTCACAGAAAGAAATCCAAGAATGGAGTACTCATCAGGATCATATTTGGACTACAAAACATATTTATGATGAGTTCGGAGTAGGGAGAGTGAAAGTATTAATGCTACTACACATGTTCTTTATCAAATTCACAAACAAAATTCATTGTGATGTGGCAGGCAACATCATTCCAGCCCCCAGAGGCTGTAATTTCCACGCAGTCCTCCTCATCATAAGCATTGTTGGGTTCACCATTGCTCCATTTGTTGAAGGTCTGCATGGGGGATCGGTCTGCATACACAAAACTGCCTTCCTTCTCAAGGTCATTGATCCCAATGAAAACGCGACTGAGGCCAGCTTGGCTGATGTATGAAGCAATGAGGCTATTGGTGCTTTCGTCTTTGGGCATACTCAGTGTACCTCCGCGTCCTTGGCAGTAGAGCTGGGCATCCATGTACCTCTTCTCTTCTTTCACCAGCAAGTATGTCTTATTATCCGTCTCGCGCACACCAGCGACAGCTGCGGGGGAGGGCAGTGCTGAAAAGTGAGCACTCGCATTTCTATAAACCAACTCTATGCACACCATATGGGATAGGCACAATCAACCGAATACAAAGCAAACAAGACTCTTTTATCTCTATCTGCAACTGTTTATAAATCAGCGGGAAGAATGCTTACATAGACATCCTTACCTTTTTTAATGAATTTTAACTCAGTAGTCAGAAGAGTCACTTGGTTATCCATTTTACCAATGGCTGTCCGTAGCTGGCCACATTCACATGGAATTCCTACAAAATCAATGTGTAAGTTCATACAGGCATTTGCACAAAAGCTCTGCAATTCTTGCTGGCCCTTTAAATCACTGCACATTATACAGTTTTGGCACATCTGTCCTATCACTCTAAGCCCTACAATACTTCACTGAAGGTACGAAACTCACAGGCTTGACTGAAACCTTGTCAAAATGTTTACTCCTATATTTACTCCCAGAGTTGTTTCTAAACATGATGTCAGTCGGAGAAGTCTGTGTAACACTATGTTCCATATTACATCATTGCAATTGCTGTTCTCAAATACTCTTTCTTAGTTCTATTTATGAGAATGAGTGTGTTTGTATCTGGTTGACACTAGGGAGAACTAGAGGTACCAAAATTATTTACTAACATTGCTGCTTTTTTATTGACGGGTTTTCCTACTCGCAGTGAACTAGCAAAACCAAAGAGTCCCATACAGTTCACATTTTACTTATATTTCACAATCAGGGAGTTCCACTGTGGTAGAAAACAACAATGACAAAAACAACAATTACAGCACAATCCCTGATCTGCAGGAGATATGTCCCAAGACACATAAACACACTGTGGATACTTGAAATTGTGGATAATAGGAAACCTTACATTTTTATTGTACTTTAGTTGGAAGCGTGTCATATGATCACACTGAAGGATCTAAAGAAGAGGCCCAAAGGACAGGGAGGGCAGGAAAACTTTTTGGAAATGGATAAGTGACACTGTGGATAGCGGGGAAGTGCTGTAAATTTAAATTATAATACTGTAGTTGTCTGCAAAAAACTGTACTTGTAACATGCCAGATGTGACAGTTTTGTGCAAAACCAAAGTATACATATGGCATTATATGCTCCTAAAGTAACCAAGTGATTTGTAAAGTGTGCTTTTTAAAAAATTGTGTCAGAAGTGAATTAAGAATATATTGCAAGTCGTTTCTAGTGTGAGAGAAACAGAGAACAAGACATTGCAGGGTAAGCCCAGATGTGTTACCATCCTGTGAGAGGCTTCTCTCATGTCCCTGCATGGGAAGCTGTGGCTGACAGATGGGAGTTCACCCCATCTTGCGGATTCGAACTGCCGACCTTCAGGTATTCAGGTCAGCAGTTCAGCCGGCACAAGGGTTTAACCCCTTGTGCTACCATGGCTCCCAAAGTGTGCTAGTATCACATTTTCTTTTCTTTCAATAAATGATGAAATCCCGCACTGGCTAAAGAATGGGAGGTGAAGGTTTTATTTATTTGTGTGTTATATATTCAAGATTTCCAGATATTTTACATTTCCAGTCCCATTTACCTGTTGTACCTTTAGACTCAATATGTATTCCACCAAAGTTTTGGCATGTAAGAAATCGCAAAAGTTTTCAGTTGCTTCCCCAGCATGCTTACAAGTATTGTAATTTCATCTTTAATACATAAGTATTCTTATGAGTTTTTAGAGAATATAGTGATGATGCAGTTTACCTGGATCTCCATTAGGACCAGGTGGGCCAACGTCACCATTATCTCCTTTTTCTCCTAAATGGGGGGAAGACAAGTTAAGCTGTTTCGCAAATTATGGATGCTCTTGCAACAAATAATAAGATTTTTAACATCGAAAGTGGGAGAACATATTCATTATAAATAGAAAAGCAGTGGAAAGAGACAAAAGAGAAAAGAGAGAGAGAATGCATAATTGGAAGGAAAAGGAAACATCCAAAATATATAAACATAATAAAAAAAATAGAAAGAGACAAATAAAAAGAAAAAAAATTGGTTGACTTCCATCTAATCTTTGAGGGTCTTTAATGTCTTTTTCTGTATTATAAAACGAAAAATATCGCTTCCCTGTTGGTTCTTCTTTAACTGCGATTTGCTCTTTTTTGACCCTTCATGTTAACCACAGGAGACTTTCTCATAAGCTTGTTTGTTGTTTGGCAGAATATGCTTTTTTAAAAGAAAAAATAAACCACTTTTTGTTAAACAAATCAAATTCAACAGATTTAAAATGTACTATTTTGTACAAAAAGATACCTTTTGAACCAATAGGACCAATTTTTCCATGTCTCCCTATGCTGCCTTTCTGTCCTTTGTCACCCACTTCTCCTAGAAATAAAACACAAAAATATAAAGAATTAAAAAGTAATATTGGGTCTCCTGTGATTCATGGTGTGGAAAAAAGGAGATGGCACTTATTTTACTTGTTCTTTGTTGCTGTTGCCTTTGTTGTTGTTGCCTTTCCCAATGGCAGCAAAGGCACCTGTAAGACATTGGGGAAATGAAGAGGAATTAGGCTCTGATGTTTGACTCCAGCACCCAAGCCTGGCTCTAACATCCAGCTCTGTCATCCAGGCTTGGTTCTAATGCCTGGAAAGGGCACCAACATCTGGCTTGTATGTTCAGACCTGGCTCTGACATCTGGCCTTGACATTTAGACACAACTCTCATGCCTGAATTTAACATCCAAACCCAATATTGGGTCTCAGCTCTGAAATCTTAGTCCAGCTCCAACAGTTGACTTCAACATCCAGGCCTGGTCTATTTATTAAATTTATTAAATAAATAATCCACATTTGGCCCCAATATCCAGCTGCAACATCCAATGCCCAGCTCTGACACTCCATGTATCTCCGGAATCCAGATCAGGCATAGTTCCGTTATCTAGACCAGATTGAAGTGTACAGATCATGCTGCATGCCTGGAACTAGATCCTGTATCCTGAATTGGCATTGGCAACTAGATCTGGCCCTAGCATCTGGGTCTGGTTACTCATCTACGTATGTTCTAATCAGAAACAAGACAGAGGGTCAAGATTATGGGTTAGTGCTAGGGCTTAGGGACTCATATAGGCTAAATTGCCCGTTGTACACTGATTCCTCTTCCCTTCTGTGATGGAGCCCACCAGCTCCCATCCCATGACACACATCTACTTCCAGCAGGGCTCCATCGCAAAAGGGAAGAAGAACTAGCATATGTCACCATGGTGGCAACTTGAAAGATTTCCTATGTTACATAGAGATCAACGAAGCCGGGCAATGCAGGGCATGGGGCAACAGGTTCTCCATTTGTCAGGCCCCCTCGGATTTGCCACAATGTGTGGCAAATCCTATTGCCAATGTGATAAGGTCCTTAGAGGGTTAGGGCTAAGTCGGGTCCCTGGAGCTCCATGCCTGCAGCCATAGTGACAAAAACAACAAAGGTAAATGTAACAATCCAATCCGGTACTAAGTGGCCTATTTAGATAGGCCCCCAGGAAGCTCTCCTGATCAAAACTTGACCACACTAGCCATTGGGAGCCATTACATGTCTCTTCCATCTTGTATATAATTGGTGTTTTTCACAGTAAGAAAAAAGAGAGATAAATTAAAGAAAAACAAGGGAGGTTTACAACTGGAGAATGCTATTTCCAAACCAAACTTTAAGAAAAGAAGCAACATAAAATCCCCTGACCTGCAGCATCATGTTTCAGATGGTATCAAGAAGATACTTTAAAGTACACAAAAAATTCAGACTGGGCACATCAAAACAACATCAAAATGGCAATAATTCCCCCGCAAATATAAACTGAGTGACGACCTCCTATTGGGCCTAGGCAGCACATTCTGGGAAAAATTACTAATCCGTTAAGAAACAAGCTAAACAACTCTGGCCTCTGCTCACTATGGCAATGTACAAGTGTGTCTTTCTAAAGCTTACTAAACAAACCTAGCTCGCAGGGTGTACACATTCAATCATTGCCAAAATGTGTCCAACTACCTGCCCATTGCAAGACATTTTCCATGGTATTTTGCTATTTTTTCATTGGCATATACCTGGGGTTCCACAGCTTCAAAAGAATAATTTTAACTAGATAGGAGGAAGAAAAGAGGAAAATTGGAAAATTTGGAAAGTATTTCTTGCAGAAAGACATCTCTGCAATGAGACAGGATTAGTGGGTGGCCAGTGCTTTAGAGCAATATAAATTAAGAAGCAATTGGAAACAAAGCAAAGAAGTACACTGCAGCTCTGAACCCTTGGACCTCTACTAGTAGTCTTCAATGCGTTTTTTGAGGCAGCTGCATTTGAAATTAAACAGCCATGTGTCAAGCCCATCAGGGAAACTTTATTTATGTAAACACAATTAATTTTCTCCCTATGACTTAATGCCCTTTCTTGTAAACATTATACAGTGCATTTAGCAATGGCAGCCAGCAAAGGAAGTCCCTGAGCCATTTGCACTTATCTCATAACCTTAAGAAACACAAGTAATTATTGATCTTCTCACACATTGAGTCTCACATTCCAGGAAACTTCCCCATCCTCCACTCCTGAGCTTAACTTATGACAAAACTAGAAGCCGGATTTTACAGAGTTTTCGGTCAATGTCCTTCGGTGTAGTGTGTAATATACTTTTAGTAAGAAGGCTGCTTGACATGTTACAAAATGCTTGCATTAAGACCACATTAGTCTGCCCCAACCTGGTACTTTCCACGTTTCCAGCATTCCTGACCATTGATCATACTAACTGGGGCTGATAGGAACTAAAGTCCAAAACATCCCCAAAGGGAAGACTCTTATATACAAAGCCACACACTGTTACTTGCAGAAGGGCATACAAGACACATAGATCTCTGTGTTGCCTACTGCACGTGGGGTGCATCTACACTGTAGAATTAATACAGTTTGACACCACTTTTGCTGCCATGGCTTAATGCTATGGAATTCTAGGAGTTGTAGTTTTACAGGGTCTTAGCTTCTCTGCCAAAAAGTGCAAGTGCCTCACCAAATTGCAAATCCCATGAGTGCACAGCAGTGCATGGCAGTTACAAGTGGTGTCAAACTGCATTAATTCTACATTGTACATGCACCCATGGGCAATTGTAAGAGACTACAACCAGTACCTATGATGAAGTCCATCATCAGACATACTGTATGTGTCCTTGTTTTGTTCATTCGTTCAGTCGCTTCCGACTCTTTGTGACCTCATGGACCAGCCCACACCAGAGCTTCCTGTCGGCCGTCACCACCCCCAGCTCCTTCAAGGTCAAGCCAGTCACTTCAAGGATGCCATCCATCCATCTTGCCCTTGGTCAGCCCCTCTTCCTTTTTCCTTCCATTTTCTCCAGCATAATTGTTTTCTCTAAGCTTTCTTTTCTTCCCATGATGTGGCCAAAGTACTTCATCTTGGCCTCTGCTATCCTTCCCCCCAGCAAAGGATCGCCGCCTTGTCATAGCACTGGAGCTTGAGCACCTCAATGATGTCACGAGCGAAACCGTGAAGGGCCACCCAAGACGGGACGGTCATGGCAGAGAGGTCAGACAAAGCTCGATCCCTGGGGAAGGCAATGGCAAACCACCCCAGTATTCTTGCCAAGAATACTAAATGAACCAGAACAACCAGTGATATACTGTATGTAAGAGACTACAACTAGATACAATTTCTCAGTATGCATGATGAAGTCCAACATATGTAAATCTGAAAGTGCATAAAGTGACACAAACTCTGGGCTTTTAGTCGCATGGCACAATAGAGATCACAACCGGCATCTTCTCCTACAGTAGCCATCTTTTTTTCTCTTTCTGACAATGGATACACAACAGCAAAAGTGAGATCTGGATGGCCAAAAGCTTTCTATTAATGCTTTTAGTTTCCTGCAATGATCAGAGGCATTGTGCGAAATTTAAGACAGATCAAGATAAGTTAAGCTTGTCACTATAGTCGTCCAAGTCAAAAACAGGAAGCAACACAGTTATTGCTATTTATTTATTTGTTAACCTATTTCTACCCCGCCTTTCTCAACCTCAAAGGGGATTCAAGGCAGCCTACATAGAGGCAATTATTCAGTGCCTTAGAACACATACAATTCCAATAAACACATTAAAATTAAATTAAAAATTAATACATATTAAAAGCATTACATTTGATATTAAAAACAACACACCACCCATAATCGTAGTCCAGGGCCGTTCCAATAATCACTGCACATATTCAATGTCTGTTATTGCACTGCATTATTCTCCAAAGGCTTGATCCCAAAGCCAAGTTTTCACATTCCTTCTGAAGGCCAGGAGGGAGGGGGCTGATCTAATGTTGCTGGGGAGGGAGTTCCACAGCTGAGGGGCCACCACTGAGAAGGCCCTGTCTCTCGGTCCCACCAGTCACTCCTGCGAAGAAGGCAGGACCAAAAACAGGGCCTCCTCAAATGATCTTAATCTCCGAGGTGGTTCAGTTATTTTTCTGGATCATGAGGACATTTCAAAGTGAAAAACAATGTTATATGTCAGAATAATGTGGAGTTGTTGGTTTTTGCTTTTGTTTTTTTGTTGTTGTTGTTTTTGCATAATGACCATTGTAGACCATTTAAAAGGCATTCTCTACCACAATTTGCAAGAGTTTGGACACTCCTCTTGTCATTACTATGCTGTGTCTATCTTTTCTTCTCATTTGCTAGATGTGTTATCCTTGTTTACCTGAATAACATACCTGTACAACTGTGGCTGATGCTTAAGATATCAGGCTGAACACCATTATCAGAAGCTGCCCTTTTATCAAAAGCTGCCCTTTATTACACTCATCTTACAACACCAGGGCTTTGTGACTGTGACCTCACAAAGGGAATATTCAATCTCAAGATATGGCTCTGAATTGCAAGGGATAGCCCCAACCTAGCAACTGCGCATGTGGAGGTAATCTACTGTTTTGCTTCTGTTTTATCAAAGGTATAACAAAAGGGCCATAGGCTGTCAGCACATTTATTTATTTTCAATATATTTTTACTACAAAGGCTAAGTACTTTGCAGCTTTTTAAATCTCAGGGGCCAAACAGCTTGGCCATATTTTGGATGACATGCACCGTGTTAAATGGATAAGCATAGATAATGGCTAAAGCTGTCTGCCTAAAGCTCAAAAATGTAAAAACAGAAGAAACATGGTCTGCCTTTCTGTCATTAAAGATATTAACCCAAGCAAGAGGAAAAGGGGATGGCGGCACTGGTTTATGTGGATGGAAACCCAGTTTGCTTTGGAGCAGGTCATTTCTGACTTTGATTAAAATTGGGTGAAAAATGATTTTGCCCAATTTACCCTGCATTAAGCACTGTTAGGCCCCCTCTACATTGCCATATAAAATCCAGATTATTTGTTTTGAACTGGATTATATGGCATTGAAGACTAATAGAATCCAGTTCCAATCAGATAATTTGGATTATCTGCTTTTAATCTGGATTATATGGCAGTGTAGATCCAACCTCAGTCTCTGGACGTTATTTAAACAACCAGGAGTGACTTCTGGTCCACTTCGGGTTTTAGGACTAGTATAAACAAACCCTAAGAAAGCTTGCAATAAGTGACTAGGGCCCATCTACGCTGCCATATAAAATCCAGAATATCTGCTTTCAACTGGATTTTATGGCAACACATACTATCCAGTTCAAATCAGATAATCTGGATTATATGGCAGTGTAGATACAGGCTTGGTCTTCACATCAGGATGATATATAAGGTAATATAATATAACAGGAAATATAACATCTTTATGAGTTATACCTTTTTCTCCGGGAGGGCCAACTCGTCCTGGGCGGCCTGGGGCACCCTTCTCCCCCTTTTCTCCAGCTTCCCCTAGGATGTGGCAAAATGCAAAATGTAATAAACAAAATATGTTTTTTTCCCCCTTATTCAAACACACATACTGATTTGCAATGAATCCTGTGTCATCCTTACTCTATCCTGTCCTTTAATGATGTCCACCAGAGAATATCTGTATATGGGAATCTCTCCATTGAGCCTTGGTGGAGGAAATTTGCTCAGCAATCTCAGGGCCCTTCTACACTGCCATGTAAAATCCAGGTTATCTGGTTTTATAAGGGACCTGAAGATGGCCGCAAACCTTCCCAGGGTCCCCAGTTCAAAGCAGATAATATGTATTATCTGCTTTGATAATCTGGATTATATGGCAGGGTAGATCTAGCCTCAGTTTTCAAAAGATATCCATCTTTTATGAGAAAAGGCAGATTTTTCAGAAATATCATTGAAACTAGGGGCCCTTTCACGCAGCCCTATATCCCAAAACATCAAGGCAGAAAATCCCACAATGTCTGCTTTGAACTGGGTTCCCACACTCAGGTAATGTGGGATTTTCTGACTTGATATTTTGGGATATAGGGCTGCATGAAATGGCCCACAGACACCCCAACACACAAGATTTATGCTCCAAGTATCTTATAGTTTTCCACTGGGCAGCAAGAAAAGAACAATGGTAAAAGAGGGAACAGAAAGAAAAGGCTGAAGAAAGGGCTTTGACTCTTCACCTGTAGGACTTCCACATCATAGTAACTATGCAGCCACTTGAAAAAGCATCAGAGAGGTTTCAGGCACTTCCACACTACACTTAAATGCATGCTGAAGTGGATTAATAAATCCAGCTTTGGTGCACATTTAAGTCCCCACCACTCAATGAACAGGTTTTCCGGGGGGTGGGGATGTTTTCATGCCATCCTGCCAGCTACCGGGATGGCATGCAACCGCCTCAAAGGACGACAAAGACAAACCTACTTTGAAGAAATCTTGGCAAGAAAACCCTGTTACAGCTTTGCCCTAGGGTTACCATTAAGTCAAAAATAACATGGAGAGAGAGAAGAGAGATTGGATATGTCCAAGAATAAGCACACACTATGTCAATGATAGACTTTACTGTTTTTATGGGCATGAACTTTTCTATAAGATATTACATGGGATAGACTCAAAAGGTTATGGAATTATCTTACAATAGATGCTGTCGAGATTATCAAGGGGACAGCTAACAAGAATATCAATACAAAAACTATTATAAAAGATAAAAATTAAAGGCATTCAGTAACAACAACGTAATCTGCATTTGCAGGAATACCAAAGCACAAATATTTTGCAATAGATTTGAGAGCAATGCAGGGCAATGACTTTCTGTACCAACACAACCACTCAAATGATGTTATCTGGTATCAAATATGTTAATTAACTCCAGTTGTATTTTTCATTTTTCCTTCTTTTAAATACACTGATCTCAAGGTCAGAGGTGGGATATTCTGGCATGAGAGTTTCCACAAACTATTTTAACATGAAGGATGGGGCTAGAGGGCAATATGTTGATGACTGGCCAGAAGTAACCCTGGGGAGAATGACACATTCAGGGAGTATAAATATAAAACAATGTTTCACAGAAAGTCTTGTTCTTGCTTTGTGATATCTTTCTACAGATACATGTCGAGGTGTATCTATCTACACCAGTGGTTCCCAAACTTTTTTTGACCAGGGCCCACTTGACCAGGGGCCACTCTCCAACATTGATACCAAAAAGATTATGAATCAGTTTTTGGTCAAGTAGATTTGGTTTTGTTATTTGGGGTGCTGATTCAGAAAACTGCATTGGCTGGACCACATCAGCTCTAGTTTCTGATACAGAACACACTCCCAAATGAGGTAAGATATGCTCCCTCCCTCCAGGCCTTTAGAAAAAAAACCTAAAATCATGGTTTTGGGACCAGGCCTTCTGTCAGTAGATGAATGCAGCATTTTAAAGGGACAGTCACTGGAAGGGTGATTTGACTGATGAGACTGTTTTATTGTTTTAATGATTGTTTTAATGCTTGTTAATGTATTATTTTAAATATGATTTATATCTAATTATGGTTTTATCATTGTAGTTATAGTATTGGCACCATATTGGTGCCCAATGTAAGGCATTAAATTTTGCCATTACTTATGTGTAAACCGCTTTAAATCCCCCTAGGGGTGAGAAAAGCAGTATATAAAAACTGTAAAAAATAAATAATAAATAATATGCCATCCAGTATTTGCCATCTGCTTGCCCATATTTAATAATCTATATTTAATAATCTATATTTAATAATCTAGAGCTGATGTGATCTATCCAATGCAATTTTTTGAATCACCACCCCAAATAACCCCAGGAACAGACACCAAGGTGCCCCCGCTTCCAGACGCCACATGGAACAGCTCCGCTCAGTGGGAAGGAGGAAGAGGAGAAGCAGCAGTCGGGAGGCTTGTTGCTGCACCTTTCATGGGTAGTCAGCCTCTCCCCTCTCAACATCCCCATTGCCTCAGCTCTATAAGAGAGTTTCGCGAGACCAGTCGCTCTCGTTGCAACGGTGTAGTAACAGTGAGGCCACTGACCATATTTATTTCTTGCAGACCACTGATGGTCTACAGACCACAGGTTGGGAACCACTGATCTACACTGTAGAATTAATGGAGACTGATACTATTTTAACCACCATGGCTCATGTTAAGGAATCATGACAGTTGTAGCTTTACATATGCCTTAGCCTTTGTGCCTCAACAAACTACAAATCCCAGGATTCCAGAGCATCCCAAACCATCAGTACTCATGAATATTATTCTTAAGGGTTTGCTGTTTCATTGCCACGAGCTAAGAAACTTCCCAATTCTCTTACCAGACTCACTTGTCTATAATCATAGACCCTTTCTGTGTATCACATTTCCTAAAATGCATAGCTAAAACAACAAATAAAGAAATACAGTAACCATACTTGCAATTATAATACACAATAATAGATAATTTGGGGATATGAAATGTTTTGCAATGGTTAAAGAGCCAGCAGAGCAAGCAAAAACAGGATCTTATGCATCAATTTAGAGACAAATCGATGTATTGTAGCAAGGGGTTTTATGAATTATAATCCACCATGTACACATAATGACACATTGTAGAATTAATGCAGTTTAGCACCACGTTTACTGCCATGGCTCAATGCAGTTGTAGTCTCGTGAGGGACCAGCACTCTTTGGCACAGAAAACTAAAGATCTTGTAAAACTATGGTTTTCATGATTCCATAGCATGGAGCCATGGGGGGGAGGGGGTTAAAAAGGTGTCAAACTGCATTAATTTCAAAATCACCCCTAGTCTTTAAAGATGCCACTGGACTCGTCTAATTGCAACACAGTATGAATTGAGGGATCACTGTAAACAAGAGGAAAAACATGGAGAAGGAAGGATTGACTGGTCATGGGAACAGAGAGACCCCTTTACCTTTGAGGCCTGGAACCAGAATCTGCACCGAACAGGATTCTTCCGCAATATGTTGAGCATATCCAGTTCTTAACAGAGACAGGAAGGTAAGGCCAATTACAGAGACCAAGAAAACCAGATCACTCCTCATAATGAGTTTGTTCCTGACTCCTAAAGAAAAGAATGATAAACAGTTAATTGGGATTCCAACAAGTTCCTGCCATTGCAAAATAAGTATACAAGCAGTCTTTTACAAAAGTAAGAGTCAATCACCTTGTCCCATCTGTAATTTTTTTTAAAGGCGTGCACTAGCTATACATGGAAATTTGGAAAATTTTGCCAGAAAAACTGTTCCAAAAGATTCTCAAATTTCATCAGGTAAAAATCCAGAGCCACTGGTGGCACAATGGGTTAAACCCTTGTGCCGGCAGGACAGAAGACCAACAGGTCGGAGGTTTGAATCCAGAGAGAGAGTGGATGAGCCCCCTCTGTCAGCTCCAGCTCCCCATGCAGGGACATGAGAGAAGCCTCCTACAAGGATGGTAAAACATCAAAACATCCAGTCATCCTTTGGGCAATGTCCTTGCAGCCAGCCAATTCTCTCACACCAGAAGCAACTTGCAGTTTCTTGCAAAACTGCAACAATTGAAACTGCAAGTATTCTACTTTTGTCCTCAACCCAGGAGAAGCCCAAATTTTCAGTTACCAGTGAAACTGAAACTTTTGGAAAGGGAAGGTTAGAGAAATGTAATGGCCTTGAGGGAAGAAAGGCAAAGAGAGAAAGAGGGTTCCACTAGGGCAAACCATAAACACACTGATTGGAGGGAAAAGGTTGGCAAGCTGTCTCCAAATCCAATAAATGCATATTGTGGGAGAGTTCAATTCACAGTTCCCCTTGGGAAGCCAGGCTTGCATTTTCACAAACCCTGGGAGAGTTCAAATGAGGGGAAATAAAACAATTTAAAATGAGATCCCAAGTACAAATACAGGCAAAGGAGATTTAGAAAATACAAAATGTGTGTGTATGCGCCTTCAAGTTGCCTGCTGACTTATGGCAACTGCATGGTTTTCTTAGGCAAAGAATCCACAGTGGTGGTTTTGCCAGTTCCTTCCTGCCAACTGTTTTTTTTTTCTGCTTCTCCTATTTTCAAAGAATAGAAGTCAAGTTACCCATTAAAAAAAGAATAATATATAAAATTAGAAGCCTTGCCAATACAAACACAAAGAGACACTGATCTACACCGTCATATAACTGAATTGTATGGTCAGTGTATACTCATATAAAGCAGTTCAACAGCATAATACACTGAACATATAATGCAGTTATATGACAGTGTAGATCAGTGTTTCTCAACCTTCCTAATGCCACGACCCCTTAATGCAGTTCCTCATGTTGTGGTGACCCCCAACCAGAAAATTATTTTTGTTGCTATGTCATAACTGGATCGTAATGTAAATATCTGATATGCAGGATGTACTGTATTTTCATTCACTGGACCAAATTTGGCACAAATACCCGATATGGCCAAATTTGAATACTGGTGGGGTTGGGGGAATTGATTTTGTCGTTTGGGAGTTGTAGTTGCTGGGATTTATAGTTCATCTACAATGAAAGAGCATTCTGAACTCCACCAATGATGGAATTGAACCAAACTTGGCACACAGAACTCCCTTGACCACCAGAAAATAATGGAAGGGTTTGATGGGCATTGACCTTGAGTTTTGGAATTGTAGTTCACCTACATCCAGAGAGCATTTTGGACTCAAACAATGATGGTGGAGCTTGGGGAAAATAGACCTTGATATTTGGGAGTTGTAGTTGCTGGGATTTGTAGTTTACTTATAATCAAAGAGCATTCTGAAACCCACTAACAATAGAATTGGGCCAAACTTCCCACACAAAACCCCCATGACCAACAGAAAATACTGGAGGCATTTGGGATGAGTTGACTGTGATTTAGGGGAGATGTAGTTCACCTACATCCAGAAAGCACTGTGAACCCAAACGACTATGCCAAAGGGATTCCTAAGGCCATCAAAAATATGTGTTTTCTGATGGTCTTCGGTGACTCCTCTGAAACCCCCTCATGACCCCCCCCCCCAGGTTGAGAAACACTGGTGTAGATTATGCCTTTGATGGCATCTACCACTATCTTTCACACAGAATAGTTTGATTTCTCTCAGAGAAAGAAAATATCCATGTATCTAGATTTTAAACAAATTTAAAAATTATACATGCAATGACTGAGTCATAGGACCTTTTCTGACTACAATGAGACCACTAAAGTGTTGAGGTTTGGAGTTAGATTGTAGCCAGGAGGACTTTGTGTTGATGGATGCCTTATGTTTCTTGACCTAATGGAAATCCCAGTCCTCTCCATTCCTCCATATGGGCCAACTTTATTGACAACAGCTTCTCTGAATCTTGGTTCACTGCAACATAAGACATTTCCCTCACTTTGCCCCAGGACATCACCTTGCCAGGGACATCATTATTCCAATGTCAAAAATCAGTAGATTGGAAGACTGAAAGAATACTTATCTTCCAACACAAAAAGAATTATTTTAAAGACTTTTGAAGTGGCAGAGATAGACAACTTGTGGGATTTGAAGACTAGGTTTTATTGTTTGTTTCTTTTTGTTCATTCGTTCAGTCGTCTCTTCGTGACCTCATGGACCAGCCCACGCCAGCAAAAGTTAAAATGTTAGTTAAGTAGTAATGAAAATCTTATTGTACTAAGCCAATACATCCAGTTTTAATTTGGGTTTCTGTGAGTTTTCCAGGCTGCATGGCCATGTTCCAGAAACATTGTCTGCTTGAGGCAGATATGAATGTTGTAATTAGCCACCTCACTTGCCTAGTTTCCAACAGACCTCACGACCTCTGAGGATGTATTCTTTTCATGTGATTTCTACTCTGGTCCCAAACTCTATGTTCAAGAAGTAAGCCCAGGAATGCATTTATTTTGTGAACTAAAGTAAATCTGTATAGGCATTGAGGATCACAGGAAACCAAATAGAGTGATTATTTTGCCTCTCCATTTAAAGAAAAAAACAGTCTTCAGATCCCTAATATATAAGCAGCTTTGAATAGCTTACCACAAGTATCCAAAAGATTAGAGAGAAGATATTAATAGGTCAAACAAAGAAAATATGACTGCAGATAATCTAAGATGTGAATACATGAACAATCTTAAAATGTTTCCATTTCAGAGGAATGTGAGAGGATTTCCAAGGATTTCCATCTTAAGACGTGGCTTTAGGACCAAGCTTTTGACAAGTAATTGGAGCAGTGAAAGGAATGACTATGAAACAATGTAATTGACAAATGGAACAGCCCTGGATTGTGTTATGGTTGGCATGATTTTAATTGTTGATTTTAATAATTCTGGTTTTAATTGTTTGTTTTTAATTGTAATTGTTTATCTGATATATGTGTGTACGGCATCAAATTGCTACCTGTTGTACAGCCGCCTTGAGTCCCCTCCGGTGTGAGAAAGGCTAGATATAAATATGGTAAATAAAATAATAAGTAAATGCCCCAAATTTGTAAATTGGTACATACGGATTCTCCATCAGTTATTGTTATTGATACCTGTGCATGTGAAGATGGTCTTTTAGAGACAATCAGTCTTTATAATTGGCAATACAAGAGAGAGAACAATATAAAACCCTTCTCATCGCCTTTTGCAACACAGTAGAATGCGAACTCATGAATCTGGATCTACACTGCCATATAATGTCATTTGGAACTGCAATGTAGACCCATATAATGCAGTTCAGTGCTGCATTATATGGCAGTGTAGATCCAGCCTAAGTGTAACTGTGAAACTAAATAGGATTTAGGATGTCTGGAGAAACAAGATTCACACATGCAGCCAAAACTGGGGCAGAAAGACAAATGGGGAGATCATTACAGAAAAGACAGGAAATACAGAGATAAGAGAGCACCAGACTCAGTCCATTCAAATGAAACAGGGATCTTGACGAAAGAGTCAGTGTACCATGATTCAAAGCACCAAGCTTTTATCTTGAAGGCCCAATTTCCACCTCCTTTATTTATAGGGACTTTCCTGCCAATGTGACAGATACATCTTGGTGAAACTTTGAATACATTGAGGTCTACATTCTGGCACTGAAACAACCAAGGCTGAACCTTGATTTTAAGCTGAAAAATCACATACTAAAATACTTAAATCTTTTTAAAAGGTAAAGGTCCCCTGACATTAAGTCTTGTTGTGTTCGACTCTGGGGGTCAGTGCTCATCTCCATTTCGAAACCGAAGAGCTGGCGCTGTCCATAGACACCTCCTAAGTCATGTGGCCGGGATGACTGCATGAAGTGCCATTGCCTTCTTGCAGAAGCAGTACCTATTGATGTACTCACATTTGGATGTTTTCGAACTGCTAGGTTGGCAGAAGTTGGGCCTAACAGCGAGAACTCACCCTGCTCCCCAAATTCGAATCGCCTACCTTTCGGTCAGCAAGTTCAACAGCTCAGCTGTTTAACCCGCTGCGCCACCGAAGGGCCCTTATCTTTTATCTATGCCTAAATGATTTCTACCCAAGTAGTGTCATTACCTTTCTAGGATTACTTAGATGTTCTTCAGCAATATTAATCCAGCAAGTGATTAAATATAAATATGATTACGACATTGGATGTAAGGCGCTTAAATGACAAGAGATAACTTTCCCTTGATACCTGCCAAGATGTCACAGATGAAAACTGAGATACATGTGGCTGAGCAATAACAAAGTGTAGTCAAAATGGCCAAATATATTACTTGGGGCCCTTCCAGACAGGCCCTATATCCCAGGATCTGATCCCAGGTTTTCTGCCTTAAACTGGATTATACGAGTCTGCACTGCCAGATCATCTGGGACAAACAGTAAACCTGGGATCAGATCCTGGGATATAGGGCCTGTCTGGAAGGGCCCTGAGAAACAACATGCAAGTTAGGAGAGGCTGCAGCAGTTTGCTTTTGCTTGAGTCAATAGGGAAGGACTTGACTCCCCCGTCTTCTCTCCCCTGCTGACTTGAGTGAGGACCATTTTTCAACATTGAACTCAGTTTAAAGAAAATTAATTAAGAAGGAAAAGGAAAAGACAGAAAAGCTGAAAAAACAGGAAAGCAGAAGATTACTTGGATCTGTCATTGACAAACCAATATAGTCGAAGAGTATGTTATCTGTCTCGTGCTTATAGGATGTGGCAGTTGGGTCTTTAAGACATTACTTACAGGAAGTGAAAGAAATCTACCCCTTGAAAGGGAAATTAACTCCTTAAAGAGTTATTATCACAGGGGAAAGGGGTCCCTGCTGAAGCTTCATCACCAATCCTTGTTTTTACAAGCTAATTTTTTCAAAATCCAATTGTCACAGAGATAGAAAGTAAGGTGAAATCTTCTGAACAGGGGCACACACAACAAAAGAAATGTCGCAGGGTTGTTAAACCTAACCCTATGGTATCCAAAGTTAAAATATAGATATTTTTGGGTGGAATTACACTTAAAATGTACCTGGTCCGACTGACATACAAATTCAACTTAAGAACAAACCTATAGAACCTATCTTGTTGTAATTGGTCATAATAATTAGTATTAACAACAAAAAACAATAACATATTTATTTATTTATTTGTAGACCACTCTATCTCCTCGGAGGGACTCTGCGGTTTCCAACATACATGGCAAACATTCAATGCCAAAAAAGGAAAAGCATACAAATAAATTACATCAAAACAGACCACATCAAGGAATATAAAAACAACCTGAACTGAACAGAGCTCAGAAACTCTCCTCACTACAATCCATAGGCTGTCTTGTATTAATTTCAGCAGCATTGAAAGAAGAGAGGAACATTTTTTCTTGTTGTTTCTGCTGTTAATGGGATTCAGAACATCTTCCCAGTTTCCAAAGCATGACCACCCATCCGCTCACCACATTCTCCACAGGAGTCAGGGAACTATTATTTTGTAAAACCACTGCAGTGGTTTTGATATTTTAAAACTGTCAAAACCAAAGCTAGAAAACATTGTCATATGAAGGAGAAGAACTTCTAAAATCAATTTCAAATGCTTAATATATTTTCAGTTTTAAAAACACAACCCATTTAGATTATCTAGCTCACAACAACAGCTTCAGACAATACTGTGGGAGCTTGGAAATATTGCTTTTGGGTACCACAACTCCCATGGCCACAGTTTGCATTAGCTGGATAGTCTGCAATGTGTGGTCAACAACATGGTAACATTTCTGGAGCCCCGGTGGCACAATGGGTTAAACCCTTGTGCTAGCAAGACTGCTGATTGATATGTCTGAGGTTCGAATCTGGGGAGAGCGGGTTGAGCTCCCTTTGTCAGCTGCAACTCCCCATGCGGGGACTTGAGAGAAGCCTCCCACAAGAATGGTAAAACATCAAAAACATCCGGGCATTCCCTGGGCAACATCCTTTCAGACGGCCAATTCTCTCACACCAGAAGCAACTTGCAGTTTCTCAAGTCGCTTCTGACACAAAATTTTAAAAAAAGAAGAAAAAAGCAACATTTCCAAAATGTGACTTTCACTCCTATTTTTAACTGTAAATCCCTCCACCCAAATTCCATTGTAAGTAAAATCCCTCTGGAGCTGGTAGTAAAAGGTAAAGGTAGCCGAACATGATCCACATAGACATCCCCAACCCATCCTCTCTCTGCTCTTCCAAAACATTTGAGCCTTCACTTACCTTTATGATGGTTGAAAAAACAAGCACTGCCGCACGGCTTCTGCCTGGAGGGATGCCACGCAAATGAACCTCATTGCGACTATTTACAAAAGCCCCGATAGTTTTTAATTTGAAGTGGACTTGTCTTTAGCCTTTAGCAAATCAGACCCAACAGTTACAGGAGCGTTATCTGTAAACAGCTTCCTGTTTGAAACGGCTCAGCTGTCCAGTCGGACAGTAATTAGGAACCAAATGTGTGGGAACTCTCAAACAGCCCATGATGTAAGCTGCTTCTTTTGGCAATGCACTTTTTCGGGAATGCAGAATGCCTCTCTGTTCGCAACTCTCCTTCCCATGAAGAGACTCCGGCCGTTAACTGTTTTAGGCCTGGCCTCCTGCAGTAATGTAAACAGGATCCTAGTAGAGCAAAGGTACAGCTTTCCCAGCTTCAACATTCGCTTGGATATTTGGGCACATCAAATTTTAATGCAACAGGGAGAGATTCTTCTCCAACATACTCCAAGTGGTAAATTCTAAGCTGTATTGATTCCACACCCTCCAATTGTTTCACAGATGAGAAATGGGGCATATGAGGTCAAGAAGTAAATGTGATCAATGAGGGAGAACATATAAGCTAAGAGGGGCTGCAGAAGTATGTGTCTGAGCCTAATGGAGAGGGTAAGATTTTACCTATTCCTGTGCCATTTGCTGAATTAACAGAGTGCAAAACTTCTACAAGCAACCTTTTACAAATCTCCTATACTAGCTATTTGTTATGTATATAATTCAGATTGCTTACTATATTGTATATGCGTGTATTGGTATGCAGTTTCCCCTTAACTGCAGACCATGTGATTGGATCTGGGACTATTCAGACAGAGACTCAACTTTTTTGAAATACTGCATTGTATAGTCAGTTGTGCTTAGGTTGTGTTCAGTTTGCATTAAGAGAGTATGAATTAGACATAAGACAGAGAAGAGACTGCAAAAGAATACCTTAGAAAACTTATTGTTTAAACTTTCAACTGATAAGCAATGTACCTGCATGCTGAATACATGAAGTTTGTAAGTAAACCAACTATGTTTTTCTTAACAAAGATTACTTATTTTTGTCTCTTGAGTGCATGATTTAAAACCATATATATTTTATGGGAGTAGATGTTTTTGGGCAACTGAAATAGCAGTTCTGAAAATCTGCTATATATTTTGAGCATTGGCACAATCTCTGTTCCTAACCATTCAAAGAGATAACCAGGTATATCAGTCTAACAGTGGTTCTCAACCTGGGGTCCCCAGATGTTTTTGGCCTACAACTCTCAGAAATCCCAGCCAGTTTACCAGCTATTAGGATTTCTGGGAGTTGAAGGCCAAAAACATCTGGGGACCCCAGGTTGAGAACCACTGAAACCTAATTTGCTTTGCATTAATACTAGTGGATATTTACCACTAAAGAGAAGATTCACTCAAATGAGTTTTTAGCTCAAGAAGATCATACTTTACAAAAAGGTTATGATCATTGCAAATGGTGTTAATGCCAATTAATCTCCAAAAGGTCACAAAGGCTTTGGAGAGCCTGGTTATGCAAAAGGTTATGACCTCAGAGGTCATCCTTTCCCCTTGTACTTTGAACTCAACTTGCAGCAATTTAATTACAGTACATGCGTGTATACATTGACCTCGTGTATAAGTCTTGGGTAGGTTTGGGGGCCAAAATGGTGGATTTTGATATGTCCCATGGATGAGTCGGTCATTCTGCAGAGAGGGAAAAGCATCAATAGGGGGCAAGCCAACCCTGGTTACTGATGCTACTTACCCACCCAGATATTCAAAATGCTTTTGCCTTTCAACAGTCTACTCAGAGAAGGGGATGGTTCCTTTTAGGATAAGAGTTAAGGTGTGGTTCTCACACCGACCCATGAATCAGATTTAATAGGCTGTTTTTTTACTAAAATTTCTAAACTTATATATATAGGGTAATCCAAGGACAAAGGAGGAAGACAAAGTGCCATGTTAAAAGAAGCTAAAATGGGTGAAGATATGATTATTAATTGAGACTATTCCTGCCAAGTCAAAACAGTTAGAAAGGATGTGATTCAGATCCAGGTCAGGGGGTTGAACTGTAATGCTCTCTCGCTCTCTTTTACTACTGAAGAGGATCAACCTGAAGACTTAGCCAGCTTGTACAATGGCCAGGAATTCTGGGAGCTGAAGTCCAAAAGACCGGGAGGTCCACAAGTTTGACATCACTGTCCTAGCCCTTGTTCCTATACTTTTGTTGCAGGGCAAAGCAAATGGTTGTAGCAATGAACACTATGATTACAAAAAATTATTTTAAAAATAGCATTGTTACTATTTTCATGCCATAATAAAACCTGTTTCCCTTGTTTTAATAATTTCTGATCCTCAAAACAATTAAATTTAGAAGGAAATTCAAAAAGCTATTTTGGAGTACTAGCTCTCCATAACATTTTAGCTTCACTCTTGGAAGGACTGAGCTGCTGTATCCCTTTTAATTCTCCAAGCAAGAGACATTTTTGTGCAGCTACAGGGGCCACTATTGGGGAAAACCTTATGAAAAATGCCCATATACATCCCAGCATGCTCATACAGGCCTCATGTAAATTATGTTGAGAACTCTGGATTGTAGCTGAAGGCTCTCACCGTGGCCATCTAAAAATAAAACATTTATTTGGGGAAACTATTATTTGATACCAGAAACAATATTAATAGTTTAGTAAATAAATGGGAACTTTAACCCAACATTGCTTATTTCATCTCTATCAACATGGCGAAATGGCCTGATTGAGGAGGCTACACTATCCTGACGTGTGAACACAAAAAGTGCCCTTTCACTCTACACAATTATTATACTGTGATTTCACTTTAACTACTGGAACAACAGCTATTAAATTACAATTCTCAAGATTTGATAGGATCCAACCATGACAATTAAAGTGGAATGATACTGCTGTGAGGTCTGAATGTTGATTCCACTGTGATCTACATAACCAAGTCTATTTGTTTCCAGAAGTATTTTCTGTTTCAGAAAAGACAGACAGATACCACCATGTGGCAGATTAAAGCCTAACAATGTTATTATTGCATGTGCCATGGGCTTTGAAGACTGTACTACAGAAGCCTAGTGTGCCATCCACACAGACATCTTCATGCACAAACATGACAGTCCTTACACATAAATCTCAGAAACTGTGGAGGGGAAAGAAGGAAGCAATCAGCTCAAGTTTTTTTCCCAATGCAAATAGGAAGTTGGAAAGTATTGATAAGAGAGACTTATCACTCTCAAGTTTCTTCGGGCATCTTTTGTTTTGAGGTCCTCTTTTGTACTCGATTCCAAAGTAGAATGTTTGTAGGGTGAAGAGCGCCTGCAATGTGCAGATATTCCCAAGCAAGTCGGCATGCAACTCACACAATCCCTACTCTGTAATATTTATACTACTTCAATGTTATATTTGGGGTGAATTTAACATCTTAGCCACAAAACCAGCATCGCTTCTGAGGATTTGTGAAGTACATAATGAAGGCAAAATTACTGAGCCTCCTCTCATGTGCCAAAAATCAAATTCTGCAGATTCTTGATATTGAGCCTGGAGTTTTTATTAAAAGGGTGGGTCAAGGGACAATTCTGTAAATGATTCTAGGGCTCTGCAGAATAGCAGCGTTCCCAGAAGATTCATTAAAAACTTCACTAGATAACAGACTTCCCACAACGGCATTATGATTTTTTCATGATGAATTTGGAATACTGTGCAATTGAAGGGAGATGTTGACAAGCTGGAATGTGTCCAGAGGACGGTGACTAAAATGTTCAAGGATCTGGAGAACAAGCCCTATGAGGAGCAGCTTGAAGAGCTGGGCATGTTGAGCCTGCAGAAGATTGAGAGGAGACATGATGGCTATGTATAAATATGAGGGGAAGTCATAGGGAGGATGGATCAAGCACGTTATCTGCTGCCCTGGAGACTAGGACGCGGAACAATGGCTTCAAACTACAGAAAAGGAGATTCCACCTGAACATTAACTTGACTGCGAGAGCTGTTCAGCAGTGGAACTTTCCGCCCCAAAGTGTGCTGGAGGCTCCTTCTTTGGAGGCTTTTAAGCAGAGGCTGGATGGCCATCTGTTGGGGGTGCTTTCAATGCGATTTTCCTGCTTTTTGGCAAGGGTTGGACTGGATGGTCCACAATAACTCTTCCAGCGATAGGATTCTATGACTTTAAATGATTGATAATTTAGGTAAGTAAAACTACGATAATCTAAGATAACATGTTAAGGTATTATGAAAAATACCAGCTTTATGAAGAGTTCTGTCCCACAAAATATGCTTTTATTACATAAAATGTTTTTTTTTACTGAAAAATGTCTTGACTGAAGAAGCCAAAAAAACACATTAGTCAACTGAATTCAAAGAGTTTCTTTTGGCAGTGGTTCTGGGAAAGATGACAAGTTCATGATGCATGCATCTTTCCTTTTCCCTTTTAAGATACCCAAACACTGAAATTCTTTGAACATCCAATGTGGACACACATTGAGAGAAACAGAACCACATAAACCTTTAACAATTAGCAGGATCCTCAAGGTTCTTTAAATTCTTAGAAAATAGAACATTCCTGGAAAGAATAAAACCATAACAAAGAGAGGCAAACTTGTTCCAAAGGATGATTTTGGATAGAACCATAGCAATTATATTTCAGGCAATCCAAATTCAAGGCTAAGGCACATAAAACAGTTATTAAAGTCTTGAGAAACATGTGGAATGGTTAATTATAAGACCTGAAGCTATGTATCAAGGTCCATCATGATTAATAATAATAATAACAACAACAACAATAAAGCAACATTGCAAAACAGAAAACTCCATGGGCATCATCAATCCCCATCCCTTCTACTTTTTGCTTCAGAGCTGGAACTTTAGAAAGCTCAGAAAAATTAAAACAGATACCTATTAAAAAACAAAGTGAGGCAAAAACATGAATAATATTAAAATATAAGGTAAAGGTTTTCCCTGACACCAAGTCTAGTTGTGTCTGACTCTGGGGGGTGGTGCACCTTTCCATTTCCAGCCTTAATGTCAAGGACCTTTAGGTAAAGGTTTTCCCCTGACACTAAGTCCAGTCATGTCAGACTCTGGGGATTGGTGCTCATCCCCATTTCCAAGCCGAAGAGCCGGTGTTGTCCGTAGACACCTCCAAGGTCATGTGGCTAGCATGACTGCATGAAGCGCTGTTACCTTCCCACAGAAATGGTACCTATTAATCTCACATTTGCATGTTTTCGAATTACTAGGTTGCCAGAAGTTGGGGCTAACAGTGGGAAATCACCCCACTCTCCAATTTGAACCGCCAACCTTTCA